CCAATTTAATGGAGACTAACAAATTTTGAACGATACGTGTCAGATTAGAAAAATATTTGTACTTTAAGGATAATGTTAGGAAAACAAACCGTCCAGACACCAAAATAGACAAAAATAATTATAGTTTAGGGAAAAAAATGCTATTAACTCTAATATTCTTTATAATATACGATATAATATAGTATAATATAATCTGCTCCTATTTGTTGTAAGTTCTTATGTTATATAGGGTTTTTCATGGCTAGCATCAAAAGATATTGAATTATTGATGGATACCAAAACTTCGTTTGAATATGTATGACTTCTTTCATATAAGCTCGTTTGAATTGTTATTTTGAAAAGGAGACATTTGAAAAGTTAAAATGTCTAATTTAATGGAACTAAATAGACAATAGGAGGCGGAGGAAATCTACTGACAGCAAAAGTCTCGGGTCTGATGGCTGAAAAAAGGGGACAAGAATACGTCTTACTTCCATACGGTGACTCGGACCCGAAGGAAAAAGAATTTTGTGTCTCGGTTGCGAAATGATGAGGGTGAATGGATCATTGAGGAGAGTGGGAAAGCAGCCATTGCGGATACTTTCTATCAGACTATTTTCACCTCGCAAAACCAGGTGATTAATATGTCGGAGAGGGTGGCTGCTCTGCCCATTGCTTAGAACTTCACTCCTGAAATGAATGTTGTTCTGATAGCGGAAGTCCTCCCTGGTGAAGTTCGCAAGACGGTCTTTTCTATGGGATCAAAACAGGCGCCCGATTCTGATGGTTTTACCGGGAAGTTCTTCAAAGCATTCTGCGATATTGTGGGAACTCCGTAATTGAGGCAGTTTGCTCCTTCTTCTCCACAGGTAGAATGCTCTGGAGCTTCAATAATATGTGGCTCACACTGATCCCAAAAGTGGACAACGTGGAAAACATGAGACAAGTTCGTCCGATCAGTTTATGCAGTTTGTTTATAAAATCATAACTAAGATCATGGCAGAGAGGCTGGCTGGTTTGTTGCCCCAAATCATTTCAGAAGGTCAGAATGCCTTCATTAGGGAACGCCAAATTGTTGAGAATATCCTCCTCGGTCATGAGCTAATGCACTACTTGAAAATAAAAAATCGTGGTAAGAAAGGGTACATGGCTCTAAAGGTTGACATGGAAAAGGCCTATGACAGAGTCGAATGGCCCTTTCTCCTTGCGGTTTTGGACAAAATGGGCTTTAACTCGATTTGGAGAGGATGGATACATGAGTGCCTCGGGTCGACGTCGTTTTTTATTTTAATGAATGGTAATCCTTCTGGTTATTTCTCTCCTTCTAGGGGATTGCGTCAGGGGGATCCCCTTTCCACTCTATTGTTTGTTATCTGCACAGAAGGGTTTGCTGCGTTGCTTCGGCAAGCAATATCGGATAACAGGCTTGAGGGAGTGAAGGTGGCCCCTCGTGCTCCCAGGATCTCCCTTCTGTTCTTTGTAGATGATTCGTATCTATTCCTGCGAGGCTCTCTGCAGGAATGTGAAAATTTGATTGCGGTCTTGAACGGGTATGAGGAACTCAGTGGTCAGAGGGTAAATTTGGCCAATTCGGCTGTTTGCTTCAGTAAAAATATTGCCTTGCCTGATCAGGAGTTCCTGGCAAGGATTTTGGGGGTGGGGGTAGTGGGAGTCCATGATAAGTACCTGGGGCTGCCCTCCCTAATTGCTGGGGTGGAAGCAACACACATTATCTTGGGCTGCTAAAGAAACACTTATCAAATCGATTGCTTTGGCTTTGCCTCTGCATGTTATGTCCTGTTTTCGGCTTCCGCTTTCCCTGTGTCGACTCTTAGACAAACACATTCCCCGTTTCTGGTGGGGTGTTGATGATGGCCAGTCCAAGATTCGTTGGGTTTCTTGGCGTAATATGTGCAGGAGTAAGCATGATGGGAGGATGGGGTTTCGCAGCTTTTGTTGGCCAAGATTGGCTGGCGTATACTTCAGGAACCTGATTCGTTGTTGGCCCAGGTGTATAAAGGAAAGTATTTTCCTAATGGGAATTTCCTCTCTGCCTCGGCGCAATCCCGTACGCCATGGGGCTGGCAGAGTATTCTGTATGGTCGCCAATTGCTAGATATGGGGCGACGATGGTAGATTGGTAATGGTCGCACTGCTTCTCTTCTTCATTCCAATTGGGTTCCCCGGTTGCACCCCTGGCCGTTGGTATATAATCAGAGGGAGTTACCAATTGGGGGGGATCCACCTGTCGCCGAATTCATATGCCAGGAGGATGGACAATGGTCTGATGACAAGCTCAGTCAATGGTTCAACCCAACTACTTGTTCTGCTATCAAAACTATTCCTTTGCCGCGTCAGAATGTAGAGGATAGGTTGATCTGGCATGACACGGATGATGGGGTCTTCACCGTTAAATCGGCTTATCATTTAGCAGTTTCCATAGATAAGAGGAATGGGCGGTGGATAGTGATGGCAATTTCAACCCGCCCTGCAGGTATTACCCGACCTGACCCGCAATGGGGCGGGTATTACCCGACCCGCAGTAGTGTGGGGCGGGGCATAGGTATCTACTTCCGACCCGCCCTGCCCCGCCCCGCCCCGTTCTAGACTCATTTTATCTCAATTTCTTACAATATCTATACATATTTATCCTATTTTGACTTTTCTTCAACTAGTTAGAGTCGATCTTTCAACTTGTTAGGCTCAATTATCCATTCTATTATCAATATTTTTCATTCTTAAAGTGTTTTTCCCTACGTTTTATTGTAAAAAGTAAAATTTACTTGTATTTTTTTGAACAACATGTAAGAGTGGGTCGACCCGCACCGCTAGTAGTAGCATGGGGCGGGGCATGGGAATTGAGGTACCTGCCCCGCCCCGCCCCGCCCCATTGCCAGCACTAGCGGTGGAGGCAACTAGCAAGTTGGATGGATAGGGCAGTTGGATTAGGTTATAGTAGGCAAATATCCCGCCTAAATTGAAAATTTTCTGCTGGCAAATCTTTAATAGAATCCTGCCAACGACGGAGGCTCTTCGGGAGAAAGATGTCAATGTGCTACCTAGATGCCCGTTCTGCTGGGCGGAATCTGAGACCATGGAGCACTTGTTCCTCGATTGTCCAGTTGCGCGGGTTCTGTGGGAGTCCTCAGGCATGGATTATATTGGCCAAGGGTTGCCACGCCATACTTTCCCTCTCTTCATGAAGGTTGGTACCATCCTGTGGAGGATATGGCGGTCTCGGAAGTGGGTTGTCTTTGAGGGCAAACAGTTTGGGATCCCTGCCTTGATGCGTCAATTTAACCAGCAGTATGAGGAATGGGTAAGCTTACCGGCCGATCCTGTCCTGCAACCCGTGCCCCCGTTGACCATTAACCAGTTCCCCAGCAACTCTTCTACAACTATCTGTAGGTGGGATGGGGCGACCAGGAGTGGATCTCACTCGACGGGAGGGATAGTTATCATGGATGCTAATGGAGGCCTCGTTCTAGCCAAAGGGCTCCAATTTCCGCTAATTGATGAGCCTTTGGTGGTCGAGCTCCTAGTGTTGCGGGAGGCTATTTTGTGGTGCCAGAGTCTGGGTTTCCAGGAAATGAGATTTGAAGGGGATGCCAAGGTTATTATTGAGAAGATCAACCGGGCTTATACGAGGGACAGCCAGGTGGGGGCAATTCTGCAAGAAGTAGTTCATTATTTAGCTGCCCATGCTGAGTTTAGTGTGCGATTTCTAGGTCGGCGTAACAATAGGGTATCCCACTTGGTGGCTAGAAATGCCCTGTCTGATTTCCAGGCCTGGCTGATTTCCAGGATGTAACTCTCTTTGTTGAATCAATTTGATTATCTTTTGTCAAAAAAAAAAAAAAAGATAGGGTGCTAACATCTTTAAGTGTTAGAACCATACTAATACATTTATTAATGGGATTATAGTATATTTTAATTTTAATACATTTTTTAAAAAGTTTTATTTTTATATTTTTAATCAATTTATATATTTTTTAATCCATTTATATACTTTTTAATCAATTTATATATTTTTTTAATTCAAATTTTAATTTCTTATAGATGTAATGAGTTCATTATGATTTAGAAAATTATATTTATTTTCGGTATATTTTGATAAAAATATATTTGCACCATCCATTATCACCCAATTATCATTTTGTACCACTTTTTTACTCAAAATTTGAAAAATTTCATGACCAAATAACCATCATATACCACCTTTATATGTGATGGTAACGAGTGATAGACTTTGGTGAAAGATGGTTATTATATTCCTATGATCATTACCATTCAACATTATAATATTAGACTATTTACACATTCGTGATACATTTTCATACTGCCATCGTATAATCTTATTACTACCAAATAAATATTACCACCATGATCTATATTAATAATGTGTGTTTTAATTTTTTTTTTCAAAAATATATTATAGTGGATGTCATTTTGAAGAGTAAGTTTAAACTGAAATTTTATGTGCACAATTTGATTCCAGTTTTAAAGAATATATATAATCTATTATGATGTTGAAGAAAAAATTATGCATATTTATTACTAACTAGATCCGCTCTCTATCAGTAATAGCATTGGTAATAAGCAATGTTTTAATAACAGGACCGAATGTTGAATTGGAAAAGGTAGTGGTTTGATGGTTCAATGGTTAACCGTGATAAACCATTGGTGAACCGTTGACAAAACCGGTCATTGCGTTATAACATAAAAGATATATGTAATACAATAATATAATAAGTGTGAAATTATTACTAACCATAAACAAATTTAAATACATATCATCTATCACCAACAAGTTCTAGCAAAGTATTCAAACTATATCACAAAATAAATCAAATTTTTTTATTGATATTGATGTAGTTTACAGAGTATTAGGCTGCTGTTTGTACTCGTTTTTGTTGTTTTTTTATTGATATTGATGTTGTTTACTCCATGATTAGGATGGAATGATACAAGCAGAGGCTGAAAAGGTATCCCAAGGGGAAGAACCAAACAGATTTGCCATCCTATCAAGAAGTGATCGGACCACAATGCCCAAAGCGTGTTCTAGGGATGGGCCATGGGGTGAGCTCGGTTGATGTCTTCGGTCCCCCATCGAGTCAAGGTAGTCAGGGTTGCAGCAAGCGTTGTCAGGAGGATCGAACCAAAGAAAGGGGGGAAAATGATGAGAAAATGAAGAAGTTGGAGGATGAGATCGTAGATGTGAGGAATGCAGTCCCTCACATTGTTGAATCTGTCTTGCAGAGACTTGGAGTGCGGCTGCCCGAGTCATTCGACATGGTATGTATTTTGCTGCCATGTTTTATTTTTTACTCATTACATAATTTTCGAAGCTATGGCTAATTTATTTGTTATATTCTATGTAGGATCTCAACAGTGAAGCAAATGGGGAACAAGGTCGAGTTGGGAAAACTCAGGGTAACGATGTGGCCAACAACGAGTCCAATGACGAGTCCGACGACGAGTCTGATGAGGAGACTGCTGAGGAGACTGTTGCTGATGCATGAATTTATTTTTAACGCTATCGTAGGATTCTAAGTATAGCTTGACTTTGGGATATTTTGTGTCATTTTCGGAGGATATTTTGCCTTTTGAAGTTTGGATGTTTGGTCGTAGCTTATGGCTACTTGTTAGACAGTTCGAAAGTTAATTTTGGAATATGCACAACTTTGTTTGGATGATTTGTTTGTGTTGTCATCACTAGAAGTGTAATGGCGTCACAAATGAAATTTGATCAAGCAATTAGCAACAAATGCCGCCGTCGTTAATAGATGTAATTGCACAATTGACAATACTTAAGCGTCATTAGTAAATGTAGTTTCTCCGACGACGTGTTGAAAAAAATAATTTTTGGTGATAATCAGCTGTCCTCAATAAATATATTTTTCCAATGACACGTTGGAAAAGATTTTTTTCGACGATAAACATATGTCCTCAGTAATATAAATATAACCAATGACACGTGGGAAAAGATTTTATTTAATGATGAATAGGTGTCATCGTAAATAAAAATTTATCCAACGATACGTCGGAGAAGATTATTTTTATGATGAATAGTTGTCATCGTAAATAAAAATTTATCCAACGACAGGTTGGAAAAGATTTTATTTACGATGAATAGGTGTCCTCGGAAATAATAATTATTCCGACTACACGTCGGAAAAATCATAGTTTTAACGACAATTTGTTGGCATCAGTAAAATTTATATTTTTGACTAAACGTCGGTAATAATATATTAGTGACACATACACATCCTCAGAAATGTATGTACAACGTATAAAAAAAAACTCTGGCCTCAAATTCTGGTCGCAAATAGTTATTTTTGATGAATTAGTATTTATGACGTCTTGTCAGAAAAATGGTTTACCTACAAACATAATGCGTAAAAAATAAATGAAGTTGTCGTAAAAAAAAAATCGTTAATTCATCCGTTGTGACGTTATTTATTTTATTACTAATGTATTCATGTCGTCAATAATATTGTAATTTTGACGACTTGTCAATAATAATTTATTAGCGACGGGACAATTTCTAACGACGTCTGACGACGAAATATCGTCGTAAAAGATAGTTTCCGACGAAATTTTATCAATTATGACGAAAATCGTGTCGTCGATAATGGGTGCCTTTTTTGTAGTGGAGGTTGAGAAATGAAGAAAAAGAAGCATAAATAATATTAGTGATTGAGGTTGGACAATCTTAGTTTATGGTAAAGTTTTTTTCCTTAATCTTTTGTTGTTCTAATTGTGAACCAATGGACCAATCAAACCAGAGTGGTTCATTTGATTTCATGTCAAACCTGTAAGTAGGGATGACAATGGTTCGGGTTGGGGCGGGTTTTGCCAAATCCAAACTCATGGGTTTATCTGTAAAAAAACCCGGGGTAAAACCCGCTGGGTTTGAAAAACTCAAACCCAACCCGCTGGGTATCCGCGAGTTCATGGGTACCCCGTGGATTTTTGCAGTAAAAAATTTACAATAACAAATTTCTTCCAAATAAAAGTCTAACATCAATTTTCTCATAAAAATTATCCATACAAAAAAAACACCAATCTAGAGCATACAAGCAAACCGCAAATTATTAATACAAATTGTTCAAAATTAAAGATAAACATCTATAAACAACATGATTAATTGACAGCTCCTTCCTCTTTGTCAACTAAGCTTCTTCACTCTCCGCTCCATAATATCAACTTCATCATACACAATTAGAAAGAACAAATTAGACATGCCTCCACAAACATAAAGAAGATTAGTTGTTTATGGAAGATATATTGTTTAGAATATTAAATCTACCGAAAAAAATTAATTATATGAGTGAGGGTGGGTACCCATGGGGTGGGTTTGCCTAAACCCAAACCCAACCCAACCCGGTGATGGTATAGCGGGTTTAAACCCAAACCCGACCCAATACCCGTCAACACGGGTTTTACCAGCGTTGACCGGGTTGGGTCGGGTAGGGTACCCGTGGATTCGGGTTTTGTTGCCATCCCTACCTGTAAGGAAGTGGTTAAGTACCACACATGGACATCTCCCAACAACTCGATTTATTGGGACCAGTTGGTTCATGACATGGTATCAGAGCTAGTTTGTCCTCTGAGGTCACGTGTTCAAGTCCTCACGACCCCCAATATTAATCGTTGTCTTCAAGCACATGGTATGGCGGGCATGTGCAAACTTTAAGCTCATGAGTCGGCTTTCGTTTGAGGGGGCGTGTAAGGAAGTGGTTAAGTACCACACATGGACCTCTTCCCGCAACAACTCGATTTATTGGGAGAAGTTGGTTCATGACAAAACCGTAAAAAAAACCTTTGTGTTCATCCCTAACTGTCCTGTCAAATGCCCCAAAACTGTTATTATAACTGATTTCGTAGTTTTACTAGTCCGGCCAATAATCCGATTGGTAATAAGAAATCAATTAATTGGTAATTATCAAATTGCCAAATACCATTCTTCCAAGAAAGAAAAAAAAAAATCCAAATATATTGGTAATAATAAATTAATAATATATATATTTGCTGGGGTGGGAGGAAGGAACAAAAAGGACAAAAACATAATAATAGGCCGGTAGTACTAGTACCCATAACCCAATACTAGTCTAGTCGTCGTCTGGCGAATCTCCAATCTTACGGCCGTTGATGAAACAGCCGCTGCCAAAGTACAAACCCAGACTCCCTCCCCCAAAATCCCCATTTGATCGCAGAAACCACCAAAAAAACCTTCCACCATCACCCCTCTCAGATTCTCCGACCTACCCATCTCTCTTTTCGCCGTCCGCCATTGTTTCTCCCGATTGCCCGAGACGGCCGCTCCTCCGTCAATTGGTCATTCCTTCCGTTTCCTCAGCTTCAATTTTGCGGCTTTTCCTCCCACAAAGTCAAGACAGCATACTGAAATTGAACTGGCGTTGGTGGTGATGATACGATAATCAGCTGCCTCTCTCTTTGTGTCCTCTTTCTAGGGCTTTCCGGAGATTGTTTTGAGGTATGCTGAATTTTTTCCTTGCCTTTCCGAGTTCATGAGGGGAGAGGGTTGGCGTTTTCAGCGCATTGGTCTTTTCTCTGAGGTGTTCTTTTGCCATCTACAAAACCCATTCACTCGATTCGAATGCATGCCGTTTTACTAAAATGTATCTTCTACACGTAATGAGGATAGCTTTGGTTGGTGCTGACTGAATAGGGATTAGAGTGAATGAACTTGTTCCTGGCGATATTCTGTGGTATGGACTTGTAGTATTAGTGGGTAATTGGTTGTTTGTTTATGAGATTTAGAGTTCGGGTTTCCTTAAGTGTTTCTCCTGAAATGTCAATTGGGTTTTCCCTTTTCTGCAGTGGGCATGCAAGTATTCCTCCGGACGCCGGAATCATAGGTGCTGGGAAATGGGTCCTCTTGACATTAATATACTTGTTCTTTGAGGAGGATAAGTAAAGAATTTGTAAGAAGTGATATGGCTCGCAAAGGTAGTCAACAGAAGAATGGAATACCGAACCATAAGAAGAAAATCTCAGACTCAGAGTTAAAAGGACAAGGTAAAGCCAGTCAGGCAAAGGTTCTCCCAGGAGATGATCTGATAAATGGTGTTCCGCCAACTATTCCTGTTACAGATGCTACTAGGAAAACCGTGCATGTTGGAGATGAGAACACAGTCAAGCACCAAAAGTATGGGAAGTCTCAGAACAAAGAGAAGCAAGGAACAGATGGGATTCATAATGTAGAAGAAACAGTATCATGTGATAGTAATTTGAGCGATCCCATTAATCCTTCTCCGGAAAGTACCGGGTTGAGAGAAGAACATGGACAAGGAACTGGTAGTGTAAGTGGTCCTACCAACTGGACGAGCAACTCAGGCTACTTGATGGATCAGTTTCATGTTAGAAATTTCATGGAAAATTTGAATGTTTCCGGAGATGTAGCTTTTAGAAACTTGAGAGCAACATCTTTGTCCATGTTGAAGGCAGCAGGTGAGTGGATTGAGAAGCAGAGGCCATTGCCTGTTATCCTCACTTCCTACCTATGCAATGCTCGTGATTATGCTAAACAGAAGTTTGAGCTAGCTTATCCCTTCGTTTTGAAATGGCTCTGGCATCTTGGGAATATAGTCCTCTTTTTATCAATGGTTTGGTTGGATTTCACTCTAAGAGGAGTAGGTTCCTTTCTACGCATGGGAACAACATCATTTTTCTCACTTATATGGTGCAGCATTCTATCAATTGCTGCCATGGTTGGGATATTCAAGTTTCTTATTGTCCTGGTGAGTCCTCTTGATTATGCTTCATCAACTCACTTAGCAGAGCTCCAAGTTATGCATCTTAAAGACTTTTTGCCATTTAATGTATAGCCTCCAGCTTTAGTTTCTGGTCATACATCATATAAAGTAGTTGAAGTCCTTTTGGCACTTAATATCTTCTGTTTCCTCAGTTATTAGGAACCGTCATCAGTAGTTTTATTAATCCATTTGGATACCAGTGCGTATACCAGTTACCTGTTATATACCCTGGTGTCGCTGTTATCAGAATTTGGCTTCACTATAATCTTTATCTCTATTGTCTATAATGTTTACTAAATGTCAAATTGCGCAGGTCATAGCTGCTGCTGTTGGAGTTTTAATAGGTTTTACCCTTGGGATTTTAGTAGTTGTTATTTCTGCTACTATTTTCCTATGGTGTTATGGAAGCTTTTGGACAACAGCATGCATTACAGCAATATCTGGTAACTGTGTTCACTTTCTGAATGCATTTCATCTACTTTCTTACAGATGTGAACGCTGACCTTTTTCCTCCCTGTCATTCTTCAGGATTGGCATTCATATCAAGCCATGAAAGTCTTGCTTTACTAATTGCCACTGTTTACTCGGTGTACTGTGCATGGGGATATGTTGGATGGCTTGGTTTACTTTTGGCATTGAATTTGGCTTTTATCTCAAGTGACATTTTGGTTTACTTCCTAAAGAATAATGGTAACCAGCATAGAAGCTCCGATGGATCATCTGAGAATTCAGCAGGACCAGAAGGTCAACCCAACTTCTCAACTGGTGAATCTTTCCCACATGGATTCCCGGAATCTATGCCTGGGGTGTCTGTAGACCGTAGCCCTGGTGTGGCGTCAACCAGTGGAGCTGACTCAGATTTAAGTTCTGAAGATGAGGTTATCCGGTTGTTGAACTGTACTGATCACTATTCCGTGTTGGGACTGGGCCGCTATGAGCCTGTAGATGTTACTCTACTGAAGAGGGAATATAGGAAAAAGGTATGGTGTTATTACCACTGCCCCATGTACTTCATATCATGCTCTCAAACTTCAAGAATTGCTTCATTGAGTTGAGTATTTGAATTATGACTTCCTCATTCTTTATTATTGCTGTTATATCAAGTTTGTGGTTTGAACTATCTTCAGGCGATGTTGGTTCATCCTGACAAGAACATGGGCAATGATAAGGCAGCAGAAGCCTTTAAAAAACTTCAAAACGCATATGAGGTAAATGACTGGGTTCTACCTGTTTAAGCCCAATACAAAGTTTTTATCTGAGATTTTCTCTTATTTTGGTTTTTCATTCTAGGTATTACTTGATTCCTCAAAGCAAAAAGCATACGATGACGATTTGCGGAGGGAAGAATTGTTAAACTATTTCCGCCGTTTTCATAGCAACTCCCAAAAGGTTTTCTTATATATATATTTCCCCTGCTATTATTTGTCCTCGTCTTATCTGCATAAACATTCTTGCCTCGTTCTTGAAGCTCTGGTTTTGATATGTGTTATTTGAGGCTCTTTGATTTCCTTTGGACTTCTGTAAGAAGAAACATTACTTCGAGCTAGAATACGACTGCAAATATATTCCTTGTAAGTGCTCTGATTGTATGGTAAGCTTTGCGTCTCACATGACTAATTTACCCAGAATGGAGTACATGGTCCCTTCCCACCTGGATTCACTCATCCAGAAGCTGATGGAGATCCTTTTGGTGATTCAAGACGAATAGCCTGCAAAAAGTGTGGCAACTTCCATATCTGGGTCCATACTGGGAAACAAAAATCTCGTGCAAGATGGTGTCAGGTTTTCCCTTTCACAAGCTATTTTGTATAAATTATTTGATTTTTGTGGTCTTGAAGCTAGGATTAAGCACTTGGTGCATCTGATCTTCCAGCGTTGCTTTGTAGCCAATTGATTTTCTTATAGTCCTTGTTATTCTTACTTGCTTACTGTTTGTAATTCCATAGGAATGCAAAGATTTGCATCCAGCAAAAGATGGAGATGGATGGGTTGAGCAGTCTACACAACCATTCTTATTTGGGTTACTACAGAAGGTATGTGCCGGTACTTTATTGTTTATCCTTCTGAAGCTGATTAGCAGGGTTGTCAAAAGCATTCCTCAGGCAACCAGTTTGTGCCCCGTTTGTGTCTGCTGATTACTTGTTTTCGACCAATGTCCTTGTGTATGATAGCGGTTTTTGCCTTTTGCTTTTATCTAGAGAGGTTATTGCAAGATGCAAGTGTGTGAAAAAAATTATTAAAACAGATTAGAAGATTGTGAAATGATCAAGGGGCCTCATAATTAATTGACTTCTTTAGGTAGATGAAATTGCTAGAAGATCTGAGTTTTGCTAGCTAAAGTTTTGGAATATTATGGAATAGACCCGAAGATAGGGCTGAAACTGTAGAAATCATGAGTACCGTGTGGTCCACATCAAACCAAAATTCCATTTTGAAGGTGGAAACTAAGAGTTGAAGGATATATGTTATCAAGAAGTTGGTTTTTAGATCAACTGGCACCTGTTGAATCAATACCGACTACAGTTAATGTAAGGCGTACTGTAACTGTAAGTGTAACCTCCATTAGATATGAGTTGATTTCTGAAGCTATTTAGTAGGTCATTCAGTTGATAAGATGGTTGCGCTATGCTTTGCTCCTACTTTAACCCTTTCCCTTTCCCTTTCGACCGTCATTCCTTCATCCACACTGAAACCAGTATACACATATGCAGGTGGAACCCCCTTGTGCTTATGTTTGTGCAGATAGCAAGATATACAATGCCACCGAATGGTATAGTTGTCAGGTGAGAGAATACTACTTCCTTTCTCTCGGCTGGTATCGTATCATAACCGTTGCCTCTCCATGCTAAAAATTTGTATTCCAACTCTGCTTTCTAACAGGGAATGAGATGTCCAGTCAATACCCACAAACCTAGTTTCCATGTGAATACTAGTCTTACCTCCAAACACCCAAATCCCAACAAGGGCCCAACAAGCTCTGCCGCTAAAGGCCCCCGGGTGCCTCCTCCACCTCGACCATCGCCTAACTTGGAAGAAACAATGACAGAGGAAGAGTTCTTCGAGTGGTTTCAGAATGCCGTGCAGTCTGGGATGTTTGAGAACTTCGGCGGTGCTTCTGCCGCCGAGACCCCATCCTCTTCCAAGGCAGCTGGTGGAAGTGGTAGTGGGGGTAACAGTAGGAAGAAGAAAGGGGGGAGAAGCAATGGTAAGAGAAGGTGAACGAATGATGGTAAGTAGGGGGTGATCGTTTACTTGTTGGTAAGCCCTTTCTTCTCGTTACCATGTTGTGGCCAAGGGCATGAGAACTGAGATAGATAGAGAGAGGGCTGTTGTAAGAAGTGGTTTTCATTTAGCGATTGCCCGCAGTTAGTGCGCTTAATGCGAGATGAAGGCTGAAGGAGGAGGAAACTTGGGCTACTTGATTTTTGGGCTGGTAAGCTAGCGGCTTATGCGTGTAACTGTAATCACGAGGGGCCGAGGAGTAAGATGGAAAGAGTAGTTTAAGAGATTGCTAGTTCCAACTTTCATCTCATAGTCATTTTTCTTTGTACTAAAGCTTGTTTTGCTTGTTGCCTTCCCCAGCTCCGCCAACACTACCACCACTACCGCCATCGTCGAATGTGATCATTATATATCTCGATACTAAGAACGCTACAATCCGCATTGACATATTAACTCGGGCACAACTTGTTATTCGTATCTTACTATTACTTGATAAGTCTTAGTCATGTTGGCTCTAGATTTTTGAAGAGTTGAGTCATTTTGATAGATGGATAAGTTCCTACTAGTGACAACTGACAAATTGTAGCACACCATTTGATAGATGGATAAATTATTACTAACGACAAACAAATTGTAGGCTCTCTTTGACGACGAGAACAAACCCTAATTACTGCTACATCTGTTCCTACGAACTACTACGCCACCCCTATGAAACTACCATACAACATCATCAACAATAAAACCTAAAATGGCAAATCATAAATACAATGAGAAACATCTCAAACCCTAAACCACTTAAACCTATTTAGACAACTCATAAAAAGGCCAAACCACTACGGTCCAACCCTGAATTTTGAATCACTATGACCCAACCGGGTACGACGGGATTTTCAAGTTGGAGCGCTCAAATTTCTGAATTAAAGGGCTGGTCGGCTGGGCCGGCCCATCTATGTACTTGTAAGTTGCTGCTGTAGTTGCGCAGCTTGTCGTCAATGGAGTCGCTTTTCCACACCTCCTCTGTATTGTATCCAAACCCAACCCTAGTCGGACGACGGGCAATCGGCGGTGGAAGCAGAAACTCTGCCCTCTCTTTCAACTCCCCCCTTCATTTCTCTTCCTCGTCTTCTCCTTCTTCCTCCGCTCCTCCGCCGACCCTCAATTTGAGGAGGAAATCGACTGCGGCAGTTCGTGCTCGGAAGAAGAAAGACAAGAAATACGACGATGACGGCCATTACTTCGCTCCCAAACAAGATGAATCCACCGGACCTTTCCCCGAAGCCGTCCTTCTCCGGCAGGTCCTCTCTCGCTCTCTCCGTTTTCAGGGGGGTTTTGCTGCGGTTTAGCCCTTTTCTTCATTCCTCTCGTATTAAGCTCTTTATATATGCCATGGATTGCAGAAGCAAGTGCAGGAAGACGGCAGCGTGATGCCCGAATTCGCTGACGATGAAGAAGGTAGAACTCGTTATCTCTTTTTTTTTTCGGTGGAAGAACTCGTTATCTCTGTCCCCGTGTTGTTTTTTCTCGACGAATTTGCTGAATTGTGGTCGTGATGATTTTTTGTTCGATTGATTTCTGCAGAAGAGCTATACGAATTTCTTAACCTGGAGCTTCAAAGCGATTTGAAGGTCGACCTCAGTATGTAACTCAACCTTTCCTTTTGTTTCTCGTTCAACTGCCTCTGCCGCTTCTCTGCTTCTTGAGCTCATTTCGGAGGACCTTCCATGGTTGAATTGAGGGCTCTGTTCATATCTGTTTCCTTTGTTTTGTATTTTTAGTGCGGCATTACGAAGTTGTTTATCTAATTCATGAGAAGCATGCTGAAGAAGTTGATACTGTGAACGCAAAGGTTCAAGGTAGAGTGAATTACTACAATGTTCCTTGGACTACAGATAGTTGAATTTTATATTTAAGTGAAATGTTGTTAATGCTTGTTAAAAGAAACCTTGGTTTTTGGCTAGATTTCTTGAGGGAGAAGAAGGGAAAGATATGGAGAATGAACGACTGGGGGATGAGAAGGCTAGCATACAAGATTCAGAAAGCCAAGAACGCGCACTACATTCTGATGAACTTCGAGCTGGAAGCCAGATGGATCGATGAGTTCAAGACCATGCTAGACCAAGACGAGAGGGTCATTCGACACCTCGTGATCAAGAGAGATAAAGCCATCACTGAGGACTGCCCTCCACCACCCGAGTTCCATACCCTTCGCGCTGATATGGATGGCGATGATGATGAAGATGAAGAGTTTGACGATGACGAGGAGTGGGATGAAGATGATGAAGAAGGTGAGATGGAGGGTGATGAAGAGATGGAAGATGATGATGGAGTTGTGATTGTGAACATTGATGATGATGAAGAGAATGAAAATGGGAGGGTCCATTTAACTGGTGTAAGCAACTTGAGGAGAAGGAATAAGGTGGCTGATCAAGTGAGAAGGTAATTTCTTCAACCTTTTCCTTTTTGTTCTGGTCTATGAACCTGGAGGGTAGGTCTAATTAGTGTGTATTACTTAATGGTTCTGTGGTTTCATCAGACGACAATATAGTAACAGGTAGATCATATTCCTACGACTGATTGAGCTCCTTATCTCTGGATATTTCACTTTCTACTTTCGCCATTGCTATTAGTTGCCTAAGCTTCCTTGTTTCAGCTAAGTACAGCTTCGTACGCCTGTAGTTCTCTTTGACAATCACTCGAATCAGTATTTGATTTCGAATGGCGCCTCGAGAGGCGAGAGCTATGTGTACTTCTCGGATATGTAAGTGGGATCGAGGAAAACGACTTTGGGATCAGAGTAAACGGAGTTGGAATGTGTTCTCTCTATGAGCGTTGGTTGTGCTCCGAAGAGAAGGGATCTTGAATGGCATAAGGAGTCGGAGCGTAGAGCCAGTTTGGCAGAGCTCAAGGCTCTGAGGGAAAAGCCGGTCAAGGCTTGGAGCCGAGGCTAGTGGTCTACATCCAAGACTGGCAGGCAAAGCTCGAGGCCAAGCCCGCCGGGGGATTGGCTTGGGATTCTTCCTGAGGCCGGCTCGACAGGCTGGAACCGCTGCCCTGGCCAGCCTAGCTAACTTGAGAGAAGTTTGCAGAAGGATGTAACTTGTTAGAGCTGACATGAGCGAGCCTGGTTGTCAAGGTTAACAACAATCTTTAGAAAAGTTCAACCCAGATTTGGACGTAAATAGCTCTAGTGTTTGGCTTGGGAGGATGAGTTGGAAACATCGATGATAGGTCACACGCCTACTTTTGGATTTGGGGAGGAAATGTGAAATGAAATCTCGTTGGGGGACAGTTGGTAATGGATTGCAATGTAATATGCGTAAATGTTTGAATTCCATAACAGCATTTATTTTAGGTAGAATTGGTCTTCTTCCTCGCTGAGGATGCTCTTCGCAATTCAAACTCTTGTATACTATGAATTCTGAACGATATGAGTCTGTTTATCTTCAAATTTAGATAAATAAAATAAAGTATTTGTTTTTAAAATTTATATGCTAAACATTTTTACTTTGATGCAAATGCTTTGTGTTCGAGCCCAAGCGACTAAAGAGCCATTTAGGTTCGGAGGGTTTGGAGAGTGAGACATAACTACAATGGAACAGACGCCCCACTTCTTAAGAGAGTAAGAGAAGAAGTTAAAGAAAGAAAGTGATGATTAGTTGTAGTAAATATAGATAGTTTGTCATTTATGAATAGATAACGTTTATTATTTTTTTTATAAGGTTGATATAGGTTTTTTTTTTTTGTGATTAAGGTACTACTTAAGAGATTCGAACCTGGGACCTCCAGATTCTAGGCTAGTGGTATTACCACTAGACCAAGCCCTTGTTCATAGCTAACTTTTATTATTTATATAAATTTGAATGTTAGGTACATGGTTTTGGCGTCTGCCAAGCCATAAATGATGTGGTAGGGCGTTTGAGGGTCTCTGATATTGTACATTGTACTATCATGTCAGAAGGTGTTCGCCCTTCAATGGTGTAGAAAGTGTTACTTTGACCTCTCATTTGTTGATGTTAGGTGTGTAAACTTGTCTCTTGGCTTTATCCTCTTCGTGAGCTCTTTTGTCTCTTATCTTGATGATGTTAGTCATTAGGATTTTGGCCTTATGAAATTTCTCCATTTACAAACTTTTGGCCCTTATACCCTATAACTTTGCAAGTTATAGATAATACTATAAAAAATTTATATAAAGATCACTATTTAATAACATAATCAGAATTACTGGAAAAATCTTAATTAAGGGCTCTTTTGGTGAATTGAAATTTTGGATTCTAAACAATTCAAATTGAGAAAATATTTTAAATTTTTTATTGTTTGATAATTACTATTGCTTCAGTGAAAAATAGAAACTATATTTTTTATCGAACAACATATTTAAATTTAATAACAAGAATTAGACGGGTTTGAGAAACATTAATGTGAATTTTTTTTTTTTATGAAGCGGTTGGAATTTCATTTCATCAAAAAGCACCAGTTACAATGCTGGCAACATCTCTGGCAGCTGAGCAAAGGACAGCAGAACCATGGGACTTAGACAAACAAAAACAGCACCTGAAAAGAAACTCAGAAATACAAGCAGACTATTTCTGGATCAGCAATCACCCTTATATCCCCTTTAATTCGCATCATCAGATCATGGAAATCAGCTTTTCTCCCTGCATACTTAACCAAGCAACGTTCTCTCCAGATTGAAGCAATCAAAGCCTGCCAAATTAACTTCCCAGTTTGTGATGAGATTGTGGATCCTTTGAAAGCAGATATAGCCCACTGAAGCTTAGTAGTCCATTGATCTCCAGGGGTTCTATCTGCAAAATTGGCAAACAGAGCTACATACAACTGTTTAAACAAATGACATTCAGCAAACAAGTGAGATCTCGTTTCCAAGCTGCACGAGCAAAACACACATCCATAATCTCCTGAACCACCCTACCCCTGAGCTTTCTCTCCAGTTGTGATACAATCAGTGACAACAAGCCAAACCAGGAACTGGTTCCTTGGAATATTTGGACCTTTCCAAATCAGAGTTTTCCAAGGGACATAGCTCCTTTTGGGACCAAACTCCTCCCAAACCTTTCTGATGCATAATTTAGGCATTAGTGCACCCTTCCAATAGACCCCATCAGAAGCAACAGAGAACCAACCTCTGACCTTATCCCTGATCTTCAATATTTTCTGCCAAAGCCAGGAGCCAGCTTTGGAGGTAAGAGTCCAGAAATTACCCCCTTTTATCCGATATTCCCAGATCCAAGCAACCCAAAGAGACCCTTGCCTAAACAAAACAGCCCAGATGTGCCTTACAACACAAGCAAGATTCCAAGTGCCCATATCCCTTAGTCCCAGTCCCCCTTCCTTTTTAGGATAAGTAATTCGAGACCAAGCAACCACTGCTTTCTTCCTAGCACCATCTCCAACCCCCCACAAAAAATCACTGCACACTTTTTCTATAGCTTTGATGACAGCCTTAGGTAAAATGAAGATCGACATCCAAAAATGGGAGAGGCTGTACAAAACAGAGATCACAAGTTGAATTTTACCAGCATAAGACAGAGACTTTGATTTCCAGCTATTAATTCTGCTCATAACTCTATCTATGAGAGGTTTGCAAGCTTTGATTGTTAGTTTGCCAGGAAGCAGAGGGAGCCCCAGATAACGAACTGGAAGTGACCCCAATTTGTAACCTGAGTGCTGAGACATCAGCTCCTGCCATTGTTCACAAATGCCGCCACAGTAGAGCTCACATTTGGAAGGGTTTGATCAGAGCCCAGACATGTATCTAAAATCTTCCAGAACCCTTTTGATACATTGGATCCCAAAGTTCGAGCGATCAGAAAACAGTAAAAGATCGTCCGCAAACATAAGATGGGTGAGCTTAAGTCTTTTACACATAGGGTGAAAAGGCATAGCATTCTGAAGAACAGCCTTATTCATCAGGCAAGAAAAGATTTCCATAACTACAGCAAAGAGGTAGGGGGAAAGGGGATCCCCTTGCCTCAACCCTTTTTTTTGCAGGGAAGTACACTATTGAACCACCATTAAAACCAATGCTAAACTTCGGGGTGGTGACACACATTCTTAGCCAAACAAGGAATTTTTCAGGGAATCCCATATAGTGAATTTTTTAGTAAGTGCATATAGTGAATTTTTTTAAAAAAAAAAGAGATAAAATAGTAGTAAAAACTCTCAAAAATCAATGTGTAGAATCTCTCTGAGAGATTTGTTATTTAATAGATAATTAAATCTCTAAACTAAGGAGAAAATAACCCAAATAAAATGCTACAGGTAAAGAGGTGGATTATACTAGAAATTTTGGAAATGTCGAACATTTTAACATCTAAAACACCTATTAACGAGTTTTATATATGGGAAGGTAATTGAATTAGGCGAATTAATCGCGGAGCGCCATTAAAGCTAGGGGTGAACAAACACCCCGCAAACTGATCCACCCATTCAATTCGATCCAACCCACCCGTATTTATCGCTAAAACTATGGTTTTTGGTTGGGTGAGGGTTTTCTTTTGTACAACCCGCCTCCTTTGGGTTGGGTTTGGATTTTGGATTACACAACCCGTAGAACCCGATCCAACCCGTATTCCAACTATTAGTATGAGGTCGTATCCAAAAACTATTTATGTCATATATAGCCATACTTATGAGAAAATTAAGATATTTCGCCATGTTTTTCTCCCATGATCTCCCTAATCTAATGCATTCTTCGGCTTAAAGTTTAGACATAGATTTAATATAGCTATGATTCACGAAATCCTTTTTCTTGTATACAATTTTAATAGAATAACATATTATGGATGCGTTCGTTTATAACCCTTTTAGCCTATTTCAACAAATGTCGTGAAAAAAATTAGACATATGTTGAAATAAATCACATTTTATTAAAATTCAAACAACATTTGTGAATTTTGATACCTTTCACCTCGATTTATTCATTTGAAATTTTAATTAATTATAAATATTTTATGGTGTAGAAGCATTACATATTTTGTGTTGGGTTGGGTTTTTACATTAGAATATCGCCAACCCAACCCAATTAGAAACAAACCGTAGGGTTCTAATTTTTTGGGTGGGTTTGGGTTTAATATTTCCCAAACCGTAGTGTATGGGTCGGGTGATTAAAATGTCTAAACCCGGACCACCCGAACTATATATAACCCTAATTAAAGCTACATCTTTCGCTACTCCTACTCCACGCCATTGGAAGAAGAAAAGCAGAGCTAGTGCTTCCATGTAATGGTTGTTTGACCTACAAATTAAACCAATACCAAATGCTACTAAATTACACTAAATAAACTGGATAGCAATTAAGATAATAACAGTACGGATTGAAGCAATATCAAATTGAGACTAGTTAGGAATGGTAATTTGAATTCGTTTATGTTAACGATCTTAGTAGCGATGGGACGAGTATTACCCAATTTGTCGTAGCATAGGTGAAGCATGACGCACTACTTCCGACCTATCTTGCTCTATCCCGCCTTATTCTTGACCTATCCTATCTCAATCCATTTTTATCTTAGTCTACGGGTCTTTAAAAAATATAATCTATTTATCTCAAAATCTATTTATATTCTTCAATTTGGGCTTTCTACTATCATATTTTCACTCAATGGAACCTTGAATAGTTTCAAGACTTGATCTTTTAGTTGAACTCAATTAACCATTCTACTATACCTTATTTTCATTCATAAAGTATTTTCTTTTCTTTTATTGTAAGAACAAAAATTATATTTTTTTTAATGTAAAAATGGGTCGACCTATCCCGACCTATACTTGCACGGGTATTACCCAACCCGACTCGCACTTGGTATGAGTAGTATAAGTATTGAGACACTTGTTTGCCATTACTGGCCGTACCATTTCAAATTGACCATACAACAAAGTGAGAAGGTAATTATACAATGGACAAAATCAATACTAATAACAAATTAACCATACCATTACAAACATCAAGCAAAATCATTACCATAGAAATATACCCAGTACGAGTAGAACTACATATGAGTGCCGCCATTACCAAACTTAATAAACAATACCATAAAAGTCAACTAAGATGCTTCTACTAGTAGTCTAGTACCACCAAACTTAGTACAAGTATGAATTGAAGCAATATCAAAACTGAGATGGTACTACAAGTAAGAATTTAACAAATACCAAATTGAGAAATTAATACTAATACCTATACGAATTGAACTAATACCAAACTGAGATTGTACCGATGAGAAGGGATTTTTTTTATAAGCGTGATTTAGGTTTATTTTTTGTGGTTAAGTAATACTTAACTTATTCGAAGTTGAGACTTTCAGGTTCAAAACTAGTAGTACCACTAGATCAAACCCTTATAGGAGTTTACATGGATATGAAACCTTCATCGGTCATCGCGGTTTTGTCAGTGGTCCGGATAAGAGAAAAACTGGGTATACGAATAGGATGGAAAATGAAAGTTCGACAAAGAGAAACACTTTCTCTCTCTTTCCTCTATTCTTTCCTTTTTTATGGATAATGACGCCAACAAGTGACGTTTGAAGGAGCGGTCTGAAGGAGCGATGGATGAGAGAATGGTCATATTTAGGGGTGTACAACGGTTTAATTTATACCGGAAAGCATCGAATGAAACCGACACTTAAACCATACCAAACGTGGTCCAATACTCGTGAATTTTATAAACAATGAAGAAAAAAATGTATCAAATCAACATTTAGACCGTATCACATAAGATCAAATACAATATTGATTTGATCCTTTATTCTAAGATGTATTTCACTGTTGAACCGCAGTTCGATCCGTTTGAAAACCGAACATTGCACACTCCTAACAATAGTAGCTACTAGGGGTCGGCAACATGCTAACCCGGTGCCCATTCATGTCCTTGGTGACCAACAAAAAGAAAAAGGCAAAAAGAGCAATATCAATTTGCTTGTTCTTGAATTTGCTCTCTCCCCTCCTCTCTTGAATGAGCAACACTTGTTCACTCACCCTCTTGCGCCGCGTGTCCCTCACACTCTTTAACCCCCCCTTATTATAAATACACGTAGTTTATCAATTTCAACATTTCATTCCCATCTTCACAAAACTCTCCACTCCTCTCTCGCTCTCAGCCATGGCCACCTCCCATCCCGTCTGCTCCTTCATCTTCTTAACATCACTTCTTCTTCTCCTTCCATCCTCCCACTCTACTCCATTCGGCGGCCGCATCGCTCCGGCCACCGTGCCCCAATCCGACGTCGATCTCCTCGAGTTCCCCTTGAACCTAGAGTACCTCGAGGCAGAGTTCTTCCTCTTCGGCGCCTTGGGCCACGGCCTGGACGTCTACGCCCCCAACTTGACCGCCGGCGGCCCACCGCCCATCGGCGGCCGCAAGGCCAATCTCGACGTTATCACGCGTGACATCATCGAGCAATTTGCATGGCAAGAAGTCGGCCACGTGAAGTACTTACAACTATAATTAACTAACTAACTTCCAAGTTCTAATTTTTGCAGCTTTCCACTTTGGTGTTTAGTTGGCGGTTAATTTGGTGGTAAATTTGGTTGAACTTTTAATTTTGCAAGGGCGATTAAAACCAGCGTGAAGGGATTTCCAAGGCCACAGCTCGATCTGAGCGCTGCAACGTTTGCGAAGGTGATCAACGACGCATTTGGAAGGCCATTGTCGCCGCCTTTCGATCCTTACGCCAATGGGATCAACTACCTCATCGCCTGTTACCTCATTCCTTACGTTGGGCTCACTGGGTACGTTGGAGCCAACCCAAAGCTCCAAGGCCCAGGTTCTAGACAGGTATATGCTAAGAGGAAGCCCATCCACCGTCATTTCTAAGAACAGTTGTCACTTTCATAAACTTTTAGTTGAATTGCTGGAGGTGGAGGAAATTCATGGATAGAGTAGTCAAAATTTCGATTTAAATCATAAAGTCGTTACGATTTTACAATATTACTTATCTGTTTCGATCCTAATTTTACTATAAAATCTATGTGGACCTTAAAATCTTACAATATTCACGATTGAAGTTTTTAAAGTGTTTAGAATCCTACGATTTTTCAAGATTTGAACGTCCATATTGAATTGATTGAATTTGTACCGAATTAAGGCAAGTTATTAGGAATAAGAGATCAGATCTTTGAGTCCGATTTACTTATTTTACCCCCCAAATTAACAAAACATAACTTTTTTTCCCTTCTTCATCATCAACATCGTAAAGTTCTCTCTAACTTACCACCATCTACCATCATCAGTTCATGTTAACGCATTAATCCCCATCGATTCATCCTTTTCCAACATTAACCTTGAAAAATTAGACATTAAGATCGAGAAATTATCATTTTAAGTGTTATGTGTCTTTGTTGTTGTTCATAATTTTTCTTATTAATATTATTTAGTGTTTGTTTTAATGTGGACTTTAAAGTCCCCACAATTTTTACGATTCAGATTTTACTTTAGTTTTTTTTTTTTTTTACTTACATTAACTGTGTTACATGTATGGGACTCAATCACTTCCTTATGTTTACTAACGAATCATTTCTTTGCTTTCTACCGCGTTCCGACGATCGATCAGCTGCTGGCGGGGCTGCTGGCGGTGGAATCGGGGCAAGACGCGGTGATAAGGGGCCTGCTGTACGAGCGGGCGATGGTGACGGTGCGTCCGTACGGGATCACGGTGGCGGAGTTCACCAACCGGATCTCGGTGCTGAGGAACAAGCTGGGGAGCGCCGGGATCAAGGACGAAGGGCTGGTGGTTCCCAGGGTGTTGGGCGCCGAAGGCAGAGTGAGAGGCAACGTGCTGGCCGGCGACGAGCTCTCGCTGGGCTACGGGAGGACACCGGAGGAGATACTGAGGATTGTGTACGGCGGCGGGAACGAGTCCTCGCCTGGCGGGTTCTACCCTAAGGGCGCCCGCGGTCGCATTGCCGAATATCATTTGGCCCATGTGTAGAAGAAAGGTCGTTTTTAGAGTGTTGCAGATGGATTTATGCCCTAGTTTTGTGTTGGTTTCGTCCAAGTAATAAAAGTTGGGAGTATTTTGTCCCAAAACAAGAAAGCTGGGGTGGTTTTTGTACGATGATCTTGTTTAGATATTTGAAATAGAAAGAGTAAGGAATAAGATAGGAGGCAATGGAAGATACATCTTTTTGTCTTGCAGAAAGATAAGTAGGTTGGGTAAAAATTATCACTAACAAAAGTAGTGTGTTTGTGAATATATTTTAGTCAAATTGATACTTGATCTAAGACAAATGCATGAAGTATTTGATAAAGTTTTGGATAATTACCTATCTTTTTCAAATTAATTCGTCAAAATGATTGGTGTAATGATAAGAGCCGGTGGCGGACCAATAATTCTCGTACAGGTGTGTCGGTCGATAAAATTAAATAAATTTTTATTATATTTTTTTTGTGAAACACAACGAGAAGTGTGATCGAAAGAGGTAAAGGAAGGGAAATACTAGGGTATTTTTTATAAGATAGACAATACTAAAGAGCGGTAGTCCATATGCAATCAGACTCAGGATGAAAGAGCCTTTTTTGTCACTAGGTGGACAGCTCTATGAAAACTACAAGGATCAAGAAGAAACAAAACTTATTCATGTAGAGAGAAAAAGGAGAAAACTTCCTTACGATTACCCCTACCCAAGACCTAAGAGTAATAAACCATTGCGTCCAAATGCTTAAGCAATGGAAAGAACACCAAATTCTGATAAGTTAACTAAAATATAAAATAAATAATATATTTACGTATTTTGGGAACTTTATGCCACCAATTTCATCGTCGTGTATTGAAAGTGTGTCGATTACAATTATTGAAGGTGTGTCGGAAGTCCTAAATTCCAAAAAATTATACCGACAAAACATGGGTTTCTCACAAAATATTCATGGGTCCGCCCCTGATAAGAGCTACGAGAACCCAGGCGCTCAAGCAACATATGCTAGAAGACATACTGAAAGAAACTGAAAACGAGAAAGACAATCGATTCACGTGGTATCTTTGAATAAGAAACTGGAAATGATAATAATAACTGATTTTATGTGGTATCTCTGAATAATCAAGACTATCTACGAGAGAGTTTGGACACTCTCAGAGCTACTGATCTGTATTACTTGATAATCTCGACACATCCTACTCAGCCACATATATACAACACAAACCCTACACTTGATAATCTCGACAGACATCGAAGAATAAGAGTGCTACGAGGCTGAGATCCCAGTCGGGCAAAACAATTAGGCTATGGACCTCGGTGGTCTGAGCCAAACTACTCGTCCTTATTGACAGCAAATCTACTCATAATTTTTCCAGTAACTGAGTTGTTGTCATTCTTCAATCCAACCTTTCAACATTAAGATCGAGGATGGTAAGTGAATTCCGGTTTTCCGGCGAGAAAAATCTTGTGTTTAATTTCAATCAATGCACCTTGAACAACGACAATAACACAGTTCACACCCTCTCCGAACAATGTTCGAACGAGTGTGTTTGATGTTTTTATGGTTTTTTGGGAACAAGCTAAGTTAATTACACCTACTCTTATGGAGGTTCAGTAAGAGCTCCGAAAACTAAAGACTAAAGGCTAATTTGCATTATTAAGATAATTTTTGACATTGTGTGTCAAATGTTTGGTTGTCGACCGAACCCTTGCTTCTTTTTCGTTTCTCCTATTTATAGCCACTAGGTGTAACTGCATTGGCAACCGCCCTGGTAACTGCTAGCTGGCATGTTGCTCCAACCACCTTGGGGACCCCTTGTCATCGCCTTGATAGTCAATTGGTAACCGTTGTCTTGGTCATCTCCCCCATTGCCTTGGGGATCCTTAGACCGTCTTGTTGACTAGTTGGTACTTGTCATCTGGGTGGCTTGGAATCGGGCTTGATTGGTGTTGTGTTGAGCTCCATCTTGCCGCCTCATGTTGACTAGAAGGGGTTGGGGCCTCCTTGTCTTGCCTCCACCACATTGGTCCTCTCATCGGGCCTCCTCAACGACCCCGCACTTAGCTCCTTTATTGCTGACTTAGTACCATCTCGTCTTGTTACCTATCTCGCCTCTCAACTTGCCATCCTCATCTTGTTAGCTAGGCCTTTTTACCCACATAGACAAGATGAGAACTTTGACTCTTTCCCCACCAAGTCTCCACACTTAATCTTAGAGAGCTTGTCGTGGCAAAAACTTGACATCTTGGTATCAAACCCGTCTTATCGGCCGGCTTAGCACCCTCTTGCTTGGCTACCAACCCTAGTTTGTTGGCTTGACACCCTGATGGTGTCTTGGTATCAAGCCCGCCTTATCGGCTTGGTACCTCCTTGGCTCCATAATTAGCCAATTTTCATGTGCTTTGGTACCAAGTTTGACACCCTATTTTGCCGCCTTGTTTCCATACAAGGTTTTTGGGAGCCAAATTTCATACCAAGGGGTAGAGGCATCGTTCGACTATGGGGGCCAAGGAGTCGGAGACTGGTCGGGCCATCATGTATGGGAGAAGGAGTTTGGCCACTTAAGCCCAAAAACCCAAGCCAACAAGGCCAAACTAGTACTTTTAATTAATAAACGTTGAGCTAATCTTATAAATTTATTAAATCTCTTTTAGTTAATCGATGTGGTACAAGCTAATTTTTTATGGATAAACAATTTCCTGTACAACGAAGTATGAGAACGATGAACTCCACGTGCATGCAGCCACATTCCATGTTAGATTATTTGATATAGACTTAGTTAGCAACCTAAGGGGCTTGCGTCCACTGATCACACCCCTGTTTCACTTAAGCATTTAGCTAATGAAATCATGTGTAAAGCACCATTTGTGATAGGGATGGAGCTTTTGTTGATTTGATAAATATGTTATGTCGCCTTGAGTGATATGGTAGAGATTCCGTTAATTCGGCTTGTTATTTCGTTTCATGGATAACTATAAGATTGAAGAGTGTCTTCAATAATCGTAGGAAATAAAAGAAGGCAGTCAATTATTAAGTATAAACCCACAACTCTCAAACTAGTCGGTTCTTGCCAGAAAAAGAAGAACACAATCACTCTCTTTTTTTTTTGTCCAAGAAGGCACAAGAAAAGAGAACCACATTATAAGACTGACTTCAACGACACACGGTAGTTCGTATGCAACCAAACTACCGATGAAAGAGCCTTTTTTGCCACTGTACGGACAACTCTAGGAAAAAAAGACACCATACAACAAAAATGTAAGAGATGAAAATACATAACCTCACAGATAGCCTCCACCAATGAGTGAGTTGGCCAAAAATGTTAAATGCCTGGTTATGAGTTGTTACCATATGTCACAATAAAAAAATAACCATTAAACACTATCGCATAACAACTTGAAGAGAAAACAATTTAGCAATAAAGGCATACGAGAAACCATCCTTAAATTTACCAACATAAAATGAGATCGAATCATCACCTGATATGCCTACAAGCCGGTTGCACTTTCTTGATTTGGCTACGTTGCATCCATCCTATTCACAACATTGACTGCCTTGAGTTGGGTAGTGCTTCTAGCGAACATTGCCTACCTTTTTCTTTCAATCCTTCTGTTCCTCCGCCGGCCTTCAATCATCCACATGAACTGTTAGTTGACGAAACAAACATTTTGATCGGGTATAGATAAATTCATAGTACAGCAATTTTATCATGGATTCACACAAATTTGAGTGTGCAGCGATTTGGTTCGGTCCGGACATACCAAATTCATGAAAACCGCAATTCATTTTTGCATTCGGTAGATTTTTGTCCGATCCTTGATCCAAAGGGAAGAATCTTCAAACTGAGAAATTATGGGAATAATATGAGGATATCAAGATCAATCTTTTTTTTTTTTTTTTGCATTGAAGGAGGCACTGAGCCGAAGAAGACTGAAACACGGGGGACGAGAGAAGTTACAGAGAGGAGGCTGGGGTACTAATCACAATATTCCTCAAACTTGTAATACCCCTCTGGTCATCTTGCAGAAAGGGGTGAAGCTCCTGCGGTGGAGAATCCAGTTCATGATATCGTAGGGATAGACGAGATTGTGCTTCGAGAGCCAGTCCGCGACTCTATTCCCTTCTCTGTATACATGAACCAGGCTCACCACCCAGTCTTGAGAGATCTTTCTCCTGATTGCCGAGAGCAGAGATGCATAAGGGGGTAAGGGATCCTTTCTGTTCTTCACCAACTGAATGGCTAGTTGCGAATCGGTTTCAATGATGAGGGCCCTGTATCCAAGATTCCACCCCAACTTCAGACCATGGTAAATCACCCAGAGCTCTACCAAAGCCGCCGAGCATGACCCCAGTCTCGACACAAAGCCTCTAACCCAGCTGCTACTAGCATCACGAATAACTCCACCTGCCCCTGCTAGGCCTTGGTCTCCGTTGGCCGCTCCATCCACGTTAATTTTAAACCAACCAGCTGGGGGAGCCTTCCAGCTGACCTCTGTCAAAACACGGTCCGAAGCCTATCTCGTTCTTCCCACAAGAGGGGAGGGGCATTCCAGGCCTGAAACCACAATGCAGCTTTGATCTTGATGGATTGCATGAGAGAGGAGGCAGAGAGTGTATTGTTCGCCCCTTTGAAGACTCCTTCATTCCTGTTTTTCCACAAGCACCAGAGAGCTATGCTGAAGAAAGCATTCCAGGGAAGCCCATCCACTGTAGACTCCTTGCAGGCAAGATTCCAATGCAGCCAAATTCCCACGGTAGACTAAAGAACTCCAGCTGTGCTCCTCCTGGAACCGTGCAGTGCCACAAAAAAGATGTTGGGGGATAGTTGCGGAAGATGTGGGCAATGCTTTCCTCCTAGCTGACACACCTGTAGTAGGCCTCGTCTTCGCTCAAGTGCCTTATCACCCGCATCTCGTTCGTTGTCAACCTTCCCTGAGCGACCACCCAAATGAAGCATCTGGCACGTTCCGGCACGGGGAGGTGCCAAATCGTCTTCCACCAATGCTGACCTTCAGTGTCAGGGGCTCCTTGCAGCAATACGTAGGCGCTCTTGGTTGAGAACTGGCCATCTGCCGTTGGTTTCCAAAAAAGCTTGTCTGTCTCCATCGCCAAGGGGTCGGCAGCCTGACTCATGATCTTTTGTATAATCTCTGGTGGCAGTAAGGACTCAAACTTTTCGGTCAGCCAACTCCCATCCTCATCCACAAAATTAGAGACCATGAGCTGACGATCATCATCCGTGACCAGTCCGGTAGCAGCCTCATAGAGCGGACCTTGCAAAATCCAAGGATCAGACCAAAATTTAGTTTGTTTGCCTGAATGAACATTCCATGCGCTTTCCTGCTTAAGCAGGTTGGCTGCTTTAGTAAAGCTGGCCTAGGTAAAGGAACTTCCCTGAATAGGTTTAAGCATATCAAGGTGTTGCCTATTTCCTCCATATTTAGCTCTGACCATCTGCACCCACAGGCTATCCTTTTCCTGAAGAACACGCCAACCACTTTTGGCTAGCATGGAAATGTTCAATTCTCTCGTCGACCGAATGCCAAGACCACCATTATGTTTAGGTAGCAACAGCTGAGGCCACCCAACTAGATGGAGTTTCTTCTGGTTGTCCGTGTCCCACCAAATGAACCCTCTGTTAATCCTATCTAGAGTCTTGCAAATGTTCACATGAAGAAGTTCTGTGTGCATAGGATAAATGGGAATATAAGAAGTTATGGATTTCACTACCGTGATACGAGCTGCAAAGGAGAGATGTCTGGTTTTCCATGGGGCGAGCTTCCTTTGGATTCGCAACACCAGATCCCAATAACGAGCTTTAATCACCCTCCCATGAATTGCCATAACCCGCAGATAACGACCCAGATCCACCGTGAGGGGAATCTCTACTCTAAGAGACAAACGACGGGTCTGCCTCCTATCTATATTAGCCGAGACGAACATAGCGGATTTGTTATAATTCACTCTCTTCCCCGAGCTGTGGCAGAACTCGTCGAGTCATTGCTTAATGATCCGAACCTGGGAAACACCTGCTTCTGCAAAAAGAATAAGGTCATCTGCAAAAAAAACATGTGAGAAATCGCAGGGCCTTCCTTGGACAGCTTCAGTGGTTTCCAGAGCTTGTCCTCAATAGCTTTATCTATCTTGTGAGACAAGCGTTCCATGCATAAAACAAAGAGGTAGGGTAAAAGAGGATCTCCTGACGAACGCCTCTGGTAGGTGTGATCGGGGCAGAGAGTTCACCATTCCACAACAGCATCATCCTGTTATGCTCAACACAGAACATAATGCAGCTGATCTAAGTACTGGGGAGCCCAACCTCTTTGAGCGTGTCTCGAAGAAACTCCCATCTCAATCGATCATAGGCCTTCTCTAGGTCGACCTTTAGCACTAATCCCCCTCTCTTGCCCTTCTTTTTTCTGAGAGAGTGGAGAACCTCTTGCAAAACAATAATGTTATCCGTGGTTTGACGTCCAAGGATAAAGCTACTCTGTCTCGGAGACACCAGTTTTCTCATGATGGGCTTGAGCCGATTAGTGATTGCTTTGGTGATGGCCTTCAGACACACATTGTTGAGGAAAATCGGTCGTAACTGGGACACCATCTCCGGATGATCCACCTTAGGAATGAGCACCACAGTCGACTCCACCACCTCTTCCGGCAGGGTCCCTGAAGAGAAGAAGCTAAACGCCATCTCACAAATGGCTTTCCCGACTACCTGCCAAGCATTTTGATAGAAAATGGCTTGAAAGCCGTCAGGACCAGGAGCTTGAAAGGGTTTCATATCATGCACTGCCATGTAGATGTCTGCTTCCGTAAAAGGACGCAAGAGGGGAAGGAGATCCTCCTGCAACAACCTCGGGAAAGTCTGAGTTGGCATAGTACCTCTGCAGTCATGGTCATCCTGTAAGTAGAGAAGAGAAAAAAAAGTCAAAACCCAAAGCAGCCAACTCCTGAGGGTCTGAAATCCACTCCCTGTTGTTGTCTTTTAGGCTTCCAATCTTATTTCTCCGCCTCCGAATGACCGCCTGCTGGTGAAAGTAGGTTGTGTTACGCTCGCCAAACTGGACCCACTTTTCTCTAGCCCTTTGAAACCATAAGATTTCCTCTTGCTCCAGAACTTGATCTAACTCCTTCTCAAGCTAGGTTTGAAGTTTGAACAGTCCGGGAGAGAAGTCATTGGCAATTTTCGTTTGGATGTCGTGGATGCGGCTGAGCAGTATCTTCTTTTTAAGCAGAACATTCCCAAAAGTGGACATGTTCCACTCAGCAAGCTTCTTGAACAGGCTCTTCAAAGCTTCCTGGAGTGGCGCTTGCCCATCCCAACTGCTTGCCAAAAAACCTGCATAAGAGTCGTGCGTTAGCCACGCTCCTTCAAAACGAAAGGGACGGGAATGAGGAGAGTGGACTCCTTGGTTTCCAATAGAGGTTAAAATCAGATGGTGATCGGAATGAAGCCGCTGAAGATGGTGGACGGTGGTGTTAGGGAAACTGGCTTTCCACGCAGCATTGCAAAGGCTTCTATCCAGTCGGCTAGCTTTATATTCATTAAGCGGCTCTCCTCTAGTCCACGTGAATCGTGGACCCGAGTATCCAAGATCAATGAGTTCGGCTTGCTCTACCCTGTCGCTGAAGCGCTTGCATCGCCGGTAGACAAAACTAGTGACCCTGCCCGCTTGTTCCGAAGGGGAGAGGATAGCATTAAAATCTCCGGTGAGGAGCCACTGGAAATCAAAATCTTCCTTCACCTGGTTGAGGGCCTGCCACAAGTAGTGCTGCAACCCTTGCTTGGGACTTGCATACACTGCCGTCAGAAGAAAAGGCGGCGCATACTGGGCAGAAAGTCTCACGGTCAGCTGTTAAAAGCACGCTGAGACCAGCTCAATCGATAAGGCTTGGGCATCCCAGCATAACCAGAGGCCTCCCTTCCTCCCCTCAGCCTCCACGCGCATGATATTAGGGAAACCCATCCTTCCAAAGACCTTATCGCCACCTCTCCACTAATCTGCGATTCCAAAAAAATCAGAATGTTAGGCTTATGATTCAAGACAATGAGCTTCAGAGCTCTCATGAAAGCACTGTTACCAGCGCATCCAACATTCCACGACAGAATATTAAGATTAAATTTATGAGCAACAGACATTAAAAAGAGCAATAAGAATGAGAAGAAAGAGAGAGAAGACAGCGGGGAAGCTCCGCGACTAAATGTTAGACTACCGCTCTAGTTCCAGCAGGGAACTTGTCTCAATCGCTTTAGTTTCCTCCAGAGGGAGAGCAACATTCTCTTCGGCCTTCCCAGATTTTGCCGCACTCGTCCAAGCAGCGATGTCTTGGAGCGTCAGCGTCGCCAATCTCGTTCTAGATTTAGCCTTCTTATCTTTGACCGGTGTCCATATCTGCAGGGCTTTAGCCGCAACTTTCGTCGACGTCTTGCGAGGGGATTTGGATTTCTTCTTCTTTGAAGCGCTCTGTCTCCTCATGCGTGTCGTCGCCGACGGGGTCTCATTTTTGGTGTTCGAGGACCTCTGATGATCGAGGGACGGGACAACAACAACTTGAATTGTCGTGGAATTTGGCCCGATACCACATGGACGGGTGTTGGCGGGGGGAGCGTCACTTTGTTGGAGCTTTTAGACGAAGATGGGGCTCCAACTGACTTAGGTCCAGTGACAAAGGAGTCTGCCCCAACTTCCTTGGCCCGCGTGACAGTGGCCCCCAAAGATGGTATAGCCTTAGAAGAAGGAATTGGCCCAAGGACTCCTTTACCACCATTGGCCTGCTCCACCACTTCCTTTCCCAATTTCTCCTTACCCTTTCGGTTCCCATTTCCAACCGACTTACCTTTCTCATTTGTTTTCACCCGCGCCATCTCAGCTCGCTGATTTGGTACTTCCTTTTGTCCCCCTTTCAGCCCGTTGTGGCTTTCCAATTCTTGCGAACAATTCTTTCCTCTTCCGGCTTTCCCAATCCCAGGCGTATCCCCAATAATAGCGTTCAAGTTTCCTTTTTCTCCATTCCGATTCCCTCGCCGAGATTTTCGTGTAACTTGCATCCATGGGCCGAAACCTTGTTTCTCCTCCGACGCCTTCTCCGGCCAGGCTTCCGATGAACCCGAGTTCGCTTCGCCGGTCAGCAGCTGCGGCTTAGCCGCCAAGGTCGGGCAGGACATCGTCGTGTGCCCAATCTTTCCGCACTCAAAACAGCAATCTGGCAGATTCTCATATTCAATGTATTGCCACTTCCCGTCCAGACGAATTCGTGTGACCAGCGGTTTTGAGAGATCGAGTTCCACCGCCATCCGGGCGAACTTAGCTCGCTGTTGATGTTGAGTATGAAAGTCGAGTTTAATAGCCCTGCCTACCATGTTTCCCAAGGTGAAAAGAATTTCCTTATGATAGAAGTGCACTGGGAACACTGGGAACTGAATCCATACGACCATGGATTTTGGCATAGCATCTGTGAGACGAAATTCCGGTATCCACTGAAAAACAATTAGATAATGGTCGAAAATTACCCACGGACCTTCTGTTAAAGCCCTGAAGTAATCAGCATCATTGCTAAGCTTAATAAAAAAAAACATTCTTGACCGAGAGCTAGGATCTCCATGGCTCCTGGCGGCCGCCAGAGGTTCTTAATCTTATTGCTGAATGTTAGGAATGAGATCTTCAGTCCCAACACTCGAACAACAAGGGTCCGTTGCCATGAGACACACAGCTTCTCTTTGAACCTCGTCGAGATCTTCAGCTCCGGCTCCCCGTTAAAACTCCCTGTTATAAGATCATGTTCACCAACTGGGGTCCAGGCTATCTTTTTCTGGCCAGCCACCGCGTTCGGTCCCGTCACTGCATTCGCGTAGGATAGGGGCAATGGATTGGAACGTTGTGTCGCTGTCGTCTCCGGCAGGCTCTGATCGACCACCATCGTTGCCTCGTTAGCCTCCAAGGGAAGGCCTGAAGCACCATTGACAGCGTCAGGGCAGATCACCATTAGAGAGTCGTTTCCCCCTTGCTGAGAATGAAGAGGATCCGGTGGTCTGTCTGAGTGATTCAGATCGGCCGCCGGCGAGGTACACAGAGGTTCCATGTTTTTAGAATACGGGGTATTTCACTCCAACAAGTTGATGATTTCCAAAAGTTTTGACCATCAAGATCATCGTTTGAAAATGGAGAATTTAAGCTTAACAGGGCCTAATTAGGAGAAGTCAATTAGCGGATGACTGGGAAAATTTCCCATTTGGGATTTTGATTGCTCGTTGATTAACATTATCATAAAAGGTGCGTTTTGAATTTTAATTTTAAAATTAAAGTTTCACTGACAATTAGCGAACTGATTACTGGGATTTTAATAAATACACCGCTGAATAAATAGTACAGGGCCATTGACGGTGAGGAATCCGGTCACCGGAAAACATCTACGGTTTCCAAACAAGGCCATACGGTTGCTCAGTGGAACCGAGTCCATGATTGTCACCGTCACCAAATCTGAACATTAGATGCTGACCAAAAATAGCATACTTACATTGAACATGGAGTGTCCTGATGTGGGTTATTCAATTCCCCAACTCATATACAACTTCCAACCAGCTATTTCAATGAGCACATGGGCAATATATCCAAACACTACAGCTTGAACAAGGAACCCCATTCAATCAAATCCATTTCTATCACCCAACTAACTTTCGGTGATTTATGTCTCTAGCCATTATCAGATATGATATCACCAAACAAAGAAACTGATCCTACATTATCTAAGCTAGTGAACAATCCCCTGACCAAGACATTCCACGTGGCGACATTAGGGAAGACACCAGTTTCAACCATCTTTTCCAAACCAGAGCTGGCCTTCTCTACCCCGAACTCATTACAGATCCCCCATAGAATGTTAGTGTAAGCAGCACTGTCAGGAGACCACTTACCTCCAGAACTCAATCCTTCCATTACCCGGATTGCGGTGTCAACCTTCCCTTGCCTAGAATAAGCATCAATGACCATATTAAATGTAAAAGCATCGGGCTTCATGCCTAAAACCACCATCTTACCAACAAGCTGCAGAGCGATATCAACCATTCCAGCACGAGAAACCAAATGCAGAATGGAGTTATAAGTGAGTAAGTTCGGCATAATCCCCCTTTCTTCCATCTCTTTAAAAAGATCGATACCTTGTTTTACTCCTGATTGGAGAACACCTACAAGCAGTTCATTGTAAGTCGTGGCATTAGGCGAGCACCCGTATCGGCCCATTCCATCGAGGACCCTCACAGCCCATTCTGTCCTTCCTCCGCAAGCCAAATGTTTGATGAACACATTGAATGTGACTGTGTTTGGAAGGCAATTCTCAGCTGCCATGCTTTCTATAAGGCAATGTGCTTCGTTGAACATGGAGTTTCTACAGAGAGCATCCACCATCGAGGTATAGACAACAACATTAGGAACACAACCCGAGTTGATCATCCTGTTCCATGTCTCGGATGAGCCAATAAGATCGCCCGATTTAGCAAAGCCATCGATGAGAGTTCCATAGGTAGTAATGTTGGCCGACCATCCATATTTCCCCATTGTGTTGAACACCGATATGGCTTCTTCCATCCTTCCACGGGAGGCGAGACCATGGAGAAGTGTGTTGTACACTACAAAGTTAGGCTCAACTCCTTCACTAATCATCCGATTCCAAACAGCGAGTGCTCCATGACATCTCCCGTAAGCAAAATACCCCTTAATCAATGAAGAAAATGTGTGGAGATTCGGGGTACAATTCCGTACAAACATCTTACAAAACACAGCTAGAGCTAGCTCAACATTCCCTCTGTCTGCAAGTGAGCTTATAACTGTCGAGTAAGTTATGACATTTGGGGGAACTCCATCCTCCACCATTTGGTTTAACAACTTCATCGCCTCCTGAATTCTTTCCTCCTTACAGAAGCCATTGATCAGAGCATTATACATAGGCACGGAAGGTTGAAATCTAGTTGAAAGCTCTTTAGCTTCATCCACATTCCCAAGATTACACATACATGATATTACAGTAGTATAGCTAACAACATCAGGGTCACAACCCTTATCCGGCATTTGCAAGAGCAACTTCCGAGCAGCATCCACCCGATTATTCTTACACATAGCTTTCAAGAGAATGTTGTAAGTATAAACATTTGGTTCCACTCTATCTGCCTTCATAATCCTGTATGTGGAACTGACCATCTCAAACCTATTCTCACTAAGCAATGCATCCAAAAGGAGATTATACATCTTGACAGTCGGCTTGCAACCAAATTCATCGATCCTATAGAACAACTTCAACGCCTGTTCAGATAACCCCACTTTCACAAAACTGTTTATCACGTTCACAAACAAGCCGGGATTACAATGAAGTCCTTCTAATTTCATCTGATGAAGAAGGTACTGAATGCCATCAACATTGCCTTCATCACCCAGCCTCCGAATCATGGTTCTGTACGTTAGCGCGGTATGTCTGAAGGCTTTTGAATTGGCAATCGACTTGAAGTAGTCTAGAGCTATTGAAATGCTGGGCTCATTCTCTAACCTGGTCAATACCTGGGATTCTTTGAGAATAGGATGGCTTCTTTCGTATTGGGGATCGAGATTAAGATGTGGGTTCGTGTTGAAAACGAAGGGGAGTGATTTCTTGCTGTTTCTCAAGCTCAATAACAATGAACGCCCTTCTTTTAGATACATCTCAAAAAAGCCAGAACCCAGAAAGTTCAGAACCCTACTCAACCAAGCAGCTATGTTCTCTAATTCAGCAAACGATGAACTCAAAACTCGTCATAATCGCAAAGGGAAGACATACCTTCTCTCGTGAAAGCCGATCCCACTGGCACACCAAACTCCGGCGCCTTTCTGTGTCCATTCCTTTTATTCCTCGAACAGCAGGAAAAGGAAAATATAACAATGGCGAGCTCAGAACTGGGAGAAACTAGTTTCTCTTTGTTCCTCTTGTTTACCCCCGGAGGCGGGAAGGCAAGACTCCGGTGTCGTTTTAATTGCGTAACTTTAGTCTACGAAGTACGAGCTAGTAACAAAAAGGACAAATGAGCCTCCTAGGCCTCTGACAATGCTCTGTGCTAATAGCTCTGCGACGACGACTGTGATATCGGAGACAACGCCGACGGGACGACCCCCGGGCGATCCTCAACCGTGCGCCTCTGATTTGTCTAAAACAGGGGGCTGCGTCTCCCCGGACACAGTTACAGTGATGGCGGTGGATAAGGCTCAGGCGGAGGAAATCCCCTCCGGGGGGTGGTGTTCCTTCTCCATCGGAGCCGACGACAACTCCCGGAATGAAAACTCTGGGATCTTATGCGAAAGCTGTGACGGGGGAAAGCCTCGTGCCTAGGCCTCTGACAACACAATGGATTCCGGTGGGGGAAAAAGACTTGATTCCAGGGTCCTTCAATGGGGAACCAGAGCTTCAATTGTCGGAAAATTTCAAGAATAAGCTCAGTGCACCATGGCAACGGACACTGGTGGTACGTCTGCTTGGCCGATCAATTGGATATGCTACTCTTTGCAACAGGATTCGTTCTCTCTGGCGTCCAACGGCGGGGTTTGAAGTTTTCGCTCTGGATCAGGATTGTTTCCTGGTGAAGCTGGAGAATGATTTGGACTACTTTAAAGCTCTGACTGATGGTCCATGGGTAATATATGATCATTATCTGGTTGTGCAACAATGGACTCCTTCCTTCCGTGTGACAGATAAACTACCAAGCTCCATGGTGGTTTGGGTTCAGTTCCCGGGTTTCCCCGTCCATTTTTACCACAAGGAACTGCTGTTTACACTGGGGAACATGATTGGTAGGGCAATCAAACTGGACTTTCACACGGCTAATCAGCAACGGGCTAAATTTGCTCGAATGGCGGTGGAGGTAGACCTGTCTAAACCTCTAGTCCCCCGAATTCGGCTAGATGGTAAGTGGCAGAAGGTTGAGTTCGAGAATCTTCCCATCGTTTGCTTCGAATGTGGCAAAATCGGACATACAAAGCTAAACTGCCCGGCCCTCTCACAAGCTCTTACCGCCGCTACTCATGCCGGGTCGCCTTCTTCGCCGTCGGCTGCTGCGGCCGTGGGTTCATCGGAGGACCCAGCCGTTTTCGGACCTTGGATGCTGGTATCAAGGAAATCTCGCCGAAATTCTCGCGATCCCGCTAAACAAGGTAAGTCGGAACCAGTTTTGGTAAGTCACAACGGGAAAGAGAGGGGGATTTCGGGGAAAGAGAAAACGGTGGCTACGGTGGAAAAGGTGGGAGCGGCACCTCAGTTTTTTGGGAGGAATCAGGGGAAAGGTCTCAATGACCACAACTTTATCCTAGGGAAGCAAAAGGGGAAATCGGCTGGGGATAAGGGCAAGGAACGAAAAGGGAAAGAGATAGTGGACATGGGGGTGAATGGGATTTTGGGGCCTGCTCCAAAGCCCCTTGTAACTGGGCAGGCCAAGCCCACCAACAGTAGAAACAACAAAGAGGCCTCGTCCTCTAAACAGAACCCGAGCCCAACTGAGGAAGCCCGACCCAAGGTGAATAATCAGAGACAAGAGCCGAGCTCCTCCGGTCAAGGGAATGGGGTCAACATTCAAATAGTTGAAGTCACCCCCTATGAGATGCCGTCGGCTCGTGCCATCGATCCCTCCGTTCCGTCGGCGGTTTCAAGAACTAAACAAAAGAAGGAAAAAAAGAAAAGCCAGGGGAGCAAGAACTCGACGCCTATGAAGCTGACTCCACTCCGACACAACCCGATGAAAGCTCTGCAGCACTGGTCGCCGGTTAAAGACAAGAAGATCAAGAGTAAGGAGCGGAGAGTAGCTTTAACCTTGCAACAGATCAGTGAGTGGACAGGGAAGGCTCAATCGAATGAGGGGAAGAAGGAGGAAGCTGCGGCAGGGGGAGCAGCGATGGAGTCGGCGACCGACATTGAGGAGGGGGGCCTGCCGAGTGCTGTTTCCCGGTGAATTCGTCCCTCTCTTACTGCTTTCCCTCTCCTGGGTTCCGTCTCTTTTTCTTTTCTTTTGTTATTGTTGTTTTTAATGGTTGGTTTTAATTGTTATAACTTCAAAATTTTCTCGTGGAATGTCGGGGGTGCCGGAGGAACCTCCTTCTCACGGTCCCTGAAACTTTCGCTGCAGTTGCACAGGCCGGACTTTGTTATTCTCCTTGAACCTCAAGTTAGTGGAGAAATGGCGAACAAGATTTGTGAGAAGCTGGGTTTCCCGAATGTCTTGCGAGTTGAAGCTCAGGGACGGAGTGGTGGGATTTGGCTTTTTTGGAACTCTCAGAATTTTTGTGTACAGGTTGTGTCGGCAGGGTCGCAACATCTTTCTGTGAGAGTGTCGAAGGGTAACCAGGCCCCGTGGATGCTCACAGCAGTGTATGCGTCTCCGCGCCAGCAGCTTCAACGTCCTCTCTGGAACGCTATCATCGAGCAAAGCAAGCAGGTGGATTGCCCTTGGATTCTCACCGGCGATTTCAACTCAATTCTCCATCCGGACGAGAAAACAGGGCCTCCCTCACCAGCAACCTTTCGTAGATGTAAGCGTTTTGGGGAGTTTCTGAATGAAGCAGAGTTGGTGGATCTAGGCTTCTCTGGCCCTCGGTTTACGTGGACCAGGGGGAAGGAGAGTGACACCTATAAAGCCAGCAGAATCGACAGAAGCATTTGCAACCTAGAGTGGAATGAGGGGTTCCCTAATACGTCGGTGACCCATTTGGCGCGCCTGAGCTCCGATCACCACCCGATTCTTACTACGGTGTCTAATCAGGGAGGCTCTAACCTTTCCATGAGACGTTTCAAATTTGAAGCTGCCTGGTTCACTCATGAGGATTTTCTCTCTTTTCTTGCAGATTCTTGGGATCCTCTTAATGCTTTGCCTATGGCGTTGCAGGATCTCTCCAAAAAGCTCCAGCTCTGGAATACATCGAACTTTGGAAATGTGCACCAAAGGAAGAAGAGGCTGGTGGCCAGGATTGAAGGGATAGAGCGACGACTAGCAAACTCTTTCTCTCCAGGTCTCCTCAAGCTACACACAAAGCTGGAGAAGGAGTTAGATAAGACAATGGAGCAGGAGGAGCTTATCTGGTTCCAGAGGGCGAGGGAGCATTGGGTGAAGTTCGGAGAACGGAACACAGCTTATTTCCACCAGCTTGCCAACATTAGACGGCGGAGGAATAAGATTGACTGTCTTAAGAATATCAATGGGGAATGGGTTAGCGAGAAGGATGAGCTGTTGCAACTTGTTTATAACTTTTTCTCTGAGCTTTATTTGCAGGATAACTCACCTTATGTTGACCTTCTCCCCAAAGGAGACTTCCCGCGGCTGAACCAAGAAGACTGGCTCCATGTTCTCCGACCTTTCAGCATCCTCGACATCCACAAAGCGGTCTTTGAGATGAAACCGCTTCAAGCACCGGGGCCGGATGGGTTCCAAGCTCTGTTCTACCAGAAAGCCTGGGCGGTGGTGGGGAAAGCTCTCACTGATATGGCTCTTTTCTTTTTTGAGCAGGGAACGTTGCCTGAAGCGGTCACGGAGTCCACGGTGGTCCTCATCCCAAAAGTGGATAAGCCGGAGTCGGTTACCCAGCTTCGCCCGATCTCCCTCAACAATGTCTGCCTCAAAGCAATCACTAAAGCCCTGACCTGTCGGTTGAAGGAGGTGATGAGGAAGCTGGTTTCTCCAAGGCAAAGCAGCTTCATCCCAGGACGCCAAACGACCGACAACATCCTTATTGTCCAGGAAGTGCTGCACTCTTTGCGGAAAAAGCGGGGAAAGAAGAGAGGAATGGTGTTGAAGGTGGATCTCGAGAAGGCGTATGACAGGCTTCGTTGGGACTTCTTGAGGGACACCTTGATTGAAGTTGGGCTTCCGAGTTCGTGGATCAGGGGGATCATGTACTGTGTTGAGCACAACAAGATGCGAATCTTGTGGAATGGGGAGCTCACGCCTATCATCACCCCCACTCGGGGCGTCCGCCAGGGAGACCCTCTTTCTCCCTATCCTTTTGTTCTATGTATGGAACGTTTATCTCATAGAATAGATCAGGCCGTCCGGGATAAGCAGTGGAAGCCCATTCGCTTGTCTCCGAGGGGCCCTGCCTTATCCCACTTATTTTTTGCGGATGATTTAGTGCTTTTTGCAGAGGCAGAAGGGAGCCAGATAAGAGTCGTGAAGAGTTGCCTGGATGAGTTTTGTGCCAGTTCAGGGCAGCGGGTGAGCTATGATAAGTCTGTCTTGTATGTCTCGCCAAACATCAGGCAAGACAGAGCCCGCCGGCTTAGTGACAAGGTTGCCATCCCGCTGGTTACTAATCTTGGCCGGTATTTGGGTATTAAAGCTATTCATGGGCGGGTTACTAAGAGCCGATACCAGGCCTTGATTCTGAGGATCCAAAAGAAGCTAGCTCCCTGGAAAGCAAGGAGGCTCTCCCTCGCCGCGAGGCTAACGGTTACTCGTTCTGTCTCTCCTGCTATTCCCACTTACTCTATGCAATCTGAGCTAATCCCTAAGAATGTCTGCAATGCTATAGATAAGATTAACAGGGATTTTATCTGGGGAAAAGAGGAGGACAAGGGGAAGTTGCATCTGGTGCCTTGGGAGAAGATGACAGAACCTAGACTCCAAGGGCGTGGAGGCCTTCGGCCCCTCAGACAGGCTAATCTTGCTCTTCTGGCCAAAGGAGGGTGGCGTATCCTCAAGGAGAAGGAGGCTCTATGGACCCAGATTTTTAGCACTAAATATGGGAAGCAGAGAGAGGGCCTCGACATATTTCGGCCTATTCAGGGAAGTTCTTTTGCCTGGAGAAGCTTTACCAAGGCTTCCCACCTTCTCAGAAAAGGGTGTGCGTGGAATATTCAGAATGGTAGAAGCACTGATTTTTGGTGTGATGTGTGGGTTTTGCAGGTTCCTTTAAGGGATGTGGCTATCCAGCCCATTCCGGAGGAGAGACTGAGGGACACGGTTGCTAGCTATCTGGATGATAATGGAGATTGGGATGTGGATCGTTTCTCGCAGTGGCTGCCCTTTGACGTTCAGCAGAAGATCACGGCAGTAGCAGTGGATGTTTTCTCTATGGAGAATGATACTCTCTTCTGGGCTCCTTCCCCAAATGGCCATTTCACTGCTAAGTCGGCTTTCCAGATCGCCATGCCCCAGCAAGGAAATCAGGACGAGAAATTGTGGAAGAAGATCTGGAGTAACCCGGTGCCAGAGAGAGTTAGGTGCTTCAGCTGGCTGGTTGCGCTGAACAGGATTTCCACTAACAGCATGCTCTTTTACAGGAAATGTTCCCCGTCGCCGATGTGCTTCCGGTGTAACAGCTGCCCGGAAACAACGCTCCATCTTTTGAGAGACTGTCCTCCGGCTGTTTATGTTTGGAGCAGGAGCGTTCCCCCCTCCGAGCAGCTTGGCTTCTTTGCTAGCGATCAGGAAGCTTGGCTGCGAGGGAATTTACTTAATGATGAACCCATGGCGAATGGAATGCCTTGGGGTGCTTTTTTCAGTATAACCATATGGCTTTTGTGGAAAAACAGGTGCACAACGGTGTTCCAAGGTGTGCAGAAGGCTCTGACTGCACCTTCTCTGTTGCACTCTATTCAGTTGAAGGCGGATCTGTGGTATAAGGCGTGGTGCGCTCCTCTGTTGGAAACGAGTAATCGGGAGCCAAGAAGGAGCCGGGTGACAACTAGCATCCAGTGGAATGCTCCACAGCAGGGATGGGTAAAATTGAACATAGATGGTGCATCGGCGGGCAATCCGGGGCCGGCTGGTGCAGGCGGTCTGATTCGTGATGCGCAGGGACGATGGATAGCAGGTTTTGTGGCAAAGATTGGGGAAGCATCTGCGGCTTTGGCAGAGCTTTGGGCCTTCTACCATGGTCTTACTCTTGCTTTGAAGTTTGGAGTTAACAACCTTGTGATCGAGACGGATTCTCAGCTGGCGATTCTCCTCATTAGTAATCGCCATGATCCGGTGCATCCGTATGCCGCTCTGTTAGCGTCCATTCGGAGGAGACTTGCTCAGGATTGGTTGGTTAGCATAGTTCATACATACCGAGAAGGGAATAGAGCCGCGGACTGGCTCTCGAAGCACAGTCTCGTCTATCCCTACGGTATGCATGAGCTTACTAATCCTCCTAGGGAGCTAGTCCAGATTTTGCAGGACGATAGTATGGGGGTGTCTTTTGATCGTCGTGTAGTGGCACCTTCCTCCTCTTAGCCTTTCTCTCCTCCCTCCTTGTTGTTCTTGCTTCTTGGCTTTGGCCTCCCCTAAATGCAAAAAAAAAAAAAAAAAAAGTACAAATAGGAGCAGCTGCTATTTGTAAGTACAAAAATAATTAGGGAGTTAACTGAAATTTACGGAAGATATAAATTCACTCCGGCAGCTCAGAGAACTCCGAACAAATTGGGCAACGTGGTTTCTCTCCATCCGAGCGAAGAAGAGCAGAAGAGTCTCTGTCGCCGGCGGTAATGTCCTTCCCGACTCTCCTCCTTAGTTGCTTCTTTCTTCCGGCGCTTCGCTTGTTATAATAGTAATTGCTAGTCGGATGTGTTTACGGTTGACGAGCTACGCTAGGCTGAGATTCTGTTTGTTCCGTCGAGATCTCCGATTAGTTCAGTTTTCGTTTCTTCTCTCCCGCTATTTGGTCATTCCGTGGACTAACTTTGTTGCTTTCTTCTCCGATGAACTGTAGAAGTCCGTTGATTGCCGGCATCGTTGTGAGGAGGCAATTTCGAGCTAAAACGTCGATTGCTCTTGCGCTTCAAGGTAATTGTTCGTTGCGGTTTAAGATCAGTTATTCTGGTGCTTCGAAATTCTTTGCTGCTTCGTTCCTTTGAGCACTGCTTTCTCGGAGAAAGAATTGAGAGTAAGATCAGTGATAATTATTGACTTTTGCCCTGATAACTTGTTTAGGTTCCACCTTAGTCAGCTTACTGGAATATATAGGAATCAGAAGATATGGCTGTTGGACACGGTGACTCGAGTTCGTCGGACAAGAAATCGACTGATGCTTTGAATGACTTGCAGACTTTCAATGCCGAGAACTTGCAAAGTAACATGAAAGTTATTTATTACAGGTTCATTCTGGTAGCCTACTTAATGCAGTACTCTCGTGTTGATGAGCTTTGTGGACTGTGGGCGTTGTCTTGATGTTTCCATGAAAGCTCTGCTCTTAAAATGTGTGTCTCTTTATGATAAATGTAGACTGAGAAAATGTCGAATCACATAATTGATTTTCTCACGATGAAGCTCTGACGAGTAAGATGAGTTTACCAAACTAGCTCAGATGAGTTTGTGAAATACTAATAGGCTATCAGACAAGGTGTGGAATGAAGTGCTAGTGTGTTACACGTTTGCACCAGGGTTAGGATTCTATTTCTGCCTGTACTCATTGTTAGAGAGTGGTATAAGATCCAGCATAACCTTCTCCCAACAACTCGAGTTATTGGGGTCAACTGGTTCATGACATGGTATCAGAGCCTTCTGTGACCGAGAGGTCTTGTGTTCGATTCCCGGTGACCCCATTTGTTAAGCACATGGTATTCTTGTCTTCAGACCTGTGCAAACTTCAAGCCCTAGTGAGTGGCTTTCGTTTGAGGGGGCGTGTTAGTGTTGTGGTATATGATCCACGATTGAACCTCTTCCAATAACTCGAGTTATTGGGACAACTGGTTCTTGACACTCATGAATCTGACAGGTCACTTTTGTGCCTTTGAACATTTCTGTCAGCTATCGGTGGTAGTGACATTGCTGGAATTCTGGGATTCCAGGGCTTGATAGAATTAGCTATTTCCTTACTGTTGATATTATTTCATTATCATTGCTACTTCCATTTCTTACTGCAAAATCCAGTTTCAGACAAAGGATTGCTTGATAGTGCTATGTAACTCCTTTTGGCGAGACAGATTTACAGAACTGGATCAGAGAATTGTTGAGAAATACTAAAGTGTTGAATGAACAGATAGTGTCTTGCAGTCAGGACCAGGATTAGAAATTATATCTGTCCTGGTTCGTGTATATGGCATGTTACTTTTGGGCATCTGACCATTTTGTCAATCATTGGTGGTGCAATTGCTGGTTCTTGGATTCGAGGGCTTAGTATTAATTATATTGCCTATTATGTCTATGATTTCATCCCATGAATATTCTGTCCCTAAACTGAGTGTCTCTAGTGTGAATTAGTGCTCCAGGCTAAGAAAAGTCTCTCCGAGACATTGTGTTCACGTAATGAGATGTTTCAAGATGAACCTATGTTAATTTGGTGAACATACAGAAATGGCTTATATACTTTTGGACAAAGACTAGTTGGTCGTAGCTAGGTGGTGGAATGAACTGTTTGTTCATAGGCTAAAATTTTTGTTGTCAGTATTATGTATTTATTATGTTCTCTTTTTTTTCTGCAGTCGGACATTTCTGTCAATCATTGGTGGTGTAATTGCTGGAATTCTTGGATTCAAGGGATTGATAGGATTTGTTTTCTACTTCCTTGTCATGGCTATAACTTCTGCTGCACTCACAGCCAAGGCAAAGTTCTCCATTCACTCCTACTTTGATACTTGGAACCGAGTCCTGCTTGATGGCTTCTTTGGTGGGCTTATGGTATGTTTCTCGTCGTTTGTCACTATTTACATCTTGCGACCAATCTTTTTCTTTCTTTTTTCCAGAAACGAGATCTTAGAAGTGGACTTTTCTGATCTTGGTTTGCCCCACACATAAGAAATTGACCTCCAAAAGATGTAGTTACCATTGATTATTCACTGTAATATCTGCATGGTGCATCGTACTCTAGGTTCAGTTGTTAGAGCGTTGAAGAGATTCATGTGATAGTAAACCGATATCCGTAGAGACCTATACCAACAAACTTCTTTGTCAGTAAGGAAAGTCAGAATAGATCGTCCCATATCTGATATGTTTCGTTATTATCTTAGAGCTGCATGAATGGCCAATAAATTGGTCCTGGCTTTCTATAATTTCTTTAGCTTGACATTTCGTTTTTGTTTTTCTATGCAGTCTTTCGTGCTCTTCTGGACGTATCCTTCACACTTTTGAAATATGGTTTCTTATTTAGTAATAGATAGCTGGAACGCTTCTCAACTTGGTAATGAAACAGATGCACGTATGATCGAGACAATTATCATCATCATTACATCATAGGCCTGACATGCTAGTTAAACCCAGCATGGGAATTAATGTATAAAAAATAATAACCATTGGCAAAAGCATTGCATGCTAGTTAACCAAGTAATATTCTCTACAACAACAGTTGACATTCAATTGTTGGTTACCAACTACTATAGACTTCCCTGTCGTGTCATATTTTCATTTGTCGAAAAGCATCATATTGGACCAAGATGTATTGTTCCTTGACATCATAACAGATTTGCATACGACATTGTGCACATATTCTGATTGAAGGAGCATATGGATGGACGAATGTTCGGTTGCAGGCGGAGTTCTCTTATGGTTACAAGGCCCTGGACCAGGGTACAAAACTTCATTGTGGGAATCAGTTGGTTTTCCTTGTATTACTCCGGTGGCTTTTATTTGATAAAATTGTGTTTAAGTTCCTGTCACAGGCATTGCATTTTGGCTGATGAATTTTTTTGCACAATTCATCCTCATTTATGCTGGGGAGATCCATCTTAAGCGGGTATCGAGCAACCGCCATGATTCATGAGGATTCCATTTCTTGCTCCTCTTTTTTCTGTAGTATCTGGTTTCGTAATACTAGGGGCAGAATTGGTGAGGAGATGGACTTTTAAGAGCGAATGAAGTATAGGTTATGTTTGTTTCTTTCTTTCTCTGTATGCCGTAAGACCTGAGCATGAGATATGGATGGATATGGATGGATTTCATGTGTCTGTCATTTTTCTAAACTGAATAGTTGTCCATCTGATGCCTGAAATATAACCTAGAGAAAAGCCAACTATTTTGTGTTGGGATAACAGAAGAGGAGCATGATAATCTAGTAGGTCTGGTTGGATTCACAAAAGCCAAACTCCCTGTTAAATATCTTGGAGTACATTTACCATCTGGGAAGCTCATTGTTCATGATTGCAAACTGTTGATTGATAAATTTACAAGGAGAATAGATGGCTGGAACCTGGAAGGCAGGAATGCTAAACTATGCGGACAAAGTTCAGCACATTAACTCAGTATTGTTGAGCAGTCTAACGCAGTTCCGTTCGCAAAAATTTGGTACTTGACACCCGGAGCTAGCATGGCTAATGGTTTACACGAGACGAAAAATGACAAAGATTCGATGAAAGGGTTGCTTGCTGATGTTGCCCATACTAAGGCCATCTCAACATATGCAGAGTTTGTTGATCCGAATGATTGTACGATGGGAGATACTGAGGAAGTAAATGTTGGTACAGATTTTGTAGGGCAGCCTGGTAACAACTCAGTTATTGACTCGAACGATGCGATGATTTCGGATGAAGACTTACATTGAGGGGTTGTCAATTATAAGAACACTTGGGCTGAGAAGGAGGGTTGCAATGTGGGATTATGCTTCTGGGGAAGAGGTGGACCAATTTAAAGAAATGGAGCGACTTCCACAAAATTCTGATGAAGATGGTGATTTATCATACACTGATGAAGATGATGATGCTGCTTATTCTAATGAAGAGAACTCCTTGTAGTTTACCTACTCCAACCTGTATCAACGCTAGTTGCCATCGCTAATCAACAAGTTTAATCAGCCAGGACATTGCAGTGTATGGGAATTCAAGCAAGCAGTATCATTAGTGGTTTTGATACACACCAAAGAACAAATGAATGAATAACGGCAAATGTGCAGCGCACTGGTAATGACAAAATAGACCTTGTGATTCTTATAACAAATCCTCCTGCCAGAACGATAGAAAACTAGCCTCCCAAAGGTAATGGTGCATTATGCTTCTAACAAATCCCCCGACATAATGAACTATGGACTATGATCACAACTACACTTAATCAGCCATTTACTATCGAGGATGCGGGGATACACGACCTCTTCGCTTGGATGCCGTATAACTCACCTTGTTTTCACCTGTACAAGGGTACAAAATCTTCAGACCGCAAGACTGGCTCGCGATCAAGAGCCTCATTCCCTTACCAGCTCAGATTCTTTGCACTAGAGCCAAAATGACAACGGAACTAGCATATACTGTTTCTGTTTCGAACTCTGCGTGGTGACCATTCAAGTTTAAACCTGTAGAGTACAAGGCAGTGAGTGCACTATGACAAAACAGTATGCAGTTATAATGTTGAGCTGGTAAATAACAAAAGCTAATTCTTACCATTAACTGGGGAAGTCTCAAAAAGATAAAAGCCAGCGAGTACAGAACACTGGAGAGAATTGCTGCTGTTATAATGTTTTGCACCAGTCGCTTATCGTCTTTGCTGGGGACAAAAGCAATCTTCAATGTATTTGTCAGCTCAAAGAGTCTATAGGAAACCTGCAAAAGAAACAATAAAACAAAATCTTCAGAAAAAACTGCCACGTAACAACTAACAACCATAGGAAGCATATAACACCATATACTACTTACTGCAACATATATCGCACTCGTAAGCATGAAGTTCAGCAGTGGATATTCTGGGATCAGAGATAGCAATAATTTTGGTTGAGCATCTGGGACACTTGATCTGCAAGTCCAATAGCAAAAAATTTAACTTACAACCAAGTACGAGACTGATTATATGTTTGTTGTTGGCAGACCAGGTAGGTAGTAAGGATCGACAAAATAAAGCAAAACATACTGGTAGACCATTTCTAATGATAAGAACAAACAAGCAGGAGTTTTCAGTCGTCTAGTTTTCCTCTCAAATTAAGAGATTGTATGTGTTATGACTTATAAGTTTAGGAATGTTTCGTAGGACTTTATAAAACATTCAGTTGGATTATTAAGAGGTTCAGATGGAACATGAGATGGTATGTTCAGGTCAGCTTGGGGTATAAATTCTGATTTTAAGGGAGCGAAACTAGCAATAAAATCATCTTATGACATTGCCTTGAGCTTATCATAATTTGTGTGCAGCTACGTTGGAAAGTTCTAGAAATAGGTTGTTTGTTTGTTTGAGATAATTTTGTAACAGCTTAAATTTTAGAAGCTAAAACAATAAATGACACGATCATAGCCAAAGTCAGTGCGTACCTCAACCAGATATGAAACTGAGAAATGTACGTCTCCAGAGTAACTTTTCCAAGCCATCTAGTGAACAAAACCATCACAGATAATCAGGAAACAAAATGTCAAAAGTCAGTAGATAAGCATAGATTCACAAGGTTAGCGAATATGTATAGCATGTAACTTACGCAAAAAGGGTCAGGCTGAAGTTCCGGAAGTACTGGGTGACATTCCTCAGTACGATGTATACACTATCAATACCATAAAGAGTTAATTCATCTTCAGAAGTATAGAGTATTCAAATATTATACTTAGGGAAGCATGACTTACGTTATTGGTATCCATGATGTGTAAGGATGGTATTTGTTGTAAGTAATCTTGTCCATCTTATATATGTACTCAAGCCACAGATACCCCACCTAGGAATTTCAGGGAAACTAGTGAGTGTAAACAGACAAACAGAGAGGGAGAGAGAGAGAGATAGAGACCCTTATCAAAAAAAACAAAAACAAAAAAAAAGATGCACAGAGAGAGAGAGGTAATACACACCGTTACTGCAATTGAAGACACAGCGATTTTTATTGATATTCTACGTTTCATTTCCATTTCTTCTAGCTTCTCCATCCACCTTTCAACCTATTAAGTCATAAGAAAAAAAGCTCAACAAAACACAAAAAACAAATACTTATTCCACATTCCAATTGCCTCTTGATTTCAGGTGGAACTCACTGTCGGATGATAGTATGCATATATCATTCCGATAATCCAGATATAGCGATCAAGCCCCGAGCGGAAATGCCACTCATGCAAGCGAGGTAGGTTAGGTTTCGCAGGATCAGTGTGGCCTACAAAAATTTCGGTGTTGTTAGGCATAGAAAGGTCAGTAGTTGTGGCGTTCAATGACATGAAAACAAACTTTTGAGAGACAACCAACCAAGAAATAAAGTGAATGGGCCCCAGAGGATCTCAAACACTCCAGGAACTTCCCATATCAGAACCACGACCAAGAAGCATGCAACGATCTTCGCTCCGATGACTAACCCAATTTCATTGTACTTGTGCAGAATACCGAGGGCCCCGTACACCATAAGAGTGAAGAGAGTGTGCATTGGGCAAATGTAGTATAGCATGTAACTGTTATTGAGTATGATGCAGCAAAATATGACCAAGAAATTAAGCCGCCACATCATCTGTTCAAAGCAATAAATTTCCTACTTGGTCAGGCTCTTTGTGAAGACATTAAAGAGAGTGTGTATCAGAAAATCCAAAGATATCATCATACCTGTGCAAACCTGGCAAGACTAAAATCCTTGCGCACGTAATAATACGAGAAGTTCCCGAATCCAGTCATCCAGACATATGCAGCAATAAACACTCGGATTGCATTATACAACTCCGTTGCAGCAAAGTAATGGTACATTAGAAATAGGACCTGTTACCATTGATAGGAAGACTAATTATTTTCCCAGCAACACCTAGCTCTTAGCGAAGTTATGCCAGGATATCCACAAGCAAAACATTATGCAAAAAGAAAGCAGACTAACCTGCATCCAGCCTTTCCACTCCTCGGTTTGGTGTCTGTTCAAGTAAAGAATGGGTTTTCCAGAGAATGGTGACCTATCTTTGTGTATCGTAAAAGAAGTAATGGCTGCAACAATGATGAGAAGGAAGTAGAGGAACAAGAAAAGATCCCGGTTGTAGGTCTGCACAAAAGACAAAGGCTGATTGTGAAGCAGAAACCTACCATGAAATCTACAGTCATCTTTTTTGCTTGTTTTTATATATAAATAAAAAGGAAACAGTACGGATTAGATAACATAGAATGACAAGAGGAAGAGAAGGAATAAGAGATAAGTTGGTGCCAAGACCTTTGTAGAAGAGCCAAAGACATCAGTGCGATCGCAAAGGTAGAAGTACACCAAAAGGAGGCCAAACTCAGATCTGCAGAAGGCAGAATACGGTCTCATGGAAAGTGATTCGACTATTACAAATTCAGTTATCTCCAAGTCAAAATCAAAATACTTACATGGCTCTAAGATTCAATCGATTATCCAACAAAAACTGCTCATCCATCAAAAGGAACCTAGCAAGTACAAATGCACACAAATTTATTTCTCCCTCCAAAGCAAAAAGAAAGAAAAAAAAAATCCCAAAGCATTAATGATTTGCAAACTTTAACAACTAACCTGAATATAGGAGATGAAGAATGCAAGTTACGAGCCCTAGGAGATGCAGATTGAAGACCGCCTCCTTCCAATAGAACAGCTTTGTCATCATCTTTGACCACCTCAAGTCCCACTTCCACTAAACTGATATCCGAGTGCCTACTAGCAAACACCGTAAACTCAATAACACAAAACAGTAGCAAGAAATAGACACAGCAAGATCTTAACGCAGCAATGTCAGGTGCATCTCTCTGGTTCTGATCAAAGAAGTCGTTGGCATTTTCACATTGTAACTATTGCATATCCACAGAACAAAGCTTAACTATGATAATGAGGGTTTGAACTTTGAACTTACTCTTTGGCTACTCTCTTTCTCTTGTACTCCAAAAACTCGGAGTAGATATACGCAGCGAGCACAGGTATGATTCCAAGGAAAAAGGAGACCTACGTATTAAAACAATACACAGTTTAGAGCAGAAGCAACGCATTATCCACAATCCAATTATCTACATCCTGCTAATCACAAAACGAAAGTCGGATCACTTGCATGCACCGACGAAACTCTCTTGAAGTCACGAATCGGCCGAAAATTCCCAAAGTTACGCCTCGGAATCAATGGAAGAACGAGATCTAGAAACTTAAACTACTAGGTTAGAGCAGGAATTGAGAGGCGCACCTGGCCGGGAGTGATAGGACTGGAGATCGCCATGTGTACGGCTGCAAGCGGAATTGGCAGCGATCTCAGTCGCTAATAATCAACACGCATCTGAGTTCGGGGAGTATGAAATGGCGTCTCGCAGATCTGATCGTAAACAGACAGGCTCTCGCTCTTGCCGACGGCGGAGTCCTAGATTTGCTCCGGTGGAAACGCCGGCGGCGAGGGTCGCTAGTAAACGCGGAAAGCTCTGCGACGGGGGCGGGAAGAAAATCTGAAAAGCCGCCGGCACGGGAAGGACCGAAGCCGCCGAGCGAAGCGCGAGAGACTCTGAGTTGCAATAGAAGCAAATGAGCAGTATTCGCTGGTACGGACTACGGAAATCAGAGTAGTTCGTTGATTTTGCGGGACTATCAGAAGAGAGGCCAACCGTTTTTAATCATTTTCATTTTAATTATTTCTCTATTTCACGAAATTACCGTGTTTTACGCATCATTGAATTTCAATCACACGGCGGGGATGTGGTTTGGTGGAATAAAAGAAGCCAATTCCTCATTTTTATTAGGGCTAATACCACGGAAAATATCAACCTTTAGCGAAAGTGCTATTTATATTACGTAATTTCAATAAGTACAAAAATATTCCAACCTATTAGGTGTTTGCGTCATTTGTGTTAAGTGAATTTTTATTGACTGTTAGAGTTAACAATTGACCTAACAAAAGTCAAAATATGTTTGACTCTTAATGACATGGCACCATTTATCATCCACGTAAGCGCCACATCATCTCTCTCTCCTTCCTTCCCTCCCTCCCTCTTTCAGTAGACTGCAGCAGCTAAAGGAAGAAGCTCCTCCTCTAATTAACCTCCCCCTCCAATTAACCCACTAGCCCAATTAATCCCTAGCTTATAATCCCAATTCCGATTGCAGCTGTCAAAAACAAATGAGAGGAGCAGAGGCAGCCTCAAGCGCCACATCAGAGCCGCCGGGCCTTCTTCTTCGGTTGTCGTTCCTTACCGCATTCCCAATTAAAGAGAGGAGAGAGGGAGATAGTGATTCTCCTTCTATAGTCGCTCCAATCGTAGGGGAGATATAGTCGGTGGGTCACAAAAATCCTCATTCTCCTCCTCCGCCATATCTACTGAGTTACGGGGTAGAATGTCGGCGGCTGGAGATTGACGTTGGCGATCCAAAGAAGGGGAGAGAGGGATTAGGGAAAGGCGATGATAGTTTTTCGTTTTTTTTTTTTAATTTCGTTTTGATTTTTTTTAATATTTATTTTTTGTGAAAAATTTCCACGTCAACTGCCATGTCATTGCTGACTGTATTTTCTGTTAACCCCCAACAGAAAACTTAACGGTTGGTATATAATTGTCATATCGAAAATTTCATAATATAACTGGCACTTTCGCTAAAGGTTGGTATTTCTAGTTATATTAGCCCTTTTTATTATGTAATGTGTCCGGTTTAGTGTTGCTAGTCTTAGGATAGGGCGGTTACTGATCTATGAGTAACTAAATTTGGACCTTTAGATTCCTAAAAAAAAATCTGGACCTTTAGATCTAAGTAGGCCTAGAAAATCCAGATTTAAGGGTTGTCAATTAAAAACATTTTATTTTCCCTAGTTTTCATAATCGGCTCTTATCTTCTTCGTTCTAACTCGGATTTCAATTTTTTTTGCACACATGGAACGAGTTCGCTGTGCTCTACAAAATGATATCAATTTTCAATATATTTCGAGAAACTTTTTTTTACCAACTACATACCATATGGTAACTTCTTCGTTTTTAAGTCATTTTTGAAAACGTTTGCTCAGAAGGAACGAGTTCGTCATTATCTATTGGAACGAGTTTATTTTCCAGATCTAAGGGTTGTCAATTAAAAACATTTTATTTTCCCTAGTTTTCATAATCGGCTCTAATCTTCTTCGTTCTAACTCGGATTTCAATTTTTTTTGCACACATGGAACGAGTTCGTTGTGCTCTACAAAATGAGATCAATTTTCAATATATTTCGAGAAACTTTTTTTTTACCAACTACATACCATATGGTAACTTCTTCGTTTTTAAGTCGTTTTTGAAAACGTTTGCTCAGAAGGAACGAGTTCGTCATTATCTATTGGATCTACAAATTTCTGGGTGAAAAAAAATACTGGACAAAAAATTACCATATTTTACCACTATGGTATGTGGGTGGTAAGTTGTGGTAAACAATGATGAAAGTCGTAAATGACAGTTAGTATACTCCTACTATCATGTATTCAACCTTCTTACCATATTGGTATGTGTCATACCATCATGGTACGCTTTCTTACTATATGGTATTAAATTTGAGCATACCATATGGTAATGAATGGTAAAAAAAATTTCAATTTGTACTAAAAATATATCAATGTGGATATCATTTTAAAGAGTACATTTAATCTGATTTATCTGTGCAAAAAAAATTAAATTTCGACCTAAAATGAAAGAGAAATCGTCCATTAAAGATTAAAAGAGAAAATATAAAAGACTTTTCAGGAGAGAGGGCATGCTGATGTCATGCGAATGTGAATAGGTTATTGATGGTCTCACCATATGGGTTACTGACCTGATCTGCTCCGATTGCTACGGTTGAACCAAGGCCAAGTAATCAATTTGGACAGTGAGAAGAGCTGTCGGCAGAATAAGTATTGGGAAGCGTGGGTATGATGTATGAAATGTGATGATTTCGGCCTTTCGCCACCAATTCCCGATAGGATGGGTAGATATGTCAAATGGCTTTGGTGATTGAATTGATGATGAAATACACTGGATTGGCGGATTTATCAATCCAAGTTGCATCTAATCGTTGACTACCCTCCAATTCTTAAAATACCACCGTTAGTGAAACCAAATCCAATTGAGGTGCCTAAAAACCCGAAGAATCCAACTCAACTTGAAGCCAGAGGAGATGAAACCGAAAAGACAAAGCTTGAACAAATCCCTAACTACAAGCTACAACAAAAATAACGAACCAAGTCTACTACTCCATAACATGCCACGGATGACTACTTGGTCGTATAATTTGGATTCTATGCGGCCAGTCTAACAGCCACAAACGCCCACTTCATACCATTAATCCAAGAGATCAAACCAACTGCCCAACTAAGAGTTAAATTTTGGTCACAACCCTAAATCAATACATCACCAACAAACACCACGATCGTATATCATCGCTTTGATGGCCTCACATCGTCCTCCCCACCATCATCGTCGTCATCATCATCGTTGTCATCCTCATCGGTTTCATCCTTGCTCACCCTCTTTCGCTTTGCAGAACCAGCAGACTTGCCCAGTTCATCGTCGTCCTCGTCGACTTCCTCGTCCTCATCCTCGCCATTCTCTTCCGGTTCGAAGTCGCTTGCATCTTCCTCCTCTTCAGGGCGCCCCACTGGTCGCAGGAGGTACTCGGTACTCAAATCCTTCTGCATTAGAACAAGCCGGACATGAATAAGGCTAAAGTTTCATGATCAAAGGTTGTAAAATCATACTCAATTATCCACACGGTTCGACCAGTAAAATGGACCAATACGGTTCAACAGGAAATGAGTACATCCCAGAGACAATATTAAAAACAAAACCATCGGCCGTAAACCCCTTTAAAATATTCAGATCAGATAATGATACCAAAACCTAAAACTTTGCCGACATGTTTGCAATTAGGGCAGAGAAAAAAAAAGTCACTGGTATCAGTCCAGGAATTAACTAAAACTTAACACAAGCCATATTTAGGTCAATAAAGTAATCTAAAGGATCTGAAAGAGCTCCGAGTCTCAGTTCTAGAGGCGAATCTGAGAGTCCAGTAATTCAGCAACACTCTAAGCAAACCAGAACCAAAAGGTGATCTGAACAAGCAATTGGAGCAAGAAAAACCACTGAATCGAAAGAGCATAAATCTTTAATAGCTTAATCGACTAGGAAAACTTTCAGATCTATGGGAATTTCGGAGCGAAACGGTAGCAGATTAAGAAATATGGATCTACAAGGTTAATTTTTAATAATTGAAAAGTGTTTCAACGCAGTAGTGGTTACCTCTCCCTGCTCGTCGTCCTCATCGTCGTCGTCATCGTCGTCGTCATCATCATCATCGTCCCCACCATCGTCCTCGTCTTCTTCCTCATCTTCGTCGTCGTCATCCTCGTCTCCGACGGAGTGGACGACAGGAGGCTCAGACGAGGGCAAGGCCTGCTCGGAATCCTCGTCGTCAACGCTTTCATCGTCGTCTTCATCTTCATCTCCGTCGTCATCGTCTTCGTCTTCGCCGTCGTCCTCCTCGTCGACGTCCTCATCAACAAAGGCGGCTTGCTCCTCCGCCTCTCCGTCGTCAACCGCCGGAATCATCAGTTCCTCCTCGGCCTCAACCTCCTTCAAAACTATTCCTTCCAGCTCGGCGATTTTCATGTTGAAGTGGAGAGATAAGAGAGATAGAAGAATCGAATAACTGGGGGTTTCTATCTTTATTGGAGATAATAAAAAAATTATTAACTGAAATAATCCGAATTGGAGAGCGCAAGAGGGAAGAAGGGGTGAACTGGTGAAGGGTCAGGGAAGAGACGAGCTAGTTCGTTCAATGAACCAGTAGCTTCTGCAACTTCGATCTCAGCCGTCGAGACGCGGGATGACACAGATCGATGACGTGGAAGGAGATCCGACGGTGGAGGCTCGAGAATATTGTATTTCTTAGTAGATAACGTCATTGCGTTTGCGGCAGCGGCTGAGTACCCCGTTTTTTTTTATTCAGTCAGGTGCTTGTCACGTGCGAGAGCGCGCTTGGAGTTGGAGGCATCTAGGGTTAGGGTAACGTCACCTCCCGCTAGAGAAGTCGCCGCAAATGGATCTTGGGCTAAATAATAGAATGGGCTTTAACTGCTTACCCATACTACCGATCCAGCCCAAACACGAATTTAGTGCTCTGTTTTCCCGTCCCGGATCTCTACAAAGTATTTCGGCTAGCAGGCAAATCTGAACTAGTGAAAAGGATGATTTTCGATTTTCTTTAGGTTAACAACTAAAAATATGCAATGGAACCACGACGATAAGGCAAATTACGATTAAGCCCTAAGCGTCCGAGCATGCAATGTGCGCTGGCGGGACCCTTGTTTCCAATACTTTTAGCAAAAGGACAAGAGCACCTTTGCCTTTAGTATTTAGTATTTACCCTACTGCCTATTGGTTCAACCGACTTTCATATTCCAACAATCAGCCAATGAGTACGTTACTGCATTCACAGTGAGCAAGCTGTGGCACCACGAACCACGGGCTCGAACGAGCAGCACCCGAGCCTCTGATACTCCTCTTCACTCTTCACTGACCCAGCTGCATACACATTACCACTGAACAACATTCAGTCTTCAGCATACAACAATCTAACTGTTTGGCTATACTCATGGGTTCATGACTCTGTCATTTTCACTTGTAAAAGTTACAAATCGATCACCAAATTAGCGAACAAGTGCAACATTACACAAACCATGTACACCACATCCCATCAAATCGAAAGCCTCACGGCGTTGTCGAGTCTTTTGTTCATTCAATTCAAGATGCCAAGCAAAAAAGGATTAATGTATAAGGACCATCATTAAGATTTACAAATAACACATTCTAAAATTCCTAAAACATTACTCTAAATAGTCTTGTAACCCAAAACTCCTCCCAAACAAACTCAACCTACTTGATGAACAACAGAACGATAATAATATTCCTTTTTTCCAGTTTTCCTCCTCCACATAGCAATACTGGGGTTTTTTTTCACAAAGAGATGAGGGACAAAAGAGATTTGACCTGTAAGGGTTCAATTTCTGGGTTCTGGGTGAGCCCTCCAAAGAACGCCAAGAAAAAAACCTGTTCTTCCTATCGCTTCGATGGCCTGTGTTCGTCGTCGTCCTCCTCCTCCTCGCCATCATCGCCGCCATCACTGGCATCGTCGTCAGAGTCATCCTTCCTCGATCTTTTCCGTTTTGCAGCGGCAGATCTCGAAGCTTCATCTTCCTCCTCATCTTCGTCCACCAAGTCCTCTTCTTCCTCGTCGTCTTCATCCTCGCCGTTCTCCTCGAGTTCCAGGTCTATCGCGTCTTCCTCCTCTTTTGGACGCCGGCGAAGTATGTATTCGCTTCCCAATTCCTTCTGCAAAATAGGATATACATATCATCGGGAGCGAGAATCGTCAGATCTGGTGGATTTTTTTTTATCGACTCAGTACTTTACGGAGATGGAGCGTTTATATAGGAGATCCGTAAGAAAAAGTCAAGATCCAAGTTGAGATTCAATCAATAAGAGGATTACCTCTGCTTGATCTTCTTCGTCGTCGACTTCATCGTCCTCGTCGTCATCCTCACCTCCATCGATGTCCTCTTCGTCGTTCTCGTTATCGCCGTTGAGTTCGTCATCATCGTCGACCGACTGGCCAACTGGCGGGGCGGAGGAGTTCAACGCCGTCTCTGGTTCATCGTCCTCAACACCTTCCTCGTCGCCGTCGCCATCCTCGTTCTCATCGTAAATCTGGTAATAAAAAGCCATCTGCAATTAGTTTTCAGAGAGTAAACAGAGGAATCAGTTGTATAATCAAAGATCGAGTTGGAGAATCGAGTGTATTTACCACTCCCTGCTCTTCGTCGTCGTGATCGTCGTCGTCGTCTCCACCTTCGGCTTCCTCTTGGTTCTCTATCTCACCTTCGTCGTCATCGTCTTCTACCGACACGACAGGTGGACCGACGGCGGCGTTCAAGGCCTGCTCACCATCGTCGTCATCGTCGACGCCTTCATCCTCGTCGTCATCGTCATCTCCGTCATCGTCGGAATCGTCGCCGTCGTCGTCATCGTCCTCCTCCTCGTCGACGTCCTCTTCGTCTTCCGGCGCTTCGACCTCCTCCCCTTCCTCCGTGTCGCTGTCATCCTCGTCATCGGAGGAGGAAATCGCAATCACCTCCTCCTTCAAATTCTTCCCTTCCAGCTCCGTGATTTTCATGTTATTTCTTTTTTTCCGTCCAAGCGAACAGATCGGGAAAATCTAACGGAAGGCAATCAAATTTCCAATCTCTTTTCCAGGAAAATAATAATAATTGAAATCAGAAAAAAAAAATTGGGAGCTGTCTGAGCGAAGAGAGGGGCAGGTAGGAGGAACAGAGACGAGCAGCTTCGTGTGTTTGAACCAGTAGCTTTGCAGCTCCGATCTAGGCCGTCGAGAACCGGGGTGACGCGGATCGATTAGCTGGAATGAGATCGGACGGTGGAGGTGGGAAAATATGTATTTTTTTTAGAGCAGCCAGTGCGGCTGCGGCGCTTGAATACTAGTTTTTCCACGCGTTTTTTCTTTGTGCGAGGCAGGTGTGTATCACGCGCGGGAAAACGGATGGATGCTTCTAGCCAGGGCTAGGGTTTTCCTTCCCGCAATCCCGCTGAAATTTAAGCCCATTTTAAAAGTTTAGTCATGGCTCGCATCTAGTCTTTGGGCCGCCTTTCATTACGGACAAGTACATCAAACCAAACCATCGTCAGCCCAGCCCATAATCGAAACCCATATTAAACAATTATTCCTGGCTGGCCGCGTTTGTATTGCAGCACTGCTTTGTCAGATTAAAGGGGGTGGTTTGCTTAATGGATTCAAAAAAGAAGTTTTTGATAAAACTTGTGATTTGGAAAACTCGAATTTTATGATGGATTTGGTGATATTATCGATCTGAAAGAGTATTGATGTTTATTGGATTTTATTATTGATTTGTTTGATTAGATCATGGATTTGTGTAGTTAGTAAATAGTCCGCTTAATACACGTATATGTACCCGTACGTAATTTATCCGTTTAAAACTTCCGTATCCGTATTATTGTCAAGCCGTTTCTTTTTTTACCGTTCATTTGATGGATCCCGTATTAAACACGTTTAAAACCCGTATAACACGTTTAATATCCGTATTTAATGAATCAAATTACGAACTTTACCATTATTTATATATTTATTTATTTTTAAAATAATAAATTTTATATATTTATGACAATTAACGTAGTATTAAACGTAACATTAGCATAGAAACGAAGTAAAATACCCGTACGTATTTTATACGTAACTTTCCCGTACCGTATTTTACTAACTACTAATACTTCAAATCCTATCTCTTATTCTTAATATGAGATTTGCAAGTTTCATAGGGTTCACAAAGTTGGCCACTGAAGTTCACAGACGCCATGAATTTGATTCCTAACAAACTTCAAATAAATAATGACTTTGTGCAAAGTCCATGATGAATTTGATTTGAAACCCAATTATCTTATCTAAATACATGAAGCAAGCAACCCTTAAATATGATTATATCCCTCTTAAAAGCTCAGGAAGAAAAAATGCTCTCAAAAGCGAAGAACGACTTAGCAACACCGGCGCCAGGCCTCCTCCCATCTGACCGGCCGCCGGATCCTCTGGATCCCTCTGTTCTTGTCAATGTCCCAGGGGCTATGGAAAGCACGGCTCCGTCCATTGCTGTGTCAGATATGGTTATTGATTTTGCTATTTTGCCTGTGCAGGTGTCTCCGGCGGATGCAACGCCAAAACAGGGATCCCACCCTACGCCAATGGAGGTCGCGGAAAACCAGGCGAACGAGAAGAAACCAGTGCAGGCGTTCACCTATGCTAAGGCGGTAGCGAACTTGCCGACACCAATGACATCTCCTAACCAGCTGGCTGTGTGGACTCCGGTGGGGGAACACGATCTAATAACAGGGAGTCGAAATGGCGAGCCGGCGTTGACAATTTCGTCGGAATTCAAGGCGAAGATATGCGCGCCATGGCAGCGCTCGTTGGTTATTAGGCTGCTTGGGCTGAGGATTGGCTTTATCACTCTTTGTAACCGACTGAAAAGCCTCTGGAGACCGGCCGAAAATATGGAAATCAAAGATTTGGACCATGACTGTTTTCTAGTCAAACTTGATAACGAGCAGGACTACTTCCGGGCTCTGACCGACGGGCCATGGGTGATCTTTGATCACTATTTAGTTGTGCAACAGTGGACTCCAAGCTTCAAAGCCTCCGATCCTCTCCCGAAGACCAATATCGTCTGGGTCCAGCTTCCGGCTTTGAAGATTCACTTCTACCACAAAGAGGTAGTGACAACGATTGGAAACCTAATTGGGAGAACGATCAAGCTTGATTACCATACTCTTACACAACAGCGGGCGAAATTTGCCCGGTTAGCGGTGGAGGTTGACTTGTCGAAGCAATTGGTTCCCCGAATCTGGCTTGATGATGCCTGGCAAAATGTAGAATACGAAAACCTCCCTGAAGTTTGCTTCGAATGCGGAAGGATTGGGCATTGCTCTGCCATGTGCCCGCTCCTCAGACCCGCCGCTTTGCCGAATGCTGTGGTGGTCGCCGGAGGGGATTCACCGGCGGTTTCGCCGATCGACGAGGAAGAGACCAACCCGGGCTTTGGGCTGTGGATGCTGGTCTCCAGGAAATCACGGCGGAATCCACGGGATAGTCAGCGGAAAGGGAAAGTTGAGAAGGATAATGGAGGGCAAAATCTGGGGCCAGGACATAAACAAGGAAAGCGTGGCTCAGGAGGGAAGGAAGGAAGCCAAGAATTACCTAGTCAAGCCGTCTCCAACGGCCCTCTGCTCCCGAGGAGCCAAACACAGGAAAGGAAAGTCTTTAATGGCCTGAAGAACAACTCCGAGGCAAAGAAGGGAGTTGAATCGGGCGGAGGCGATTTTGGGGGAAAGGGAAGGGGCTATTGGGCCCAAGACCGGAGGTGCCAGAGTCCAACCCTAACAGATCGAAGCCCAGAGTTTTGGCGGATGAGGCCTCGACTTCGGGTCAACAACCCCAGGCCCAAATTTCGGTTCAACCAATAAAGCCTCCAGAGAATAAAGAGGTGGCCCGCCAAGAGTCCAAAAGGCAGCATTACCCATCGCTGATCTCTAAAACGGTCACAGGCCCAAAAGGTACCGTTATGCAGATCATTGAGAATCCCCAATCGGCGAAGGAAAATGCTGATCCGAACTCCATCTCTGCCCCTTCTCTCGCAATTCGAACAAAGAACAGTAAGAAGATGAATACCCAGGACAACAAAACGTCTGCTAAGCTCAATATAGTGAAGCCCCTCCAAGTATGGTCGCCGGTTAAAGAAAGGAAAGCTAAATCCAAAGCTAGGGTGGCAACGCTGACGTTGCAGGAGATCAGCGCCTGGACAGAAGCTGCCAAGAAAACGACAGAGGAACCAGGGGGGAAAGTTTCGGTTGCCGAGGCAGATGGTGCCCCCCCCCCCCCCCCCCCGGCCGACGAAGGCCCAGACAGCGGAGAGCTTCCCGCCGGTGTAGTTGGTCTCAACCGCCGCAGCTTTCCCTTTCCTGTCAATTTTTTGATTATGAATTCCAATATTAAGATTCTTGCGTGGAATGTCGGGGGTGCTGGGAGCAGGGCTTTCAGGCGGGCTCTGAAATTGGTAATTCAGTCTCACCGACCAGATTTCTTGGTGCTCCTTGAGCCTCAGATCAGTGGGGATACGGCGAATGGCGTTTGTGATAAGATTGGTTTCCCTAACTCTATTCGCGTGGAAGCAGAAGGTCGATCAGGCGGTATCTGGGTTTTTTGGGATGATGGGGTATTCTCGGTTCAGCCCTAATCAGCCTGCTCTCAACATCTTTCCCTTCAAATTAGAAGAGGTAATGACCCGAGTTGGATGTTAACTGCTGTGTATGTGATAGACCGTTAATTACACATGTTTTTACCCCTGTTCTTACACCGTTTGAGATGTGATTTCTCGTGTTTTAGGCCGATTTCACACTAGGTTGTGCTTGTTTGTGATATTTCAGGTCCTATTACGTGAATGGAGGCTTGGGAGCGAGTTTGGGGTCGATTGGATGAAGATCGGGCGTGAGGCAAGCCGATGAGGAAGCCACACGGGCACACATAACCATCACAGGGCCGTGCAAGTGACAAACCTGGCCGTGTGGGATTATGCGAGCCTTCACACGGGCACAAGTAATTTCCACACGGCCGTGTGGAGGAGCAAAGTGGCCGTGCGAGTTTCCCCGAGAGCAAACACGGGCAGGATGGAAATCCCACACGGCCGTGCGACCCTGGCCGTGCGGGAAGCCTGAATTTCGACTTAATGATACGCCGCGTTTTGACTCGCACGGGCAACTGGGTGAGTCACACGGCCGTGCGGCCTGCCCGTGTGAGTCGGGAATTGCTGGTTAAAACCCGATTTTCAGCCAAAGGAAAGAGGAGAGCTGGGTTTTTGGTTCCCAAACACCCAAGGGACGAACCCTAGAGAGAGAGAGAGAGAGACTTGGGAACATTCTTGGAGCTATTTTGGAGGATTTCTTCGCCATTGGAGCTCGGGAATCAAGCTTGGAGATGGAGATTGAAGATCTGATCAGATTTCTGCAGTCTCTCTCTTCTCTATGGAGTAACTTCCCTTCACTTAGGTTTTGAGGAACCCTAGTTCCATGAGTTAGGATCTTTCTTGTATGAAGTTTTGGGATGATATTACTGTTTGATTTTAATCGAATGATGCATGTTTATTGAGTCAATTGAAGTCTGATCAACTTTTCCTGATTCCTGCTGCAATCTGAGATAGATAGAATCTGATTAGGTTGCTAGAGTCTCATCATTCGATAGTAGGAGATTGGCTGTACGAGAGTTAGCCAGTTTACTGCTTTGTACTTGAATCCAATTCCAGTAGTGGAGTTCTGTTCTTACTGCTTCAGCTTTCTATCCCGGTGAAGACTAGTCGTCTGCCGGGTAGTTAGACTGAGAGGGCTTGGTCAGCTTAAGAGATTCCAAGCTACTGTCGGATCTTCCGCAGTTTAATCAATAGTAAAACAACCAAAAAGAATTACAACTTGGACCTGATTGAGGAGCTAGGGGGAATCATACCTGAGTGAGTTCCCAAACTGTAATTAGTAGTTTTACTTAGTTTAGTTAGTAGAGTAGTTTAGTTAATCAATCCTTAATCTAGTTTGCTAGATAATGAACTGAAGCTGAGTAATAGTAACTCTAGAGACCCGTGGATTCGATATTTATTACTTGTGCCACTATACTGGAGTCCCTTTCATTGGTTACACTTGGCCATTGTTAGGTGTTGTGTTTTAGAGCATCAGTATGCATCTCCAAGGCAGGGTGATCAACGTCACCTTTGGGAGAGGCTTGTTTTTCACAGCAAGAACATCGAAATGCCATGGCTTTTGACTGGGGATTTCAACGCTATCTGTAAATAGGAAGAGAAGTCGGGGCTTCCAGCTCGCAACACGTTGAGAAGGTGTCATCTGTTCACTGAAAGGATGAATCTGGCAGAGCTCGTTGATCTTGGGTTCTCGGGCCCCAAGTTCACTTGGTCTAGAGGAGAGAAAGGTCAGACGTACAAAGCTAGTCGGCTGGATAGGAGTCTCTGCAACATTCGTTGGAATTCGGTGTTCCCCAACTCTTCGGTACTGCACCTCCCTCGCTACCAATCAGATCACTGCCCTATTTTGACTTGCATGGAAGCTCAGCCGATCAGGCATCAGGACACGAAGCCGTTCAAGTTTGAAGCAGCCTGGTTAACTAATGAGGGTCTTCGGGCTTTTGTGGCTGAATCTTGGAACTCGGCGGTTACTCTTGAGAATGCCCTCCAGGTTCTCGCTGCTAAGCTTGTAGATTGGAATGAGGCTGTCTTTGGGAACATTAAGCAAAAAAAGAGGAGGAGGTTGGCAAGACTTAAAGGGGTGGAAACGGGCTTGGCCAATAGCTTTTCACCAGGCTTGGCTAAGCTGCATACTAAACTAGCATCAGAGTTGGATAAAATACTTGAACAGGAGGAGATCATCTGGTATCAAAGGTCAAGGGACCAATGGGTCAAGTTTGGAGAAAGGAACACCGGTTATTTTCATCAACAGGTTAACATCAGGAGACGGTTCCACAAGATCGAGGCTCTGATGGATGACAATGATTCGTGGGTAACCGAGCCGCTTTCTCTTGCTATGCTGGTGTTTAATTATTTCTCTAACATATATTTGCAGGATAACTCCCCGTACGAGGACAGAATGCCGAAGGAGTCCTTTCCTCGGCTCAGCCAAGCAGAAGCGGCAGCTCCGTTCCGTCCCTTTAGTATTAACGAATTTCACGAGGCGATTTTCGATATGAAGCCATTCCAAGCCCCTGGCCCTGATGGCTTCCATGCGGGTTTTTACCAGCAGTTCTGGCAGGTAGTGGGAAAGTCTCTTTCGGATATGGCAATGTCGTTTTTTGTGACAGGTACTCTTCCTGAGGCTGTGACGGAATCTACCCTGGTGCTCATTCCGAAAGTGGACTCACCAGAGAGGGTGTCTCAGCTACGGCCTATTTCCCTCAACAACGTCTGCCTCAAGAGTATCACCAAGGTCATGACGTCCAGACTAAAGCCTCTCATGAGGAAGCTGATCTCGCCAAGGCAGAGCAGCTTTATTCCAGGAAGGCAAACCACGGATAATATCATAGTGGTTCAGGAAATTTTTCATTCCTTCAGTAAGAAGAGAAGCAAAAAAGGAGGCATGATCTTCAAGATTGATCTCGAGAAGGCCTATGATATGCTTAGGTGGGATTTTCTACGAGATACGTTGAAGGAAGTGGGGATTTCGAGTAGCTGGATCAACTGCATTATGTATTGTGTGGAACATAATACGATGAGGATTAGATGGAATGGAGACCTCTCTCAGCCGATCACTCCATCTCGTGGCATCAGACAGGGAGACCCTCTCTCTCCCTACCTGTTTGTTTTATGTACGGAGCGTCTTTCTCATAAAATTGACGAGGTGGTTAGTGAGGGAAAGTGGAAAGCGGTACGGCTAACTAGTTCCGGCCCGCCTCTCACCCATCTTTTTTTTGCAGATGATCTCCTTCTTTTTGCAGAAGCTGAGCGAAGACAAATTCGGGTGATTAAGGAATACCTGGCAGACTTCTGTTGTAGCTCCGGACAACGGGTCAACTACAGTAAGTCCATCTTGTACGTTTCCCCGAATGTTGCCCGACGCAAAGCAGAATACATGAGCCAGTGTGCAGGAATTCCCTGAAAGTAGCGTTGGGGAGATATCTTGGGATCAGGCAATATAGGAGAGGGTCACAAAAGGAAGATATCAATCTCTCCTGCTCCGTATTCAGAAGAAGATGGCTCCTTGGAAAGCGAAACGCCTCTCTTTCGCGGCTCGGTTAACAGTAGCGAAATCGGTAACTGCCTCTCTTCCGGTCTATACTATGCATACTGAATTAATTCCAAAGGGTGTGTGCAGGAGTATAGATAAAATCAGCAGGGACTTCACTTGGGGAGAGGAGGAGAATCGCTCCAAATTCCACCTGGTGGCTTGGGAGAAAATGACGAGACCGAAGGCTCAAGGAGGTGTGGGACTTCGACCTACTCATCAGGCAAACCTGGCCATGCTTGCAAAATCAGGATGGAAGTTGATGCAAAATGAAGGAAGCTTGTGGCAACATCTGCTCCTCTCCAAGTATGGGGGTCAAAGAGTGGGTCTCGACATTTTGCGGAGAGTTCAGGGAAGTTCCTTCACCTGGAGCAGTTTTTCCAAAACTGCCGAGCTCCTTAAGAAAGGATGCGCTTGAAATATTAAGAATGGAAAAAGACTAAATTTTGGCTTGATCCGTGGATTTTGCAGATACCACTGAAAGAAGTAGTGACTGGTGAGGTTCCGGAAGCTTGGGAGCAGGCGGCTGTAGCTGATCTTGTTCGTGAGGATGGGAGCTGGCACACAGAGCTATTCAGTGGGAGACTCCCCCATGATATATGCAACAAAATCACCAGTACAGCGGTCGACACCCTCGCCCAAGAGGAAGATTCTTTATTCTGGTCGGCGGCAGCAGATGGGAGGTTCTCTGTCAAGTCGGCCTATGAATTACTGTATGCTTCTGACACGCAGCCGAGGGATGAGATTTGGAAGGTGATCTGGGGTTTGCCTGTGCCGGAGAGGATTAGGTGTTTTGTTTGGTTGGCTATTCAGGGCAAGATAGCAACCAATGTCCTCAGGTTTCAGAGGAAAGTGGCGGAGTCCCCTATGTGTTTGCGATGTACAGGGCACCATGAGACGGTTCTCCATATCCTGAGGGACTGCGCCCCAGCGCTGTTCTTCTGGTCCAGAGTTGTACCGCAGCAGAAGCAGCATGAATTCTTCAACGCCGCTCACGAGGTTTGGTTCCGCAGCAATCTCTTGAGCAAGGATTCGACCAGCTCAGGTATTAATTGGCCTGGTTTTTTCAGCATGGCTTGCTGGTTATTATGGAAAAACCGTACTACTATGGCGTTCAAGGGTCCGAGTGCAGCGATGACAGCACCCTCACTCTTGCACTCCATTTTGGTTAAGACAAAGCTTTGGAATGATTCTTGGCATGCCCCAGATCCTTTCTCCAATCTCAAGAAGCAAGCGATTGTGCGGGTTAGGGCTGATATTGGTTGGACGCCTCCTGCGGAAGGTTGGGTTATGGTAAATACTGACGGGGCTTCCAATGGAAACCCGGGGCCAGCCAGCGCTGGTGGAGTGGTGCAAGGTCCTCTGGGGAACTGGTTGGGAGGTTTTGTGGCGGGTATTGGTTCGGCAATTGCTGTGCTGGCTGAGCTGTGGGCTATCTACTATGGGTTAGAGATCACTTGGAAGCTCGGTCACCGGGTAGTGAAATTAGTTTCGGACTCTCAGCTTGCGATTCAGCTAATTCAGGAACGTCATGATCCCATTCATCCTTACGCGACCCTTTTGAATCTTATTCGCAGGAAAATTGGACAGGATTGGTTGGTCAGCTTGACTCATACTTATCGAGAAGGGAATAGAGTCGCGGACTGGCTCTCGAAGCACAGTCTCGTCTATCCCTACGGTATGTATGAGCTGGTTGATCCACCTTTGGGAGTTCTCCCACTGTTGCAAGATGACATGATGGGTGTTACTTTCGAGCGCCGGATTGTGGCGACCTCCTCCTCTTCTAGATAGTCACCTCTGTAATCTCTCTCTTTCTTGGCTTCGGCCTCCTTTGGTATAAAAAAAAAATCCAATATTGTATATCAATAAATGCCACCTCTAAAAACATGAATAACATGAACTCTTCCATTACACTATGGAAGAAAAGTGTGTTGGTGGTCTAGGTCATTCTGGCTAAAAAATGGCTAAATTGCAAGTTTGGTCACTTGAATTACTAGTAAATTTCACGTTAGCCATTAGAATTACTTTATTATATCCGTAGTCACTTAAATTAATTCAATGGTTCAAGTTTGGTCACTCTCCGTTAGTCTCCGTTAACTTTGGCTAATGTGGCAATCAATTCTGAGAGTTGACCGTTAAATAAGTGACGCGACAATCATAAAATAATCATAAAAATAAAATTTAAACTTTTTACCATTGCCACCTCATTATCACAATAAATTAAAAATAAATAAAACAAAACAATTATAATTAAATTGAACAAACCCTCATCGTCCTTCCTCTCCCTGGCCAAACCCAGTAAGGGAAGCTCCCGTTGAACTTCTCGCTCCACCATTGACTCCCTCATGGACCGCCTCGGCGCCTCCACGCCACCAGATTGCGGATGCGATTATTGGGACCGAGCAGAAGAAGACTACCAAGTTTAGGATTGCGGTTCAGTTGTTGGATAGCACCATGGTAGAGAGAGAAGAGAGAGATACTAGAGCTATGGAGGATTTAATGGTGGAGAAGGTGGTAAAAAGAGGGAAGTTGAAAGGCGTTCTTTTATAGGGTATCTCGACCTGCTCCAACAGTAGGTCCCTCTCTCTCCGCATGATTTAATGGTCACTTCTTTTATAGGATTTCGCTAGGGTTTATCGACGGGAGGCTGCCGGCGAAGGATGGGAAGATGGATAGGAGTGGGGAAGATGAAAGGTTTCTGATCCTTGACGGCAACCAAATTCCTAATCGGCGTCGCAGTCGTGCCTTCCGTATTGGAGAAGAAGATCGGCTCTCAGCTGAAGGTTGCCACTGGCTATCTTCGGCAGTGGATCCCTCCTCCTCTTTCGTTCCTATCACTGCCGCCTCGCTCCCCGCACCGCTGACGTGGCGAGGAGGCACGTGAGGTGGAGGAGGAGCAAGACGAAGAGGAACTATAAGAAGACAGCGACGAGGTGGAGGTGGAAGCCAAATCATACTCATTTGATTTGCGAAGTGACGATGAGGAGGAGGAAGACGCGGCGGGGTGCTGGCTGAGCTTTTCGCGGAGACAAGCGGAGCACACGCGTGGGGACTGTCGGTGCTTCGGGTGCTTCTTGCATCTGATGTTGACGGCGCTGGTGGCGACAATATTCTTGGGGATGCGTCGGGCGGCGGGTTGCATTTATTTTTATTATTATAATTGTTTTGTTTTATTTATAATTAATTTATTGTAATTATGAGGTGGCAATAGTAAAAAGTTTAAATTAATTTTTTTTTTATAATTGCCACGTCACTTATTTAACGGTCAACTCTCAGCCAAAGTTTACGGAGACTAACGGAGAGTGACCAAATTTAAACCGTTGAACTAATTTAAGTGACTACAGATGGAATAAAGTAATTATAGTGGCTAACGTGATCTTTACTAGTAATTCAAGTGACCAAACTTGCAATTTAGCCACACAAAAAATAGGCAACACAACTTTAAAATCAAGTTGGGTTTCTATTTTTTTATGATGGTTGTATAGTTTTTAATTTTGTTGTTAGATGCTACTTAAAACTTTCGAACTTGAGATCTCCAAATTAAAAATCAGTGATAAAATCACTAGACCAAATCTTTGTTCGCTAAATTAACTTCGGACTTATCTATCCCTGAGGTGTCAAGCTACCTCATACTAGGGGTGGGAAACGGTGCGGTCCGGTCCAGACCAGACCATAGATACGGTCTGTGGTCCAGACCGAGAGGTTGGAACATAGACCATGGACCAGACCATATACTATACGGTCCAGACCAGACCACACCTGTGCGGTGCGGTCCGGTATGGTCTGGACCAGACAGACCATGTTAAAAAAAATTAACTCTTGTTGGCCCTCTAACCCTTCACCGGTATCTATAAAAAAAATCTAGTGACCAATATGCTAGTGAAACAAAAAAATTGTGATCGTATTAAATGAGAAGAAATATGAGGATATAAGCGGGTTTTTTCAATTTTCAAATAGCCTTATTTCTCTATTCCTCTTTGTGCTACGGCTTCTCTCCTCTCTCGAGTGATCTGAAGGTTCTCCCAGTTGATAACCTTTTTGATGACGTCGAGGTAATTTCGAACCACTAAGATGGTCGCATATCTCTCAATAATTTTCCTTATCTCATCAAGGTGAACGAATTTTTTTGTAGTGTTTAATTTTTATCGACTCCATAGTCTAGACATTATCTGTGAATATTATTTATGAGTCTTTCTAATTTTTGTGTGGTACTTTGATAAGGAGATAACATATAAGCGATCATTTTGCAATTTGTTGGCTCTCAACTAGATGAAGAATCAACTAACTTTGTTCTTCAAATACACATATGGAGGTTCAATTTAGTGTTATTTTTGTCCAAGGTAGTAGGTAGTGTGTCGCGGTTTGTTACGGTTTACTGCGGTAGACCGCAGTCCAGACCACTTCAGACCACGCACTAAAGGAGGAGATCGCAAACCAGACCAGACCATAGTTCTGGTCTCATGGTCCAGACCAAACCATACGATACGGTCCAGACCGCGGTTTCCCATACGGTTTGGTCTGGATTCCCAGCCCTACCTCATACCTCCTAATGGTACCTCTAAGTTCGCCTCTAACAATGCAATATAGCTCTGCAAGATCATAGCGTAAACACCCAATAAACGACTATGTCCGAAATTTGCACAACCCATATGTTTGCTGCTTGTTGGGAGGTCACTTCTACATCGCCAATCTCTAGCCCAACGTTCATGTTTTGACGTGATACCGTTCTCGAATGTAGAAAGGATGTCTGCGTTTTGTAGCATACGGTAGTTTTAAATCATAATAAAGGAAGTATTTAAGGACATCGCCAGACGCCACGTTTTCACATGTAATTGCCTACACTCTTTCTACCTTAACGTTGCACTCTGAACATACAATATCTTCAAATCTCCCGCCGGCTCACGTGGCCTTACCATACACGCGGCCGCATATTATATATTCTCCTCCCACTAGCTAAATTCCCCATTAGTCTAATCAATTATGTCATCAGTCCAAAATCCAGATCCTCCCTAATCTCCAATCCTCCTTTCCTCTCCTTGCAAAAATCCACACACACAAAAACAAATAAGGTGGGGGAAGAAAAAAAATCCTCTGGAACAGGGAGCGATTCGTAATTCTTATCATCATGTGTCGGTGGCTGTACCCGTCCTACTTCCGGTGGCCGGAACTCGGTCTCTCCCTGCCGCTATCCAGCTTCCGATGGCCGGACTTCGACTTCTCGTCCTACCTGAGAACGGGAGCGTGGTGGAGCCACCAGCCGATCAGCCCCCTCCGGTGGCTGGAATTCTCGATCGACGAGATCCTCTGGAGCTTGGCGACGGCGGTTGAGTCGGTGGCTCTCGTGGCCATGCTCTGCTACTTCTTCCTCTTCTGTGGATGCACTCTGTGACGACTTGGAGGAAAAGATCGACGGCGCATCCTATTGGAGAGCTCCAAACTTGTCTTCCATCGCTTCAATTTCGTTTGTCTTCTCTGTGTAAATACTTAGGATGATTACACGCACCAATTCAATCATTTGATTGCTGTTAGTTAATCTGAAGTTTTATAATCCTGATTAGCACTAGAAACAGATTTGTCTTTAGGGCCGGGGCGGGGGATCGTTTCATCGTATTATCCTCTTTTTTTCTTCCTTAATGGTATAGAGCGTAGAAGGTTGCGTTTTGGAATTCATCTCTCGTAGTTTTCTTGTTGTGCCTATCGGTCCAAGCCCAAGTTGACTGTGTGAATTAGTGGGTAAAGCCGAAACGTGGAACCGAAAATTCTTTGTATGACAAGAAAACACCAAGGTGGTCATAATTAAACTCTATCATCATATAGCTGTGGGTGAATCCAGGTGGCTAAGAGAAGTTGTTTGTATGAACTAGTGGTAGTGGTACCGGTACCAATGATACTGGTATTGTACCTCTACTCATTGGTGGCATACCACTATCTGTGGTGGGCTGGTGGCATACCACTATCTGCCGGTAGGATAAAGTTTGGCGATCAGAGTGAAAAGGCGGTTGGAAAAGAAAGAGAGAGATATAAATGTATTAATTGTAGGATTTAAATTAAAAAAATGTATTTAATATGGATTTTTAATTTCCAATCTGTAATTAATACAAAAATATTAATTAATAAATTCTATTCTTTTGTCATACCCAAATTGCTCTTGGATGTGAATTTCACAACCCCGATAAAGGAAGTGATCGTATCACGCCCCTGTGTCTAGCTCATTCTTCTAGTCAAATGGTTACCACGATAATTATCAAACTAAATAAGCTTAAACTCTATTAACCATAAAATATAATATCATAACCAAATCGTCCAAACTAATAAAACAACTAACTTAACCAAAGTAAAGTTCAATCGGTTTGGTTAATTGGTTAACGAGAATAACCAATGTAACATCACATTATCATTAACTGAGAAAATCTCCGATTAATGCATCGATTCGCAATCTATATAATATAATGAATAGAAGATATCTTACTGTCAATAGAAGTATTCACATTACAAAAATATATGTCAATGGTATGGGGTTAATGAATTGTTGTGTTTTGTAAATTGACTTATTCTCTTAGCAATTATCATAGGCAAAAATATACTTACTCTACATATACAAATATACAGTATAGAAACAATTTTAAACTTTATTTTTTTATGAGCCTGAGTGGGAGGAACGTTTGACACATCAGTGGTTATGCAAAGTATTTAAGTAAGCGCATATAATATTAATGAGATATATGATTAATTACTTAACTAGTTAATTTGGTTTGATTGGTTAGGAGTGTTTGAAACCAAACCAAATCACCTAAACCAAACAAGCTAAAAATATATAACCAAACCAAACCATTATCCAAATTAACCAAACCAAATTATCCAAATACTACCGATGAAAATAATTACCATGGTAACCACACTGTTTGAACACCCCTACTTCTACATACCCAATAGTCTCTTTCGGGTTGTAAACAGCAATGTTGTCTGAATCGAACCGGAGCATGACCCGGTAATGCGAACGACTCGCACTTTAGTGGTCCAACCGGCATTAGACCGTTTAATAACCGTTAGAGAACTGGTACTTAATAAACGTTATCAGTATAAATAGTGGACATTTCTTAATCAGAGCTCGTCTCTTTCCTTCGAAATTGTGAAATGGAAATAAGGATTCAGTTTGTGAGCGGATTGCGGTTTTACCGGTCGGGCCGAGCGGCTCGACTCGGCTTTAATAACACTGGTAAACAGAGTAGCTTTGTGTACGAGAGAGACGTAGATCGGGCATTTGGGCAGGATCAAATGGTGAATGGAAGCGTTGGCCCTATCCAAAAGGAGGATGGAGGCCTTTGGCCATTGATTCTTGCTCATGGGCCTTAATTTATTGATTAGGATGTAGGGTTGGCAACCAATCGGATCGGCAGCGAGGGATCTGTGGGCGAAAGACAGCGAACACTTCTTTTGTGATGGGCCGGATCGATTGGTTTAATTGGTTTGATTCATTAATTTTTTATTATATTTTAAGTGACATGCATGCTGGCTGGACAAGTTAACAAATTTTTGGATGGAAATGAACAGAATGATTGATTTGTTATTCGTCCAAACGTATTTTACTGAAACATGAAAAATTAAACTTTAGTAACCGTTTTCTACTAAATGATAAGTTTTGTGGTCGTTTATGATAATTATCGATAGATTTGTATTAAATTTTGTTTAAGGTAAATACGTCAAATTAAAAAGCAACAGGCCAAGACACTAGATGGGCTGAGCGGCTGAGCCCCACAATTAAAAAACTTGGTTCAATTAAGACCAAGCCAAATGAGCCACCTTCTCTTAGCAAGTCGACTCCAAGTTACCGGACAACGACGTCGGGAATAGCGTCCCGAGAGATTTCCAATACCTTGTCTTAGAGAATCCACATTGGTGATTTTGCATAGCTTGCAAGATAAGGTAACAACTTATGTGTCACTTGTATTGGTAGTGGCAGTGTCTTATTGATGTAAGCAGGGCGGACCCATGACACCCCTAAAATTCGAGAGAAAAATTATTGAAACTCCCGATAGTAGTTGGAGTCTAGAAAAAAAAGCAAAAAAAGAAGTAGTGGTTTATAGGATTTAAACTCGTGACACCCTAGTTATTAGCTAACATGCTTTCCATTATACTATAACTTATTTCTTATAATAAAATTAAGAGTATAATTATAAACATATGCATTTCATCCCCAATTTGACATAAAAAAAAGTTTCGGATTCGACTAGGCGATTAGTTCGTAAATGATTGTCTTGTAGGATATAATGAAAGATATTTGTTGAGTATTGTAGACACTGAGTGTATTTTACAATATTTTCAAAATATGAAAATACGACGTGGACTTTTGTTGTAACTTGTATTAATCGAATATATTTTTTTTGTTGAATACTATTCACATATTTTTCATATTTAATATTATTTTGAAAGAGAACCCCCTAAAATAAAATTCTTGGGTCCGTCAGGATGTAAGTAAAGTGTGCTTGCAAGGTTGCAAATTTGCACAAAATGAAAGTTGGCTACTTTTCTCTTGTTCTTTTTAACAGTGATGAAGATTGCAGCATTCATAGAAGCCTCTGGGGAGTCATTGAAAGATCTTTCACTGAATAATTTCAAGCAGATGAGAGTTTATCGAAGAATATTCTAATGATGACGACCTATGGTATTTGAGGATTTAGATAAATAGAATTGTATCAAACTCACGGTTTCATTATTATTCTTTTTTCCTATTTATCTCATGATGGTTTGACTCAACACATGGTCCTTTTCCTTTCGATTCAATTTTGATTTAGTAGGTCTTGGCAGATCCATCAACAAAGCAATCATATTCATTGTCCGTCTTTTTGTTATCAGGTTAGCCGCAATACTGCACTATCAATTGCTAGACGAGCAAGAAATTTGCAGAGTTTGGATCTATCATGGTGCTGGAACCTGTCACTGAAGGTGCTCAAGATCTTTGAGTGTGATCTGGTAACCAGATATATAGAACAAAAAATCAGGCACAACAATTCTTCCAGTAGTGGACATCATTGGGATGAAGATGTGTGATAGTGTTTTTCTTCTGGAATAGCTGGCAGATGTTCTACTAAGTGGTCACTCGATTCCAGTAGTGGAAATCATTGGGATGAAGATCTCCAGCAAATGGCAGGGCGAGTGATGCACAGGACTTTGACTCGCTATGACACAACTCCTAACAATGGTAGCGGCAGATCCAAGATATAGTAGAGCACTGGGCCGCATTTCATTAGAAAACTAGATACCTTAAAAAATTATATTTTTTTTACAATATCAATTGTACACATCGATCTTTTAATATAGTGAATTCATCAATAAAGGAGTCTACAATCTACATCCATACTAATCGCATGCTACTTTTTTTTCAAATAAAATAGTTAACTAATCAGCGAGAAATTCATCGCTCATTTTGATGTGCAAATCATTTTTCACCTGTTCCATTGTTGAAAAGCTTCTCTCCATATTAGCTGTTGAAACAGAAAATGTCAACATTGGACAAATCAATCGACTAAGCAATTTGTATTGTGTATCCATCCCTATTTTCACCATCTGCTCTAGTTATTTTTCAAGTGAACAAATCTCATATTTCTTTTAGCCTTACATTTTAGACTTTTAGAATTTTAGGTTTCATTGTTTGTTTTTCTTTAGACTAGACTCATTTGAGCTAGAATTTCTAGACTAAATTTAGAGTTATGATTTGAACATGCTAATCTTACCCATTTTCCTAATTACACACAATTTTATTATAATTAACACTGGCCCGAAAGACTAAAATCGATAAACGCATAAGGACTATACTAGTTCTGGATCCAGAGGAGGGTTGCGCCGTGGCCCGGGGTGGCCACCCCCTGGATCTGCCACTGAACAATGACCAAGTGTAACCAATGAAAGGGACTGCAGTATAGTGACTCAAGTAATAAATATCGAATCCACGGGTCTCTAGAGTTACTATTACTCAGCTTCAGTTCATTATCTAGCAAACCAGATTAAGATAGAACAACTAAAACTACTATAGCAAACTACAGTTAAAGTTAATCTAATTACAGGTTGGGAACTCACTTAGGTATGATTCCCCCTAGCCACTAGCCAGATTAATGATTGATGATCTCTAACATGTTTCACTTTCATTCACAATGCGGAGAATCCTTAACTAGACCTTGAATCTCGACTAAAGGACCAAGGCCCTCTTGAGTCGATTGCCTAGAGGGACGTATCCTTCACTAGAACAACCGATCAAGGTGTTCTGAAATAGACTCCCTCTATCGAAAGAGGTTCTCAATCGATACAAAGCAATGAATCAACCCTCGACTAAAGCAATCGATCCAATACTATCAATCTATGGTGCTCTATTGACCTAATCAGGTATTCGCTCTCATATGATCAAAGCAGAATCAATAATCTCGACTAAAGCAGAATTGAATCATGAAAATGTGCATAGATTGAATATGAACTCAAGATTATCAAGTAGGAGTACTCATACAATCATCCAATCAAACAAACATAGTTAGAGTTCCTCAAAACCTAAGTGAAGAGAAGTTACTCCATAGAGGAGAGAGACTGCAGTAAGAATCTTCAGATGATCAGTCTTCAAGTCCGGGCTTGTTCCTCGAGCTTCCAAGGAGAAGAAATCCTCCAATTCCACTCCAAGAATGCCCTCAAATCGCCCTCTCTCTCTTTGGTTCGTCCCTTGGGTGTTTGGGATCCAAAACCCAGCTCTCTCTCTCTCCAAAAATCGCAAAACAACTTTTATACCGGCTGAAACTCGCATCCCCTACTTGCAAGGCCGTGAAAATTGAGGTTTTGGCCGTGCAAACCCCCTGGGAAACCCACACGGCCGTGCAGAATTTCACACGGCCGTGCACAATTTCCAGCATGCACTCCTAAGCTTCGTTGATCTCGTTTTAGCTCGTTTGACCTCCGATTCAGGTGCCGTTTGATCCCAGATGCTTGTAGTCTTGTAATCTTTCTTTTCATAAAAAGTTTTCATGATTATTTGTCAATAAAATAAGGTATAAATCCATTCTTTCTCAAGTCATTCCCGAGTTTCTCACCCCGAGTCGCCAATTGATCTCCTATTGACTTGAAACTTGCGCCTAGGCTTCACTTTACATGCTAGGACCTGAAATGTGACAAAGGAACACAACCTAGGGTAAAATAGTCCAAGAAATCAAAAAATTAAGCCAAAATGATCAAGAAACGAGGGTGCAAACATGTGCAAATACGACGTTATCAAATTCCCCACACTTAACCGTTTGCTTGTCCCCAAGCAAAACTAACTCAAACCAATGCAACTCTCCAGACCTCTATAGAAACAAACAACCCCGATCGTCGGTAGAGGATTTCCTAGATCATATAGCAGCTTACAAGGTCAACTGGTCTTCTAAGACGTTCCCTATCTCTCTCAATGCGAGTACTAGACTCAAGCCAGGATCATGAGAAGAAATGGAAGTAAGACAACCAGTTCATGGATAAAGGGACTAACACTATTCACAACCAAAGACTCATTGTACCGGGGTGCTCTTTCACTTCATTTCACCGTTGGAACCCCCTTTTTTGCACTTTCATTTACATTTTCTTTTTCTTTTTCTTCATTCACTTGGTGAGGGTTCCAACTGCAGTCTTTTGAACGACCGACCCTTATTAGTCGAGCAAGAGCAACCAATTTCACACCAATTTCTATATAAAAACGTATTCTATGTAAAAACGTATAAAAAGCGATAAAAATGCGTTACTGCTTCTTTTTTGTACGTTTCCAATTGAAGGAGTTTCAACCAATTTCACACCCTCTCTTCCAACAAACCAGAAGCCATAACATCAATCTCGACAGTCAAACCAAAATAAAATGAATTTTAAATTAGTCCTCAACGTTTGAGGATAATCCAACGGTTGGTTTCTCCAAAATCCTCCCAGGAACCAACTGCCTAGTTACAGGTAAACAGTGTCCACCTTGTGTGACCAACAACATTTCTCGATGAACCAGACATTATAATGACAATCCCAGCGGTCTAATCGGATTCGAGAAAGTACGGAACATGTCCTCTAAATGTGAGCACGAGCCAACGACGGGTTTTATTGAAATATCCTCTACAACTCACTACTTTGCTGCAAAATGAAAATTCTCTATTTCCTCTATTCCTCTCGTCCTTTCCTTCCAAATTTCCTAGCTCTAATTCCCCCTAAATTTTTTTGGTTCCTTCAAGGTTTGATGTTGGTGGTAATGAGGGTATGATAAGTTGGAGAGGAAAGAAGGACCGAAAAGGGGGAAGTGAATGAGATGAATGAGGGTGCAGCTTTTTGCACCTTAGTTCTCTAGAAATCTATCCACATTTCTCTTCTTCCCCAATCACAAATATCAAAATGGCACAACCAAAAACTTGGTTGCCACTTAAACCATACAACTTTCTATTAGTTACAATTATACCCTTCAATTTTCAATTCACTTCACATTATTTTAAATTTTTAAATGATTTTAACCATAACCTAATTGATCAAACACCTTTATCATGCCACAGTTAATCAATTCAACGATTTCTATATAATTTAAAACTCGTCCAATTATTGAGATGACATCACCTTGATGTGAGTATGACATATGACATGTTCAAGAGGGACGAGAATGTTACATCGCAACTTCATCAAGTGATTACTTTGTTGTTTGATGTGCGACTTAAGTTATTAATATTTACTAATAATATGATTTCTCGCGTTCAATGAATGAAGAACTTTACAATAAAAGATGCCTTAGTAACTGTTTAATTTGACATCCAGATTGAAACAAAACTACTGATAACGAGGTGTAGTTGTTAATTAGTTATGTTTCTTTTATGAATGAAGAAGTCTCATTATTTTATTATTGCATTGTTGGTTTAGTTGTACGTTTGCTCCATTATTAAAAGTTTTCAGATTATATTATTTGCATGAGTAATAACCTTTTAAATGAGACCGGTAGTATGTTGAAGGTTAATTAGATTATACAAAAAAAAACTTACGCTTTTACGCTACGCTTTTACGTTTTACATTTTTCTCAAGTTTCCGCTTCTGCGTAAAAATGCGCATTTGATTAAGGGAAAGGAAAATAAAGAATCTCATTTTTAGGCCATTTTGCAAACTTGCAATTACAAAAAATAAGGGTGGCTATACGATCCGGTCCGGTTAAATTGACTCGAATTGATCCGGTCCCAGTCTGGTCTTTTCCAAAATATAAGGATCAAAGACTGGATTGGGTACAATCCGGTCTTGATCCGGTCTGGTCCCAATTCGGTTTTGATTTTAAATTGAGCTTGTGGGGATTTTAGTGGCCTGAGGCCTAAAAGGGTGAGGAGTTGGTTAAGTTTTGGGTGTTGGGCTCTCTTATCCGGTCTTTATCCGATTTCGGTCCGGTTCCGAACAATTTTTTTTTACCTCAAATCTAAACCCGAGGATGTGATTGGATTGTTTGCTATTCGGTCCCGGTCTGGTCTCGGTCCGGGTTATACAGTCCAATTTCGGGTAAAACCAAAAAGTCTGAACCAAATAGCCACCCCTAACAAAAACTCATGCCATGTCATCTTGCAATTGGAAGTGTAAGCAATGTAGTTAAAATCTCGATTTTAATCTTAAAATCTTACGATTTTACGATCCTGCCTATGTGTTCTGATCCTGTTTTTACTATAAAAATTTTGAACCTTAATATCCCTTAAAATCCTTAAAATCTATGATTTCTACAATTTTGTACGATTTCAAGGCTCATCAATTGGAACAAAATTAGACCGGTCAAGTTGGATTTTGTCCATAAAACGGGTCAAGTTTACTTCCCCCAATCCAACATAATGAACAACACAACCCTAATCCGATAAACAACCCTCAATTTATTTTCATTCTCTTCCTCGTATCTTAAAATGGTGCATTCTATCGAATTAACAATCGAAGAAACTAAACAACTCAAATTTAAATTTAAGGAACAGATATCTATAGCGATTACAAAATTAATTCAATAAACCCGCTGCTTTAGTAGTAAATCCACCCAATTATGTCACTTAATTAATTGTTGACATCTAACAAGATTCGGGGATGTCTCTTGAACGTTCCTTGGCATGATTATAAAAGCCACAAACTCAATGGGCTCCTCTAAGCTATGCCAAAACCCCATCCGAAACCCGCAAAAAACCCATGGCGATTCCCACACAACAACTCGCCACTCTCGTTGCCGTCTCCTTCCTCCTCCTACTACCCCACCCCTCGGCCGCGCAACCGAACCACCTCATCACAGAAACCTGCAAGAAAACCCCCGACTTCGACCTCTGCGTATCGTCCCTCTCCGCCGCCCCACGAGCCGCCAGAGCCACCACCGTCAGGGAACTGGCGCTCGCCATGATCCACGTGGTCGAGGCCAAGGCCACTACGACGTCGCTTTACATCAAGCAGCTTGCCAAGACGGCGTCGTTTCGCGGTGAAGAAGAAGCCGCTCTCAAAGCTTGCGAGTTCTACTACGGGATTATCATCGACTACGATGTCCCTGGAGCCGTGACGGAAGTGAGATACGCGAATCCGAAGTTTGGGGTGGACTCGATGGTGGATTCGGCGAGGGAGGCGGAATTGTGCGAGGAGGAGTTTCGTGGGGGGAATAAGTCGCCGTTGACCGGACTGAATATGGCCGTCCGGCGACTCGCCAACGTGGCGGTGGCCATCATCAAAAGTGTTCATTGATAATGTATACAGTTGTACGTTCGTTCATCATATCGAAAATTTGTTATGTGTTTTTATTTTTTGTTAAAGCAAATAAAACGTGATTCGTCAGCTATGTATGACGGGCTTCTCACGATTGAGAGGTTTGATTTAACGCTACAATAAAAAGGTAAAATTCTAGGTGAAGGCAGGATTTGAAAGTATCTGTGTCCTCGAAAAAAATATAAAAATAATTATTTAATAAAAATAATTAAAATTAATGATGTTCAAATAATTTGTTCATAGATAACAAAGAAATATCCAATCAATTATTATCTTTCATAAACAACCACAACACATTTTCAGTATTATGAAAGTAATGCAAAATACCCTTTCTGCACTTGCAGTTGCAACATGTAGTATCAAAACTAACTTCAAAAGATAAAGAGATCGATTTTGGGGTATATTTCAATTCAACTTTTTTTTTTAATAGTGTGATAATTGATTTATATTGTTTTTAAGCCCGAAATAATTTGTATCATTGTGGTAAAACACTATTATATCACTTAGAGATGATGAGTTTGATTCTTGATTGATATATATGGTATTTATTTTTACCCAAAAATTACCAGTGCCACGAACCCTCTTGGCTTCGCCTATGATTCTCTATGATTTGATTATATTACATATAATTAAAAAAAAAAACGGGTTGAGAAGAATATCCATATTCTCCCCACCTCTCTTATACCCGCTCTGAAAAAGGTTAAATAAATGAGTGAAACCAATTTTTTTTTGTTGAAAGTGCTCCATATTTAAGTGCTCCCTCTATATCCTGCTTCATGCACTCAAATTCTCATAGCGGGTCGCAAATTACAAAATCATGTAACAACAATCTCTTTTCCTTATTATTAATCCAAAAATATTACATCATATTACTGATCAATGCAACAAATTAATGATTCCAATGGCCACACCGGCCAAACGACTCATCAGCTGAGCTCCACCAGTAAACGGTTCCTTGTCGGCCAGCTGTTCCAAGCACAGCTCCACGTCGGATTGAACATCTCCGACCTGCTCCTTCGCCTCTGCATAATTCTTCGAATTCAGAGCCGCAATCCCCTGTGGAATCCTGTTCTCCAGAATCCCCTTGAATGTGTCGATGCACAAACCGTAGCACCGGTACAAATACGGGTCCGTGACATTTGCGAACAGTTTACCAACAATTTCCAAGGTGACGTTGGTTTTGGCTGTAATGGCGTCGATCTCTATCAGGGCCAGTGTCTTGACATCGCCGGCCGCGGCGGCCCGAGGGTCGGACGAGAGAGACGAGAGGCAGAGAGCGTCGTCGTCGGTTTTGTTGCAGGTTTGAACCAACAAGGTCGATGGGACCGCGGTTGCGGCGGAAATGAAGAGGAGGGGAAGGGAAATGAGAAGAGCGCAAATGTAGGAGGAAACGGAGGTTGAGTTTTTCATTTTTTTAAAATGGTGTTTTGGGAGTAATGTTTTGTGTTGTTTTGGATGTGAAGGGTGAAAGACGGTGATTTATTTGTAGTGGAAGGACTTGGGGGGAAAAGGGATGGATATCCTTTATGGTTTAATTGGCAGGTTGATTATTATTTTACCATGTTGTATTTATTATGTGAATGTAACTTTTACCATATTGTGTGAACGCAATTTTTTAATGCAGGGGGTATGGTATTATCTATTATGAGCTTTCTTTAATCTTGAAGTTACTTTTGGAAATAAATATGGGGTGTATAACAAAAAAGTAAATATAGAGATTGTGACTATCAAAAAAAATATAGAGATTGTAAATATATGGATGGAGTTAGATAGCATGTATAATGAGGGTTAGGGCCTAGGGGGAATGTATGTTTTCGACTTCAGTGCATGATTTTAGGGGTAGTTTGGAGAATAGGACTTAGGGCTTGAATTTACTGAATTCGTGTATTTTGTAAAAAATTATGTTTTTATTTTTATTTTTTGTATTTTGGATTTTAGTTTTAGAGATTTCAAATATCTAAAATCTACGGATATCAAATCTCTAATAATCAGAGAGATTTTATATTTAGATTCGTGAAATTATTTTTTTCCTACTTTTTCTCTTCTTTTTATTTATTTATTTATCATATTAAATATATTAATCAACAAACTTGTTAGTATTTCTCAAACCACTCTTATTTTTTATTAAGGATATACATGTCCTATTTAATGGTAATGACTGGTGTATGTCAGGCGAATAGTATACAACAGGTGATCTAACCGTTAGATGTACTTAGATGAGCTCCGGGCAATTTCAACGATCAATTTTTGTTTTTCATTAAATCAAAATTCGGGTTGTGGTTTAGAAAATCGGTGCCTAGGGTTTGTCCATTAGAGGTTAGGGTATAGTATCATACCCCAAACTTGATTTAATTCATGGTCTAGATAGAGATATCTCACTAGTAGTACCTGATGTATAGTATACGCCTAACGTACGCTAGTCTGGTCCGGTATTTAATATAAAAATTATATTTTTATTTTCAACGAATGTTAACAATCACAGTTACCAAACAATAAACGTGTTAAAATATATTTTCAACAATCCGAAGAGTTAGAATCTTTAGATTGTTGACAATCAATAGATTTAAACTCATATTCCAGAAACGACCCCTTAGTCGATATATTGGTTATAAGGTGCATATGCTTGTTTGAATAACATTTGAGGTTGTTAAGTGTTAATTACTATTGCACACACAATAGTTAAGAAAATTCAAACATTATAAAATGCTAAATTCTACTCTATCAATACGATCTTCGACTTTTCATGTGGAGTTAATAACATATTTGCCACTCTATTATTGACTCGCCCCGAATATCACAATGAATTCCCACCTAAGGCCCAAGTATAAACCTTAGATGGGTGCAATATAGGGCAAGTATGTTTAAATATCAACCCGGGCCGATCAGTGTACCCCTACTTCCATTGTTTGAAGCATTATCCAGCGAATTGGTTTTTGGTTGAAAACTATGAGATTTAAATCAAAACAAAGCAAAGGTAAATGGTTTAAAAGTTCTAGATGCGAAGGATCACTCGGGTATCGCTTCCCCCTAACTACTACCATGGCACATGGAATCGAATTAATCATCATGGGCAAGGTGACCGCGAACCGCAAGGAAATGCAATTATGGTCGTAGACCACACTCTCGATTGCCAAACCAAGGGATACATTATAGGCTACTCAAGAAGCCCTCCTGGTTAAGGCAAGCGAGGGTTGACTTACTCTCTCCCTCAACACAATGGTTGAACCGCTTAATCGTGCTTAACCAAATTGTTTAATTCAAGATAGAGGTTTGCCCTACATTAACCTAGATAGGTGGCTTAAAAGCCCAAAGAATATCAACTCAATTGAGCCTCCTTTGATAGGGGGTTTTCCCTCTAGGCTAGGTTAGAATGGCCAATTGGATTGCTAAGCACAAACATGCACAATCATCATGAAAAATACCTCAATAAATTAAACAACACCCATAAACAATCATTCAATTCACACAGCAACTACATGGCAAATAGTTAGGGTTTCACAACACCCAAGTGAAAAAGAGTACTACTCCATGCTAGAAAGGGGAAGAACACAAGAGAAAGAGGTAGAAACCATCATGATGATGCCTCCAATCTCCTCTAAGCTTGTGTTGATCTTCTCTTGGGCAAATTCTTCCCGATTCACCACTTGAAGCAAACCCTAGCATTCCTTCTTCCTTGGTTCGTCCTTTCTCTCGCTAAAATCTGAAGAAGAAGACACTTTCTCACTCTTGGGCTCCCCCTCTCTCTTCCTTTAAGCTCACATTTTATACCAGGATCGGGCTCAGTTCACGGCCATGAACTCTTCAACGCGTCCATGAAAACAGAGCGCTGTTTCGAAACGCACCGCTTCACCATAAGGAGTTCACGGTTTGCCCTCAATGTTCATGGTCTTGTTGACCGTGAACTCGCCTTGCGCCAGTAACTGCAAATTTCTCCCTGGAATCCTCGCGGTTCACAGTTTTGGGCTTTAGTTCATGGCCATAGGAGACCGTGAACTCTAATGATAACCCGTGAACCTCTCCTGAATCACCCTCTTTGCGCAGCCTTTGCCTCTTTTCGTCCAACTTTCAACTCCGGGACTGGTTTCACCCGTTGGATCATGAAACAACTAAAACACACAAAACCTAGTGTAAAATCACCCTTTTAGGAGTTTAAATGCTACAAACGCCAAAGGGAAACGGGGATAAAATGTGTGCAATTAGGCAAGAATCAATTATTCAATCGGAGATCAATTGACAACTCGGGAGAAGAAACTTGGGCATGACCCGAAGAAGAATGAATTTCTAGCTCATTATATTGACAAAGAATCATGTAAGCTTGTCATGAAAAGAAAGAGAACAAGAATACGAGCATATGGGATCAAACGACAATTGAATCAGAGGTCAAACGAGCGTATACGAAGCTTAGAAGTGCAATTGGAAAATGTGCACGGCCGTGCGAGTTTTCTAGGGAGTTTGCACGGCCAAAAACTCAATTTTCACGGCTGTGCAAGTCGGTGGCGCGAATTTCAGTGGGTATAAAGGCGGTTTTGCAATTTTTGGAGAGGGACAACTGGGTTTTGGATCCCAAACACCCAAGGGACGAACCCTAGAGAGAGAGCCCCTTGGTATCATTCTTAGAGCTATTTTTGGAGGATTTATTCACCATTAGATCTCGAGAATCAAGCTTGGAGATGGAGATTGAAGATCTAGATCAAATTTATGCATTCTCTCTTTCTCTATGGAGTAACTTCCCTTCAATTAGGTTGTGAGGAACCCTAGCTATGTTTGTTTGATTGGAATATTGTGTGAGTACTCCTATTTGATAATCTTGAGTTCATAATCAATCTATGCATGTTTTCATGATTCATTTCTGCTTTAGTCAAGATTATTGATTCTGCTTTGATCCTATGAGAGCGAATACCTGATTAGGTCAATATAGCACCATAAATTGATAGTATTGGATCGATTACTTTAGTCGAGGGTCGATTCACTGCTTTGTATAGATTGAGAACCTCATTTGATAGAGGGAATCTAATTCAAAACGACTTGATCGGTTGTTCTAGAGAAGGATACGTTTCTCTAGGCAATCAAATCAAGAGGGCCTTGATTTATTTAGTCGAGATTCAAGGTCTAGTCACAGATTCTCCGCATTGTGAATGAAAGTTAAACAGGTTAGAGATCATCAACCATTAATATGGTTAGTGGCTAGGGGGAATCATACCTAAGTGAGTTCCCAACCTGTAATTAGTAGTCTAATCTAGAGTAGCTTGTAGGAGTAGTTTAGTTCATCAAACTGTAATCTAATTCGCTAGATAACAAGGTGAAGCTAAGTAATAGTAAATCTAGAGACCTCGTGGATTCGATATTAATTACTTGCACCACTGTACTGCATACCCTTTCATTGGTTACACTTGGCCACTGTTAGGAGTTGTGTTTTAGCGAGTCAAGTTTTTTGTGCCGTTGCCGAGGACTTTCTAGATTATTATGAAAGACAGAACTTTGTTAATTTAGCTTATCTTTCTTTTGTTTTTCTTTTCCATCCTTGCTTTTCACTTGAGTGTTTTGTTTTGTTGGTGCAAATATGAAACCTGGATCCTCATGGCCTCTCCAACCATTGGGGGTATCCACCACCATGCGAGTGGTATTACCCCGAGACTTCTTGGAGTAATCGAGGAAGATAAGACTACGGATTTGGGTTTCAGTACCAACCCCCTTTCTACGAAGAATAATTAGACCTCTTGACATTTCAAGAACAATATCCTTATCAAGAAGAAATCCTCCCACAACTAGAGGGGCCACCGGAGCTGGAGTTAGCCATAGCGGCCTTCACGGGCCATCTGTAGAGCCATGCTACAGTCCTTAACTAGATCCAAACTATCATTGAGGCTGCTCGTGGAGCAGTTTTCTCAAGACACTGAGAGATTCTTGCCCAAGATGGACTTCATAATCCAAACCATTGCCCCTTCTGGCTCTTCATTTCTCCATGAATCGAAGGAGGCTGTTCAGTGCTCAACGAAGCAAACAAAGTGGGTTGAGTAATTTTGTGCACAACTTGCTCAAGATCGCCTTTCTGCTTCCATACAAGAAGAGGAGGAGGATGAAGAAATCTAGAAGGACATTGTGGAGCAAACATAAGTTGTCACGGAGACCTCCCGTGATGATCATGATCAGGAATGTCCTGTTGTAGCCGACCATACCTTTCTACATCCCACACCGAGCATTGAAGAGGCGGGCATGAGTGAGGAGATGCAAACTGATCTTACTGAAAACATTGCATGGCGACTTGCTCTCCAATCTGTGCTAGAAGAAGAAGAGCGAGAAAGGATGAGGAAAGAAGTTGTGGAGGATGAAGGAAGTGAAGCAGAGGAATTTCTTGATCTTTTCCAAGTGGAGATACCAAATTCTGAGGAAGGAAGAGGGGTTGAAGATTTAATAGTGGTCTAGGCGAGGGATGAAGTTGAGGTGGAAGAGGCTTGCACCGGGCATGAGTTACATGTAATATCTCCACCAAACTTAAAGGAGCTGCTTGGCAAGGACCCATTTGCAGTGTCTTTTTGCCAGACCAAGGCCACATCGACATCGATCCCTCTTGGTGGACGCGATGGTGGTCAATTGATGTTGTCATATATGGTTTGGCGCAATGAGACAAGAGAATAAGAGGTCTCGAGGGTGGAAACTTCATCTGCATCAAGTGCACGAGCCTACATCACCTGATACACCACATGCTCGTGACTTGAGACTCCACCTCACCGACGAGAACCTCAACTTCAATGAGGTTCTAGGTTGGACTGAAACTTAGGAGCCACCGTCCGACTAACGACGTGAAAGAAACATTTGTTGGGAGGCAACCCAACTAGTCGGTTTGCATTTCTTTCCCTATTTCTCTTCGGTTGAGTCAGTTGTGTTCTTGGATTTTAGAGTCAACAACTTAACCTTTGTGAGATATTTTTGTGGTTTTTGTGTTTCGAATGCTCTCTCTACTCACCTAGAATACACCACATGCCCCATCCACCATCATTCACACTTGATCTGGTAACTTCGTTCTACCCTCTTTATCTTTCCTCCATTGAGGACAATGTCATGCTTAAGTGTGTGTGGGTGGGTGGGGGTGGGGTGGGGGGTGTTCCATTGTGTTTGCTTGTGAATGTTTTGATGTGTTTGTGTGCTTGGAGCCTAGTCCACTGTCCAAATTTTCGATTTGAGGTCTCCAATTACAGATGTTTGCATGATCATATTGCCACTATGGTTGATGTGGTGAATCGATTGGTTGTTAGCATTGATGCATGATAACTTGTTTGTGATTGAGACAACCTATAATGATGACTGAGACGTGCAGTAGAGTTGTGTAGGGGTTTAGTTTTTCAACTGTTTGCTTACCAACTGTGGCTTGGATTAATCACTCATTTTCTACAGACATTTATGCCTCTAGTTCAGGAAATCAAAATGAGAGATAGAGCATATAGGTATACATGTGAGATTTGAGCCTGCTCATTTCTTTCTTGTGCGATAGATCCTTCTTCCATGATGTGTAGCACTCATCTTGCCACTAGTTAGGATGATGGATGCACAGGATTTACCCACGACCAAATTGACTGTCCTGGTGTGTCATACCCCTTAGTAAACCCTTTGAGTCATGTAACTTTCTTTCTTCGTGTCTACAGTGAAGAATCACCCTTATGTATCTCGTAGAGGTTCCACAGAGTGGTTTTTGCATGTTTTCTGCTGAAAATAAGATGAGGGTTGAAGGTAGTTCTTAAAAGTTGGGCATGTGCCTGCAAGGATAAAAGAATGTGTAAAAGTGGTGGTTCTCTCAAGAAAAGAAAGAAAAAAGAAGAAGAAACAAATGAAAGCAAAAGGGAGCCACCACGGAAAAAATCTTAATCATGCTCATTAAATAGTGTTTCTTAGCAGTCTGGTTTGGAAATACTAATATGTTGTGAGCTATTTCACTCTCTAAAGAACTTGATTAATACAGAATAGCAGAAAGAAAGTAATTCGGTCGAATGAATGTCACTATGTTTGGTTTTGGATATGTGGAACCTTGAGTTATGAATTTTCCCACCACCTAAAAGGTTGTTTTCCCATTTACATGACCCTAGCTAGTCATCTGAACCCGTGTCTAAGACCTCCCGACTAGTTAGTGGTGACACCCGGTATGTGAACTCTAGCATTTAGAGGCTGCCGTCTTGGTGAAGAGACGTTAGGGATTAAGAGTATGAGTATGCACACATTTTGCATCGAATTTTGTCCTGACCCCAGTGGTCGAGAGTGAGTGATTCATTTTTCATATTATATACCCGGTAAGGACCTAGATTGCGCAGTCTTAATTCCGATGTCTTGAATTTTATGCATGAGTGGTTGAGTCGAGTCTATTTTGGTTAGTGAAGAGAAGGGAGATTCTTCCTCTACCCAGTTTTGTTTCACTCGAATGTCATCTGTGGTGGTTGTCCAGGTTGCTGTTTCTGTTATTCGGGTGTTGATGTCTAAAAGCCAGTATGATTCACGTGTTTTGTGCTTATATGATATGTCCCCAAACTTTGCATCGTCAAAACGTTTTAAGTTTCCTTGTATCTGACTTGGTTTGTTTGGTGATAAGCAAACGATTAAGTGTGGGGGGATTTGATGACTCGATATTTACACATGTTTTCCCCTTCATTTCTTGATCGTTTAACTTGGAAATTGATCGTTAATTGGTGTATTTTACGCTAGGTTGTATTCCTTTGTCACGTTTAAGGTCATAGCATGTAAAGTGAAGGCATAGGCGCAAGTTTCAAGTCAATCGGAGATCAATTGGCAGCCCGGGAGAAGAACTTGGGAATGACCCGAAGAGAAATAAATTTCTACCTCATTTTATTGATAAATAATCATATAATCTTGTCATGAAAAGAAAGAGTACAAGACTACGAGCATATGGGATCAAACGACACCTCAATTGGAGTTCAAAATGCCTTGATTGGGTGTTCTAGAGAATGATACATCCCTCTAGGCAATCAAATCAAGAGGGCCTTGATTTCTTTAGTCGAGATTCAAGGTCTAGTCAAGTATTCTCCGCATTGCGAATGAAAGTGAAACATGTTAGAGATAATCAACCATTAATCTGATTTGCTAGATAACAAGCTGAAACCGAGTAATAGTAAATCTAGAGACCTCGTGGATTCTATATTTCTTACTTGCACCACTATATTGTAAACCCTTTCATTGGTTACACTTGGCCACTGTTAGAAGTTGTGTTTTAGCGAGTCATTCATACATTTATAAATTATATAAAATCTTATCTATATATGGATAATATTATAATATTACACCAACCTAACAATACATACTTGGATCCAACACATAATTAAAATTCAAACACACTCATATAACATAAATATTCAAATGTTTAAATTAGAATTCCGAAAGAAGGCTTAGGTGAAGGGGAAAACCATAAAAGAGGCGTAATCCACAAACCAAAGAGAAAAATGACACTAGGTGACCTCCAAATCGGGAGTCTTGTTGCGGGTCAACCTGGTGGATGTGTGGTGCCCGTTTTACTCACTGGGTCCAGATCAACGCGGGGTGACAACCTTAGGATACCCCTATTGAAATGAAAAGAATGGAAAACCAAAATATTAAAAGTAGGCACATCAACATTTGGAGATATCTTTTTATTTCCAGAACCAACCCTATCCCAAACATTTCCACTCCTTCTCCATCATAGATTTTGGCAATCCGGGAAACTCTTCACCTTCTCCTCCGTTGGCAATGTCATCACTACTGATTTTTTATATCTCCAGCGATGCTGCCACTGTGGTGAGGCAACTGGTGGATGTAGACCTGGCAATCGAGTTGTGTTGGGTAATTTCGGGTTGAGGCCTCCGGTTATTGGTCGGGTCATGTTGGGTTGGCTGATTTTGGGTCAAATATTGATCCAACCTATTCGGTTTCGTGTCAAGTTCCAGGTCATTTCGGGTTGTGAGCTCGCTTAGAAACAATATCAAACATGCTTCATATTTTCTTAAAGAACACAAATTTTCACATATGCATGACAATAGTTTACCCAACAAATGTCAATTAACATATTCTCAAATCCGCCCATGCTAATGAAATGAAATACAAAATGAGCAAATCGTCAAAAAACAATCACAAGAGTAATACTACTACAAGAAACACATGATATTTGATTATCCTTAAACTCCAAACATGTCATTCAAATCCTTGTGAATTTTTTTAAATATCTCACCAATTTGTGAGTGTTTTTATCATTTTGGGAGTGATATATAAAATGGAACGGGTCTAACGGGTTGACCCACTAACCAAACCGACCCAAAAATCACAGGTTGTCGGGTTCGGGTCATTTGAGTTTTGGGTTATAAGAACTTCTACTTTTCGGACGGGTTTGGGTCGGGTCAACAGATTGGGTTGTAATTTCCCAGGTCTAGGTGGATGGTGACAATAATGATGCCCTCTCTCGGGCCCTTTATTGTGAAGCGTTGTCGCTCATTTCTCATGTGTGAATTTAGTTTCCCAACCTCGAGAAGCGAATTGGGCTGCCCATTGTGTGACACGTACGATCTTACGTTATCCTGGTTTATCTACTTCCATGTTTGGTTTCTCTTATTTGGTATGTCTTTGAGTCCGTGATGTGGCCGTAATGGTTGTGCTACATTCATGTTCATCTGGTTTATCCAGCTATGCCCCTGTTTCCCAAATCCAATTGCCTAAACTCGATTCCTTGTTAATATTACCTCCTTTTGATCCACAATCGGTCGCTGATAATATCCTCTCACCATCTCTAAATTTCAAATGCCTGCATCTCATCCCCCTCTTGCAAATCATTCAAAGCTTTCTCGCCAGTACCATCTATATTTGTTTCTCTATCTTATGCTTTCTGTTATCCTCCGTCAAGCTCCTAAAAATCAATCCAACAATGTGTGTTCATCGCACGATGCAGGTCGCCCTCCTACGACGACGGTGTGTGTGTGTGTGTGTGTTAGGTGTGGAATATAATGAGGAACACCCAACTGGGAATTGAGGGGTGCATATGTTTGTGAGGGCAGGCAATATGTGATTGAAGACGAGTTCTGCCTGTAATCTCTCTGTCTGCAGACTTAACCCGATGTATTTAGCTTACCGATTTGCTAAGTGGGAGCAAGAACGAGAGTGTAAGAGAGTGTATTCTTCAAGAATTATAATTTAAGAGAGTTGAAAGAGCGTGAATATTATATTATTTTTAGTTAATATATTATTTAACATACTAACATGTTTTGGTCAAATAATTACACCAATGCCTAGAAAAAATATAAATAAAATAATTTTAGTAGGATAATAGCTTTAAGTAATCTGATTAGGCCTACAAAAGGAAAATACTACAAAAAGTTCAATAGAAACCCCCAAAGTTTATGATATTTTTTTAGTTTTATTTTATTTAAAAGGAAAGAGAAATAAAAGTATCGTTTATACACTCTCCTACACTCAATTAGTTCTTCATAAAAGAGCCTTTATCTTCTTCTTCCCTTTCGTTTCTTCTTTTCCTAAGTCGACGTCGAAGATCTCCCATAGATCTCTATATCAAAGACCAACTAACTAACCTCCTATCCTTTTATTTAGTCCCAAACCCGTGATTTGATGATGTATTTCAGATTCCCCGTTCACGAACTCGTGGTGAAAGCCCAGGAAGTAGGAAGCTTTTTTGCTGCTCATCCAAATCTTCAACAACTTCTGAGATCTGGTGCAACATGTATCCTTTTCGTCATTGCTCCCTAGATCTCTGTCGACACTGCATGTATTCCTTTCTCTAATGAAGAAGCAGGTCTTTGTCTTCAAGCCAAAACTGTTGATTTGACTATAACTTGTTTCATTATACTATGTTTATAGAGAAAAAAATCTCTCAAATAAATGATATATGAAATAAAATTTGTGAACTTTGATTGTCGATTCTTTGATTTTTAGTTTGAGCTACAATTTCTGGGTTGTGGAAGTTTACAGTTTCTGTAAAAGAAATGTGACCTAACGACGGATTCAAGTACACAATCTGTGCGAGGAAATAAGAGATGGAAGAAAGCGCTTCGTTGGCGCTTTGCGTTCAACAATTGGTGAGGCCAATTGAGCAAAAAACTTCGCAGGCTTCACAAACCATATGAACTTATGGGGCCGCCGTCCGCAGTCAGCGCCAAAAATTTCCCTCACTCCAAAATATCCCTCCAAAAATCACTCTAGAGGCAGAGATTTTTAATAGGAATGGCATCCAGTTTTGTTTTTCAGCTATTAATTATAGTGTATGTCAGCAACTTCAAGTAAAATATAAAGCATCAAATACCAAATATGTCTCTAGTCTTTACTTAAAGAAATTGCAACAAATACAATGTAACGTAGTTGCTTTTTTTATATGGATGATATAGATGTCTCATTTGTAGTCTATTTGTTTGTAAACATATAATACTTTTCTTTAGTGACATGAGTTCAACTTGATAATATATAAACAAATGAGGTACAAGCGCTTTGTGGAATTTCTCCTAGGCCAAGAAATTCGAAAATGGGGTTGCAGTTTTCTCATTCACCTTTAAAACAATGAGTTTTATTTAATTAATAAAAGGGTTAATATATTTGTATGGTCAGAACTTTGACCAAAATAAACATCATGGACAATCTTTTCGATCTATAACATCCTGGCCCAAACTATACATCAAAATAACTAAATTGGCCAAACCCAATGTTTGACCGTTAACTTGGATGGTCAAACGTGTTGACTAACGGTCAACGCGCCACATCACCGCCCAGTCAGCACAGAACACTTAAAAAAATTTATTTTTTCCACCTATTACCATTTATCTCTTTTATTGTTTTTCTTTTATTTTTATATTTATTTTTAACTTAATTGAAAATTTGAAATAATGAGATTATGTGGCTTTTTTTAACATTATTTTTTCCACATAATCTCATTATTTCAATTAAGTTAAAAATAAATATAAAAATAAAAGAAAAACAATAAAAGAGATAAATGGTAATAGGTGGAAAAAATAATTTTTTTAAGTGTTCTGTGCTGACTGGGCGTTGACGTGGCGCGTTGACTATTAGTCAACACGTTTGACCGTCCAAGTTAACTGTCAAACATCGAGTTTGGCCAATTTAGTTATTTTGATGTATTGTTTTGGCCAGGATGTTATAGATAGAAAAGATTGATCAGGATGTTTATTTTGGTCAAAGTTCAGGTCATACAAATATATTAACCCTAATTAAAAAATTGACAACATACTATCTTGGTTATGTTTTCTTTCTTTATTTGAATGACCTGGGTTCAATCCTGTGTAATACACTTTTTAGTTACCTAAATAAATAGGTGTAAATATTAAATAGACCGAAATTTGAAATGGAGGTGATGGTTTTATTTTTTTTAGCTATGTAGATTAGGCCAATGATAAATGCACTGGATTCTCTTACCACCTATATTCTCCACAATTAACCAAAGGACCTCAACCAGTCTCTATATAAAGCTTCCGCTCCAAAGCAGAGCCACCAACAAGAACATCTCCCTCCCTCCGCAGCAAATCGTCAACAGAAATGACGACTCCAAAACTCTTCAACCTCACCGCCGCCTTCATCTCCCTTTCCCTCTTCCTCTCCTCATCATCAGCCGACGGCGCCACCGCCACCAGCCTCATCACCGGAACCTGCAAGCAAACCCCCGACTTCAACCTCTGCGTCTCCACCCTGAACGCCAACCCCCGCGGCCCCAAAGCCGCCGGCGTCCAGACCCTCGCCCTCATCATCATCGACGCCGTGAAGGCCAAGGCAACGACGGCGTACGCGGACTTAAAAAGGCTGCTCAAAACGGCGCCGGAATTGGAGGGGCCACTCAAGAGCTGCGCCGAACAATACAACGTCATTTTGACGGCGGAGATTCCGGAAGCGGAAGAAGCCGTGAGCGGCGGGGTGGCCAAGTTCGGAGAAGACGGGATGAGAGGGTCGGCTAGCGGTGCCGATTTGTGCGAGGACGGGTTCGTGAAGGTCAAGTCGCCGTTGACGGCGGAGAACAAGGCCGTTTCCGGCCTCGCCGCCGTGGGGGCGGCCGTGATCCGGCAGTTAGAGTGACAGAGCGTTGAGGAGAGTGGCTGCTATTTTTTTTTTACGAGTTTATTTAATAAAGGATAATATGATTGGTAGGGACGGAGTCAGGATTCTTGATTAGAGGTCAATTTTTTCCCATATTATATATACTAGATTCAGACCCGCCGGCCAGTTGGCCGGATACGTTTTATCATATGATATAAATAACAATAATAATTTTGTGAAACAAAATACATTTTCATTTGTGATTATAAAAGAGTAATTTTTAAATATTGGAAAAATAAAAAGAACGTGGATCATAAATTGAAAATGGATCATAAATTTTTCTGACATCCTAATTGAGATTCATCAACTAAAGTCATGCAAGATGATCAACTCTAAAAAATTCTTTCAAATCACACTCCAATTAGAAATTCCTACATATTTTGTTTTGGATTTTGCGATTGGTTCATCATTATCATTACTATCCTCACCAATAATGGTGTCTTCCTTCCTCTTCTACATTTCACTAAAAGCAAATATATGATATTTGCTCTTTCTCACTAATAATTGTACCTCCTTTATTATCCACAGCATCTTATCTCTATTACAGAATGCACAACCTTGATGGCTTGATCATTATTAAAAGACTATTCCTTCTTCTCCTAGATTTCATTGCAATCAAGAACTTAATGGTATTATATTTACAAAAATGTGAAACGCCCTTTTTGCTCAAACTAAAAAGAAAACATCTTCGTAAATTTTTGTTCATACTATCATAGTTTTTGCTATATGTTACATGCACAAATAAACGTTCATCTAATGAATCAATAAAACCTTTTAAATTTAATTTGAATGTGATTGGAATTTTTTTTGCTTATGGCCAGAGTTACCAAACAAAAAGTTTATATTTTCAGTCGGGGCATGTCTATGATGATTTGGTCAAACTCCAAATAAAATTTATTTATTTATTTAGAGTCTAGCAAAAAACTTTGATAGACCTGTTGATCGATAAGGTTGATTAAAATAGTGCTAGTATATGATATGCTTTGTGTGAGTCGATCACATTTCCCATTAGATTGAATGTTTCAGGGAAATATGCCTATACAAATAAAATTTGTAGCAATGAATTTTATATGAGTTGAAGGTCTATTTAAATATCAAATTGTAGACATTGCACTTGTTTACATCCACCAATCTGGTGTGTAGATTGACATGTTTAATATAGGTGTCGCCTTTACCGATTTTGTTGATCAACTACAAAGATCTACTTGACGAACTATATGTAAGTTTTACTTAGAGTTTAAATAAAGTCATTGTATCAAATTCTTTTAGATTGTCATAGTAATAGTCATATGTAAAAATAAAATGCTAGAAACATTATTTTTGTTAACCAACGACAAACCACATATAAGATGTATTTAGTTTAGATTTAATTGCAATAATAATATTAATAACTATGTAAAAATAAAATGCTAGAAACAAATTAAAAAAAAGAGTCCAACCTCCCTGAACGAATAAATCAAATGAGTGATTATAAAATAAAAAAAAATTAATAAGATGGAAAGACACCTTTAGCCTTTCGTTTTAACCCACTCATCATGCTGAATCTCTATAAATTAGTGTGTATTTATTTTATTTTTATTTAATGCTTGAAATATTGGACATGTATAACATGTTTAATACACATATTTTAAGGAGTAAACTGATAATTTATTTATTTTATATTTATTTTTAAATTATAAAATTATAAAATTTTATCATTGATACCAAACTTTTACATATTATATTAATTGAGAGTTATGTATAAAATTTCATACATATTAATATCGCAACACACCTATAGCTTTTTATTTATTAACAACGCGCCAAACTTATTGTAATTCATTAATTAAACCATGACTATCATATATAAAGACAATGCTAGCTAGGGATGACAATTTTTATCTGGCCCGTTTTACCCGATCTATTTGACCCGTTTTGGGGCGGGTCTGACCTGCCCTGTAGGTGGGGGCTGGGCTGGCATGGGAACTGTCCTTGACCTGGCCTGACCTGCCCCATTTTCAACCCGCATTTGCCTAAGTTACATGTAATTTTACTCAAATTACTTATGAATTTTTACTTTTATTACCTCATGTTTTGCTGTAATTAAGTTGTAAGATGGTGAGAACCTCAAATTTTTGAATAATTTAACTACATTTATCATATTTTAGTTTGTGTCTTGGTTTTAATGAAAAAATGAGTATTTATAATGTTTTCTTTTTGAATTACATACCCATTTGGGTAGATCTGTCCCGACTCCCGCCATGCGATAAATTACCTGACTTGCCAGGGGGCAAGTATGGGTATCGAGATACCCTGCCCAGACCTGCTCATTACCATTCCTAACGCTAACCAATGGGGAATTATTGGAATTATATTTATGTAGTAGGGGGATTATGGGATTATTAAGACAATGCCAGCTTTTAGCGTTATCGTACAACTTCAGAATGTACATATACTCTTTGTACAAATTCTTTTATGGTACAATTTAAACCTGTACCTTATGTGATGGTACAACTTTAAGTTGTAAAGTTGTATCATAACATAAGAGTACAAATTCCTTTATGGTACAACTTTAAGTTGTACATTAGAGCACCAATACTTTATAGCATAGTAGAAGTGCTCTTGAGCAATACTGGGCTTATATGTATGGGAAGATGTTGTATGACACACTAATAAAATTATTTTATTCTAAAACATGTCAAAGTAGATATTATGTTATGTAGTATAATTAATTTGATTTTTTTATTAAATATTAATATTCAACGTAAAACTAATGAGATGGTTGATTAAAAATTAATAAAAGAGTGATGTTGCAATTTGCATTATACAACTAATCAGATTATAAATTGATAAAGAAACGAAACTACTAATAAAAATAAAAGATAAATATAACATAGCAGGTCAATTAAGCAACGATGGGACTTTTTAAGTTGGAGTTAAACAACGATGGGACTTTTTAAGTTGGAATCGGAGATCCTTTTAATTTTAATTAATTAACCAGTAGACAAACGTGGGCTTATTTCAACCAAACAAAAATAAAATAATATTAAATGACAACGTGGGAAAGGGAGAAAATGTGGGTAGTGGATAGGTTTTTACTTTAGCAATCAGGCGCGCGCAGACTCTTTTATTTTTTTTTTCCCGCTTAATACTCTGCCACATCAGATTCCTAAAATCACTCTATGTGCAGGAAAATTTGAATGGGGGTTGCAGTTTTACTTTTCAGCTATAAATTATACTGTTGACTTACCAATTTTAAGTGAATTCTAAGTTGAAACAGAAAATTTTAAAAAAAATAGATGGCAAACTTAGCATTTTTCCATATTATATATACTTACCAATTTGATAATTCAAAACAAAATTACTCATAATTTCGAATTTTAAAATAAATCATTAGTAAAATATAGTAGTCATGGCTATTTATAAATGGAAACATGGTAAATTTTTAAAGAAATTAACTTAAATAATGCTCCCTCAACCCATTAAATTTTAAGTGAATTAAGTGTATTCTAAGTTAAAATAAATCTAGTCGTAAAATATAAAAGTCACGGCTATTTATAAATGGAAACATGGTAAATTTTTAAAGAAATTAACTTAAATAATGCTCCCTCAACCCATTAAATTTTAAGTGAATTCTAAGTTGAAACAGAAAATTTTAAAAAAATAAATGGCAAACATAGCATTTGAACCTTTGACCTTCCTATCTAGTCAAGGTTGATAGTAGACTACCTCATTAATCACTATGCTGCCTAGATTTTATGTATTATAGCTTCACGTTTTGTTTAATTTAAAATGTTTAGGGGGCCATGGCCCCCACTAACAAGCTAGCTCCGTCCCTGATGATTGGTGGAGAGGGATGTTGTTTATGATTAAATGTCTTGCATATGCATGAGTAATATGATTGGAAAAGTTTTAAGTGGTTGATAGTTGAACGATTAACCGTTAACAAAATCGTTTAGTGATGAATTCCTCCTAAATTAGTGTAGCATATATGTATTTTTGTTATAGCGCATGAACGATTCTTTCAGTAGTTAACCAACAGTCTATAACGATTCTTTCAATAGTTAAATCTTTTGGTAAGTTCTAGAGACAAAACATCTAAAGTCAATTTTTTCATGTATTTTTGTGCTCATTTACTCCATTTTTGTGCTTATTTACGTAATACTGGTTATTCAAGTTAATGGAAAATTAGAATTTCTCCTCTAATAATTTGTATAGGCTATATTTTATGAAATTTGGAATCACAATAAATATGTAAAAATGTGTTGCATTAACCTTAATCTACATAATGACATCCATTTGATATATTTGAAAGTTTAAAATTTAATTTTACATCGGTATGAATCAATAACAATATGCGTCGATTAATACAGGTTGTGTGACCTAACAGTATTGGTTGCGTGAATAATCAATACTCTTACATGAATAATGCAAATATGGAGTGAATAAGGTCAAATATACGTGAATAAAAAAAATGCGTGAATTAAGTGTTTTGTCACTAGAGGTGCCAAAAGACTTGATTCAATATGATTTGCTTTCATACCAAAAAAAATGAGGACTTATGGATATAGTAATAAATGAGCTAAATCCCAAAAAAAAAAAAAAAAAATTCACCCCAAGTTAAATGTACCATTGATTATGTGTCACCCATTAATCAAGCTAATGCAATCCTTACTATTAGTCAACTATTTAATTCATAAAAATCACTTACTATTAGACCGCGATTCTTCTTACCGGACCATTGCACAACCTTCCGCAAGTTCCGCTCCATCTTTTGTCTAAAGATCAAATAAAGAGCTTTTCTGCGTGTTTATTTTTTGGTGCAGCTCAACCCCAAAAAAAAAAAAAAAGCGTCGGGCATGCGCGAAGCTCTCTCTTCGCTCCGCTCGCTAGGCACCGCGATTGGTCGATGGCTTTGGGAGATGGGGATCGCCATCTTCTCGATCAGCCTGCAGAATCAGGGGATTTCCGACCAAGGCGAGGGGTACCGGCGCAGCGGAAACTTGCGGCGACAACCGGTGATGTTCTTATGGCTCACGGGATCGCCATCTTCTGTCTCCCTCTAGGGATGTTCTTATGGCTCACGGGATTCAGTTCCAGGGGATTGATGACCCAGGGGTCGTGGAGTTGCTAGTACTACGGGAGTCTATTACTTGGTGTTTGGGACAGGGGATTACGGGGGTGCGATTCGAAGGGGATGCTAAGATTGTCATTGACAAAATCAATTGCAAGGATGCTAGAGATAACCGGATGGGCTCCGTTCTGGAAGAAGTCTTACAATATTGTCATAGTAGCCCAGGGATTAGTGTGCGGTTTATAGGTCGGAGTAGTAATAGGGTGACCCACTTGGTGGCTAGAAAAGCCCTCTCTTTGTACCCGACCATGAGTCGTTTCTTTGATTTCCAGACCTGGCTTGGTTCCAGGGTGTAACTATCTATGTTTTGGGTATCAATATATGATTATCTTTTGTAAAAAAAAAAAAAAAACGAAAAGAAGAAGCAAGGGTTGACTACTACGGCCGGTTTGGTGATTGGTACGCAATCATGGATTCGATTAACACAACCGAATATGAGAAAGGAGTACTGCGAGTGACGGAATAGGGCTTTTATAGCATTCTCTTTGGTATAAGCAACCAAAAGTTAGGCCCAAAAGCTAGCTGCAACATGCAGTCAGTCACAATTAATTAAGTACTATAAACTATGTGGGCTGGAGTACTGTTCTGGTTTAGGTACGAGAGTATCCAGAGGACAAGAACAAGTTTCCTACCTTCAACCAGAACATGTGGCGCCGGAAGTGTTAGGCAGCGACAGATGATTATGTCTGATATTTCCAACAGGAGCAAAGCGTTGTTATGAGTTATGGATCCTTCTCGGTATTTTTTCGTCCAACCATCCATTCGAGTAAGGCCATTTAACTCTTTAAAAGAAATAACAAGTTTAAAGTTACTATTTTTTTTTTTTGATATGGGTGATATAGATTAAAACGAAAAAACAGAAAAAGCGCCAGTACAACTACGCAAACAAGGACCCTCGCCGAGGGAAACTAGAAGAAACAAAAAACAAAAGAGCCAAAGGGCGAGGGGGGCAGAAGTCCAGCCCGACAGAAAACCAGAAAAGGAAAAGGAAAAAAGACTCAACCCCGCCAAGTCCACCGTCGGCCAGCGAAGCTCCTTCCCGATCTCCCAATCGCCCAAGGAGGAGGGACGGGAAACGGGCAGAAACGATGCCAGAGAAAACACCTGCAATAGCGGCCACCCCCATGTGATTGAACGATCATCTCGAAGCTGATGGAGGGGGGTTATGCCTGATCGGAACAACCCTTGCACGCAATTCCCTTGTCCAATTCTTCGCGACCTCAGAATCAACCTTCTTTGCTGCGATCAACCAAGCTGCTACCGCATCGCCAATTTTAACACAAGCAACCAGTCGGGACAAGACTCTCCCTTGAAAACTCTGGCGTTTCGCTCCAGCCAAACAGTCCAACAGAAAGCATGAAGGGCGACAATCGAACACCAGTGCGCCGGACTCGCTGGCTTCGCGGTGGGCCACCGCGAAATTCTTTCTGTAATCCCGAGCGTTTCGTCCATGGAATCTTCGATCTTGATGAAGTGTTTCAACCTGTTCCAAACTTGTCTTGAAAACTCACAAAAGACAAACATGTGATTGGCAGATTCCTCTTGTTTCTTGCATAAACTGCATCTGTTGGGAAGATGGTACCCTCTTTTCTTGAGATTATCCAACGTTAGGAGTCTATTATGATATACCAGCCATAAAAATATACAAATCTTTGATGGTATTAGATTCTGCCACACCATCTTAGCCGGAAAGTGGTCGGAACTTGTGGAGCGAACTGCAGCAAGATGCTTGGTGGCAGAACTGACACTGAATCTTCCTGAAGATACCGCCGACCAATTCGGTCTTTCAGGACCTGCATTAAAATTCACAGAAGTAATTGCCTCAAGTTGGTTAAATAACCTCTCTCTCTCTCTCTCAGCCCCACCCCGAAGATTATAAATCAGTGGAATATCCCACCGAAGGTTTCCCTCAGTAAAAGTAAGATAATCTGCAATGGTGGAAGACGGGGACTCTGCAGCAGCGAAGACTCTCGGATATTTCTCAGCTAAGCACGAACCAACAATCCATGTGTCGAACCAGAACGACGTTCTATTACCACTCCCTTGATCAATAAAGGCTATCTTCCAAAACTCATCTTTTAACTTCATGATATTAGCCCATGGGCTGCCCCCGCTTCTGCCTTGAATGGTTCCAGAAAACCACTCTGAAGATGGATTGGGAAATTTGATGTTGATAATGTTCCTCCACCAAGATCCCCTTTCTGTAGCAAATTTCCAATGCCATTTGAGTAATAATGCTTTGTTGTGAACCTCTAAATCTCTGATGCCCAACCCTCCTCGATCTTTAGCAGTTTTACATAACTCCCATGACGCAAGATGAAACTTCTCCTTATCCTGATTGCCCGACCAGAGAAAATCCCTCTGAACCTTCTCTAAACTTTTGATAATGTGCTTAGGGATAAGAAATAAGGAACTCACATACGTACTCTGGCTCGCAAGAACCGCGTTAATGAGTACCACCCTGCCGCCGATCGAAAGGTAATTTCCTTTCCATCCTTCCAGTTTGGATTGAGTCCTCCTAACGAGCGAGTTCCATTGCCCAACTGAAGGCGATTGGCTGCCCAGCGGAACGCCCAGATATGTTGTAGGAAGAAAGGCCCAGTCACACCCAAACACCTCCGCCAATCTGTCCAAATTAGCGACTTCTCCGACGGGGAATAATTTTGACTTCTCGAGATTAATCTGCAGCCCGGTTATCGCTTGAAAGCAGACTAGTGCGGCTAGAATGTTTCGCACTTCATCTTCATTTGCCTCGCAGAACAGTATAGCGTCATCGGCATAGAGCAGATGTGTAACCTCTCCTCTTCGGCTGTTTTCGTCAACACAGAATCCCGAAATATGCCCTGCAGCTCTGATTTCACACAAAATGAAGGACAGGATATCCATTCCGATATTAAACAGAAACGGTGACAATGAATCACCCTGCTTTACCCCTCGAGACATCCCAAAAAACCCGGTGGACTCCCCATTGATGAGTACGGACAGCTTTGATGAAGAGGTCAATCCCTTAATCCATTTCCTAAACCTGGAATGGAGCCCCAGATGAGTCAAGGCTTTTAAAATACACTCCCAACTGATCGAATCGAATGCCTTTTCTATATCCAACTTTATCACAATCCCCGGTTTCCCACTTCTTCTCCGGCTGTCAATTAGTTCGTTAGCGATGAGACAAGATTCATGAATAATTCTCCCTCTTTTCCCTGCAAACTGAAAGTCAGATACGATGGAATTCACAAGAGGTTGCAGCCGATTAAAGAGTACCTTGGAGATGATTTTGTTTAAGCTCCCCAATAGACTGATTGGTCGGAAATCAGTAACTTTTTCGACCGGATCTCTTTTAGGGAGTAAACAAATGAACACATGCGCTATCGATGATGGAAGCGACCCAGCGAGATAGAAGTCGTCAAAGGCTTTCAGTAAATCTGATTTGATGATCCCCCAAGCCTTTTTAAAAAATTCCAAAGAATACCCATCAGGTCCCGGCGCCTTGCTTCCATTAAACTGACGAATTGCCTGCCAAATCTCCATTTCTGTGAAAGGCCTTACTAATGATTCCATAGAGTCACATTACAGTAGGTGCTTTTTTTTGTGATTAACCAAAGTTTGGAAGAGCTTTTGTGTTATTAAGATTCTTGTTAATTACCTTATGACAATTGAGTTCAAATTGGACCCAAATCAATGGGTATTCGACCCGGTTAAAGCGAGTTTACTCCGGTGTTGACGAATTTTGGTTAGACAACAAGTTTTACATGCTATCAATGGGTATTCGACCTAATGTCGACCCGATTAAAGCAAGTTGAACTCAATGTTGACGAATTTTCGGTATTCGACCTTAAATCATGGTTATTCGACATATTTGGCCATTAAGGTTCTTATTAATTACCTTGTGACAATTGTGTTTAAATTGGACCCAAATCAGTGGGTATTCGACCTAATTTGACCCGGTTAAATCGAGTAGAACCCGGTGTTGACGAATTTTGGTTCAACAACGAGTTTACATGCTTAAATCAATGGGTATTTGACCTAATGTCGAACGGATTAAAGCGAGTTAAACCTAATGTTGACGAATTTATGGTATTCGACCTTAAATCATGGGTATTCGACTTATCCGGCCATTAAGGTTCTTAATAATTACCTTATGACAATTGAGTTCAAATTTGATCCAAATCAGTGGGTATTCGACCTAATTCGACCCGGTTAAAACGAGTTGAACCCAGTATTGACGAATTTTGGTTTGAAAACGAGTTTTACATGCTTAAATCAATGGGTATCCGACCTAATGCAACTCGATTAAAGCGAGTTGAACCCAATGTTGATGAATTTTTGGTATTTAACCTTAAATCATGGGTATTCTACATATTCGACCCTCTTAGAGCGAGTTGAACTCGGTGTTAACGAATTTTGGTCGAGAACGAGTTTTACATGTGTCGGGTTGGGTCGTTACCTAATTCTTTTTTACTCACTTTTGTGATTGAAAGGTTGGGTCGGGTGTCGTTTTACCTCCTTTAGTGACAATTGAACCCAAATCCATGTTGATGAATTGGGTTGGGACGGCTTTTACTCACTTTTGTAATTAACGAATTGGGTCCAGTGTGGATTTTGTTAAAACTCGCCCCAATTTGTAAAGCCGAGCAAAGCGAGTTGAATCCAGCGTTGACGAATTTTGGGTCGGGGACGAATTTTGGATCGCGGACGAGTTTTGTCCACTTTTGTAATTAACGGTTTGGGTCGGTTGTGAGTTTTGCTGAAAACTCACCCCTCTATATCTGTTTTTTTTTACAATACCCCTCTATATCTGGTCAGGGTGGCGTTGATGAATTTTGGGTTGGTATTTTACCTGCTTTTAATTGACATGCTGGCTCGGGTGCATATTTATTTCCTTTAGTGACAAGAGAACCCAAATCTATGTGTATTAAACCTAATTCGACGAGG